ATAGCATAACCGTTAAGGTGACGTCTGGACCTAAAAGATCTCAGCAAACCTTTACAAGGAAGTGTATTCAACAACAATTGCTAAGAAAATACCAGACATTTAAGAGGGACCTTCCCTCTCCATAACCTTTGTAAGACATTTGCCGTACACTGATCTACACTATTAAAAGCATCAAAAAGTTCAAATAGCCATGAATACACAGATTGCACTGAATAACAATCTGAAGAATCTGTCCTCCATACCTATTTATCTTCTTGTAGTAACTTAATAGGAACTCCTTCCACAAGCTTCAACAAAAGATTAAAGCTTGAGATCTCATGTTGAAAGAGTCTTCTTCGCCAACTAACATCCTAAACCTACCAAGTGCCATCATGAAAACTATTCTCCAATACATATGATTCAGCATTCATCGCCACCACAAACAATCGTAGAAATGCTTCACACAATCGCACCCCGCCTACCCACTTATCTCTCCAAAAAAAGTGTGTGTAAACCTGCACCCACACTCTTATCAAACTTTCCATCCAGCCATGAATTTCCTTAATGAATAACCTTTAGCAAATCACGCCACCACAAAGAATATCTGTTATGAACTGATGAACGCTGAATAAATGAAGCTAATCTTCTATATCTAAATTCCAACACCTGCACCCATAATGAACTAGAATAATTAACACTTCGCCACAACCATTTATAAAAAAATGTCCAGTTAAATATATATTTTTATAATTTTTATGTGATCTTATTTAATCTTTAAAATTGAATTATATATAGTTCTGTGAGATTGTAATTCATGTTTTTGTGTATTGTTATTTGATACTTAATTAAGCTTAGTACTGTGCTGGCTCCCATGCTTAATAACTTTAGAATGACTATTTAATTTTTGACCGGGAAGGTTTGACCATGACTCCAGCTGAAAAGATGAGGAGCGCAAGAAGTGTTCGTCGTGTACGGTGCTTGCCTCGGTAGAGGAGAAGAGTTAAACGATAAAGATAAAAAATATATAATAGCTAGTAATATGATACATTATACACTGTAGTACCGCAGATAACTATTAATTTCCTATGCATTATATTGTTAAGATATATTTACAATATTTATATCAACAATTTAATTTTCTTTAAATCTAGAATACACCAACAAGACAAGCCTAACGAATAATATTTTTTTTGAATATAGACATTTTTGTAGTACAATAAAATCACATGCTATAAAAATATCGTATCATTCATTATTTAAACATTTTAATGGAATGACTTAAATATTTTGTCTCATTGTTTCTAAAGTTAATTAACGTACTGAAAATGAATAGATTAAGGTAGTTCAACTTCAATAAATTAATTCACGTTTTCGACAGAGTATATTTTAAAATATTTTAATCAGAAGATAAATGTATAATTCATTAAAATAAATGTGTAATAATAATTAGTTTAAATAGAAATGAAACAAATAATTTTTAAAAAATAATTAATTTGAGATTGTTAGTAGTTTAGTAGCGAAGCATAAAAATTTAAAAGTAAACAAAGATGAGCTTTTAAAAAAATCATAATGTAGAAGAAAAAATAATAATTTATTTTTTTATAAATATAAAAATAAATGTTAAATAAGGGTGAAATCAAATATTACAAATATAATAGAATAAATTTTAAATTAATAGTACAGTGATTGAAAAGTTAAGTTTATCTCATTTCATTTTATAGCCCTCGGGAAACAAAGTAATTGAAATAGAATGAGAAGCATTACTCTCTGCCTACTTATCTATCTATATGTCGATTATGTTGTTTATTTTATTTTAAATGATTCAAATTATTTTAATTAATATTTTTCATTACTTTGTTTTCCATCGGTCCCAAGATAACCTGATAAAAGCTTAATTACAATAACAAATGTAAAGCTATAAATGTAACAAAATTCCTTTTCCAAATTGAATTAAATTATGAACAAATTAGCAAAAAGCATAATTCCGTACTTTTCTGGGAGAGTTAGCTAAAAGATAAAAAGAATTAGTCAAGATTAAAAAATATATTTAATTAAAAACTACTGTATTATGTGAAAGTTTTTAAGCAGTTTTATTGAAATAGTATTTAGTAAAATTAATCAAACAAGTTTATACTATATTCAAAAAAATTATATATATAATGATTGAAATATCCACGCAACACAGCTTAAATGATACATTTTGACATGTTTGCATGCAATTTAACAACATTCTTGCGTATTGACAAAAAAACTAGATTCTTTCGGAACATTAGTGGTTTCCCTAAATCTCTCTCTTTCAGACATCTACTATAATTACTTTCATTCCATTGTGTGGTCAACATTAAGAAACAAGGTTAATTAATGATTCTTTGCTCCCTTTCACATCCAAGAACAAGTACACCTAACCACAGACATTAAAATTCTGTGTTTTTTCAAATGATTTTATTGTTGGCTACATCCCTCAAATTTCTTTTCTTTTTCTTTTTGCTGTTAGTTGGACATGTGATCAGTAAATTGGAATAGTGTTAGAGGCGATTCGTCACGAGCGCGAGCTTATATGAATATTGAATAGGTATCTCACCCACTCTCTTTCAAGAAAGAAAGAAAGAAAAGAAAAGAAAAGAAAAAGGAAGAAATGGAAAGAAAGAAATAACACAAGTGACAAGAATATGATATTTGAATTCCTTAATTACAGCCCACCTTCGGTTATATAAATAAATCTTGCGCCAGAGAGGTGCTAATGTTTGACCAGAGAGTCTGATTTCTAGATTGCATCTTTAATTAATCTTTGCCGAAAGCTGTAACCTTTCACAGAGCATTCAAGAATATACGCTGACTGAATGTGAATTTCCAGATTTATATCCTACGTGTTGAAGTAGACTATTCCATTCCTTTTTGTTTATCTTTATATATATACGTATTCCGTGACATAATTTTGTAATAGGTTATATAGCAAACACTCGTAGATGCCATGTATTCTCTTATGTGCTATCATTCTAAAAAAATGTATTATTATCCCTTTGTCACGTACTTCCGTGTTAGCTTTCCTAGCTACATAGTTTTATTACTAATGCGCTCCAGTATATATATAATCATTTTCGACCAACAAATCTAGTTTAAGGAAGGAAAAAAGGGGCTTAAGCTCACCTTGAATAGATACGGAAAGACAGCACTTATGATATAGACATACATTAATTGTCCTTTGGTGATCATTTATGGTATGTCTTTTTGCAGCCAATAGGGATCGTATTCCGCTCTCAACAATCCTGGCAAGTTTGTCAAGACTCATGTAAGTCATGTTTATACACGTCTATCTTATATGAACTTAGCAATTAGAAATCAAAGGCTTGATCGCTGTATATGGCTGACTCATCAATAGAGTTAGTCTGCTCACTATATATTTGTACGTGGAAAAGTGGTGGTCATAAAAAAAATACAGTAATACTTTTTATTTTTGTAACGAAAGATATCGTAATATTAAATCTAAATACATGCAAAAAAATGTCAGAAAAAAATAAAATATGATTTGTAACCTATTATCGATAAATGCTTATATTGTATTTGAAAGCCAACGCATATATATACTAGCACAGCGGTTCCGTTGACACTAACTAATGTGTGTATACGAGTTATGTCACAATGAAATGCCTTGCGATACAAAGAAGACAGTGAGTATATAATACAGTAAAACTTTATTCACACAGTTTGAGAACATATTCTGATAAGGTTTAAGTTGATATTCGAAATCCCACACCCAAAAGACGTGGGACCATATAGTTTGTGATCTCTTAAAATGCAAAATTCATGTCAGCATGACCTAACAAAAAAATAATCTCCGAGCTCCGAGAGTTAATTGAGTACCAAAAACAAGTCGGAAGAAGGTTAAGTTTTCCAGGGTATTCTAAAATGTAGATGCAATCCATAACCAACAGAATTGGAAATATACTTCACCTTAGTTTGGCCGTGGATGCTGCAACTACTAAAGCTTAATTTGCAAAATCCTGCAACTACTACACGAGCTATAGTTCATCCGTAAGTTCATGGTATGTCGCAACAATACAAATTGCTAGCAATAACTAATATTTATTAAAAACTATAAAAATAGAAGAAAAACTATTAATTTAAAAGTGAAAAAGGCTAAACCTGTTTTTGTAGTTTTTAATAAAATTTAGGTGTTAAAAAATGTTAGTCTGCAATAATTTGATGCTTCCTCACGGTTCAGATATTTTTTTTAACTACTTCTACGAATTGAAGGTATAGCTATTATAATTAAGTATTATTGACAGAATTGTTACATAATCTTAAAAGGGTCGAAAATTAATTAATATAATAGGATGCTCATTTATTGTCCAATTGTTGAATAGCACTCCAGTTGGAAATAAAGCGAGGAACAAAATTGATTTTATATTTTTCTAGCAATTGTTGACAAAAGGGCAAGATTCTTGTAAACGAAAATGACTAGTAACATGTAGTTTTTACCGGATACTCATGTAAATGGGCAAGATTTATCCTTTTACCCTCATCAATATCTTATCTCATAAAAGATAAGACTGTTGATTAAGGGGAGTACCCTGTTCACGAGAACATGCAAAACGAAGCAAGTCATGCAGAAAAATGCAACATGTCAATACCAAGTTATTTCACCACTGCAAGTGCTAAACACGGCATGTTGTTGCCTTATTCCTCATTACACTTTTCTACCAAGTAGGACACGTTTTCTGTGTCTCTCTCGATATCTAAAAACAGAGAGAAGCAAGTCATTCTATAAATAACAAAATTTCCAGCTATTAATTATTAAGTGAGGAATTTCGAATTTTGAACCCTTCCTTTCTTGCTGATTTGTTTTTCGATTCATTACCTTTTGGTTCTGCTTAAAATTTCCCCACTATTGACATGACCGTTTATTAAAAGAAAAAAGTAGAAAACTTTTTTGGATTCTTTCTTGGTCTTAGAATTCGATTATGCATTAAATAAATTCTCTCTTCACCTTCCAAGGTTCACACTTCCATTTGGCACCTTATCTCTATAAAGTCTTAGCATCAATCCCTGCCACAATTCAACACAGACTCTCTTTCATTCTGTTTATCTCTTTTACTTTGCTTTTTTGCCTTCTCCTACATAAAGCAAATATGAGCAAGATCACAGCCATGTTCTTCCTGGCTATGTTCCTCTGCTGCATACTCACTCACTCCGCAAGTCCTGAACCAGCTTTTCACAAGGAATCTTTGATAGTAACTCAGCATCAGGTTGGTTGTATTTTATTGATGTAGGTGTTAGCTTTTACCTTAGTTTTTATTATTCTCAGTGGATGTTTGAATATAAGTCTGATCCATGTATTTTTTATACTTGTAGGATGCTGAGGCAGTTGATGAAAGCTGTGAAGGCATTAGAGAAGAGGAATGCTTGATGAGGAGGACACTTGCCGCACACATAGATTATATTTATACGCAGAAGCATAACCCTTGAACGTACCTTTTGATCAGTTGTTTAGTATTGTATGTTAGGTGGTAGTAGCTTCTTTATTTGGCCATGGCCTATGATTTTTCCTTTTTTCTTGTTGCCTACATGTAGCATATTTGTATCATCATATGTAGAATCACTCTTCTCTTCCTTTATTTGGATATTTGGAAGTCCATGAAGCATCTATCTCTAACAAGAAAAGGGGATATATTTGAGATTCGCACAGCCACACTGGAGTCCTAAATATATAGCTTTAACTTCGTCTGTTCTTGTAACCATTTCTCCTTTTGGTTCATAAACTTGGGCTCAACTCACTTCTTTTTGAAAAAGAAAAACAATAATGTTTGTATAAATTACCATGGATCCATGGAGTCTCGTAACTGCAGATTTATTATGATAATCCTATATGACAGACAAATGAATCCAAAGAAAGAAAGTATTACTTGAGTATTGACTTGTAGAGGTAACCATAACTTTGAATTTAATGCAAGCTATTACTCTCCTCTGCTTCCAATATTCAATGTAATCAATAACTTGTGTGACTACTTCGGTTGGAGAGAGAGATCAAATTAGTTGACGGTTGAGCCTCATGCTATAACTTCAGATGTTTTTTAAAACTTCCTATTTGACTTGCAAAGCTAGAGAATCCTCGAAGAAATAAGCTGCTATACGAAGCACATGCCTTTTGATGTTAGTACTAATTCCAGCATTAATTTGCCATAATTCCTCAATAATTATGCTGCCGAAGTTGTCTTCTCCTAGTGGCATAAAAAAATCTAGGTGTAGGAAAGAATCCATTCCGTGAACAATAAATAAAGTAATGCGTCACCAATAAATTTTTTAACGAAGGTTGTCAATTTTTATCCCAACACTAGTTTAGTGCTTAAAATTGATTTTAAGTATATGACATAATAAAATTTATTGAAAAATATTTATTATATGTATTTTTGTTATGATATATACAATTTATTTTTTTAATGAAATGTCACTACTTTTTTAAATTTCATTATACATGGCTGCATCTAAATTCTTGTTGCTATTTACAGATGTTGAAGTCAAAAGAAAAGAGATCATGCGTTTTAAATTGTAAGAGGAAATCATTCTTGTACAATTCTTTTAGTGATATAGAAATATGAAGATTCATTTTAATGAATATGTATACAGTTAGTGAGAACAATTTCATTTGAAGAATGTTAAAAATATAAATCTCATATAATCGTATAAAATAGTCAAGGTTAAAGATAGTTAAAAATTACATGATTAGTTAAACATATCCTGCATTTTTCTTTTAATTTAGTTATTCAAGTATAATCAAATGGCATATGCATATATCATGAATACTATGCAACCAAGTATTTGCTCATCCCAACCAGCCATTCAGCCCACGTGAAAACCGGCTGCATAAACTTCTGCCTCTTGGGTCCACTGAAGTAATCCCAGTGTTCCTCTCCTGCATCCAAATTTCCCTCGATAGTTGGAGCTGTTATTTGAGTTAATTAGTGAGCACGGGCGAACTTCCCATCATAATCGGAGCAAAAGGCCTTCTCGTGGCGTACAACTTCTGTGTTTGGTCCAATGACAGCTTGTTTACAGATAAATTGATCCAAATTGTCTTAATAGAAGAGTTGGGCTTCACGCATCTGATAGACTAAAAGTGATAGGAGATATTGTTTATTACGCGTTCTTGTCAAACTTATATTTGCACTTGCATGCAAGGAATTGAGTATGAATATCCTGATTTCACCAGCATAGTCATCCTTAAATTTTCTGTCCATCATGGTTTTAAAGATGGATCTAACCAAATGAAAGCACCCGTCGTACATAATCACCATTCTTCGAGAGAAAAATCTCCAATAAACTATGTTCACCCAATTCATACAAATACAATTAATTAATAAGTTGATTTGGAACTCCACGTCCTCTTTATAAAATGAAACAACTTAGATGATAACTAACATGGCTTACTTCATATAACTAGTTACTATGTCATTCAGCTCCTGAGTGTTCCATGGCTTGTTAAGAAAAGTGTAGTTTTAGCTAATTTAAACGCATATTAAGATGAAACTAGCTAGCTACATATCAAGCACGTGCATACGTACAATTCCCTCTGCCAGAGCTAGTCAGATATCTAACATTCCACTTTCATTGATGCTTAAAAAGAGTAATGGGAAACGAAGGACGTGTAGAGAATTTAATAGGTGAAGTTCAGCCGCTTAATAGAAGACCAAAACACAGGTGAAGTGCAATTCCAGCAGCGTTGCCTTCACCCACCAGCAATTGCTGTTTTACATATCCAAGCAAGGGGAATTCTAGCCACACTGAGTCAACAAGGCAAAAGGAAATCTCAGTCAGAAGCTGCAGTTCACCATCTCATTTAGTTTTGTCATGAAGCAGAGTGGTTATATCCAAAGGTAAAAAAGAAAAAGAATTAAAATGAGGACGATCTGCACATGTACACCTGGTCAATAGAAAAGATCAAATCAACAACATAAACAGAATCATGTATTTACAGAACGATTCCAATTCAATAATGGGCCAAATCATGAATGATAACACCCCAAACAAATAGTACTGTTGGTTAATGAATACCGGGCTTTATATGCGGTAGTTCGTATTGAGGTAACCCCATGAGTGCTAAAATTAAAGAGAAAATATGACTTCAGAAGGATTATGTCTATGGTAACTGTACATTCTTTAATACAGTAAGGTTTCAATATCATTTACAAAATTAATTGATATATGATATAAAGATAATATGATGCAGCTGCTAGGCCAAGAAGCAGCAGCTCCAGAAAAATTTTCCACATCAAATAACCCAATCACATCCATTTGGTGAGTGAAACTAGTCACAACTACTTAAGCAGGCACCAAAGCCCAACCTCCACCCATAATGTGCAGGCACAACGAGAGACATATTGTCACAATAACAGAGGATTTCGCTGCTACATATCTCAAAATCTCAATCACTGCCTCATGAACAATATGAGCACATCTTGTGACAGAAGCACAAAATGTCTGCAAAAGGAACTCCATGAACGATCTAACAGTCTCAAATGTCACCCTGCCAGTCACATCAAGAACAAGCCTCCTATTGCTGGGAATTGCCAGTGTGGATGATACCTTGCTGACCCAGCCACTCTCATTTTCTTCATCACAAACATCCACTTTCGATTCAATTGATGATGTCCCAACACCCAAGTCCTCATTTCTCGGAGCTTCCTCAATAGCCAAATAAGAAGCTGGACTCGAACCAACAGTGGTATTCGAACTTGTTAACACATGGTGAGATGTCTTGACAAGAGTCTCCACAGCACCATTACAAGCAGAAACCAACATATCTCTCACTCTAGTCTCATGTTTCGGGTTAGTTAAGCCAGCAAAGAAATCATCATAGGTGTTGATATGCATGGTCTTGTCAAGATAAACAGCAACCGCAGTGCTCACAAACAATTGCACACAATTCCCAATTAGTTCCCCACACCTATCACCACAAACCACATCCACCCATCTCCCAACCTGATCCGAATTGGAACCATCACGTCTACCATCACCAGTGGCATTGCTCGAATTCGATTCTCCACCAAAATGGGTGTGTGAATCAGAATAGGAGGCAAGAACCAAATTCCTAGCAAAGCTTCCAAGAACTACAGAAGCAAAACCTGACCCAGCTGGTGTTAACATTTTGTCCAGCACCCGGTCCACGAGGGTTGAACCGGCACCGGATTGATCACCATCGGTTCGGTCCATAGACTGATAACCACGCAACACTCCCACAGTCACAGCACGCGTGACGCTAACCAAAGACTCTGCCAATTGTTCAGAGCAAACTATTTTGGAGATTTGCTTCAAGCTATTGGGGACTTGATCGGAATCGGACTGCAAAAATTCCTTCATGTCTCTGGAAACGATTCCAATGGTGTCCGCGGATTCGGATACGGCCTCTGCTACAGAAACCATTGCGCCCAGAAGCTTAGAAACCCTCTTTCTCTTTCGAGCTATGGAAGGCGCATGATAAACCCTGTAAACACCGTAACCACCCAACCCAGCCGCGCACAAAATGAAGACCCACTTCTTCCTTTTACGAACATAATCAAAACCCCTTTCAACTAACTGCACTTCCATTAACCCAATTGAATGCAATTATACCTTTTCTTACCAACAAAATTAAATTCAACGTCGTGCACGAACAGAAATCAATGTGATAAGATAGAGAGAAGAGAGATGAACCTGAGAGAAGGTTATGAGGTCAAAAATTAAGGGTTCTCGCTGTAGTTGAAACGGTGCAATTGGTTTCTTTTTGGTGGAAGCAACAGCCCCAACCATCATCATCAATTCAGCCATCACGCCACAACCACCACTAAAAAATTCGGTTTTATTTTTTTTGGAGATATCTCTCCGATGGGCCTGTCTCGTTATGGACTAATGTTTTTGGTAAGCCCAATATTATACGTAGAACAGTAGAAGGATCGAGGTTGGCTTAGGCTGGCCACCTGAGTTTTTAAAAAGTAAAAATTGATAAAACAAAATAAAAAAAGTCTTAACATACTAATTTTGTGTGTTAAAAAAATAAGTGGCAGATTAAAAACATGGAAACTGAGTTTAAGCGTAGCTAGAAACACGGCTTTGACAGCGTTTAGAGGAGCGAGATGATGGCACCGCAACGTGAGTTATTTGACTGCATGTGCAAGTTACCCATAATAGGCGGAGTGCCACCTATAAAAGAATAGGCACGTGGCAATCATAAGGGGAGCTCTCACTCCTACTTGACCTGTTTCAGGGTTATTACACGTTTCTATTTTACTGTCCGTTGATCTTTGCTGACGTGTGCAAGTACAATTGCATAGTGTTAATTCCCGAGCCATAGCAATTGTTATTACAGCGTATCCCCAAATGCCACGAACAAAAACACAGCACAAGCTCCCAACATACCAAACGGGTGAGAATTGCATTTGGGGTTTCCAATATTGGCAGGGTTTAGCATAGCTTACACTGTGTGTGCATATTAAAAACACTTGTATTACTAAGAGAACACAGATCACGCTGCCAAATATAGAAATCAAGATTTGTCCCCTTTTTGATCCTTCTCTCTCTCCAACTCTTTCTCACACGGAAACCTCCGCTCCATGCATTTTACACCTGCTGCTGCCAATCCTACAGCTACAACAGGTGATGCTTATCGACAATTTGACCTTGTGCCTTCCCATACTACTTCCCTGTCTTTTTTGACAAACCATTCATTATGATAACTAACTTGCGAAGAAATTTCTGGGAGGACCAAGGTCTAAAATTTGACTGATTAATGATTTTCAACCTTTTTGGATTTCTGTTTTTCCGCTTAGGAAAAGAGATAGACAGCGCTCCACATCGGCGTGTTTCCCTTTTTATTTATTATGCGCGATTTCTTTCACCATTCACTTTCAAAGCTTCTAAACTATACCCCCTGTGATGTGAATCTTTATTCTATAGACAGCAGCGCTGATTCAAGGGTTGTCGCTCAACAGCCATCGAACTGGATTTGTTCATAAACAAAGAATGGAGATATTTTACCAGCCTCACATTGATCGCGAGATTGAATCACTCATAGAAAGAATATATCCTCCCAGGTACTATTGCGCCATCTTTCTATTAAGTTTTTCCCTTCTTTTGATTCTTGTTTAATTAGACATCATTATTGTTTTGGCTTAATCAATTCAACGTATTCAATTCTCTACTGGCAGGGTGTGTATCGATAATGATTCTTGCGGAGACTGCACCGTAGTGAAGGTTAGATACAGTTCTCTATACTCAAGTTGCTATTATATATGTTGTTAAATCATTAATCTGTCATATGAGTTGGACCATATTCGTAGTGTTTGTTGTTTTTTAATTGTGCTTCAATATGCGCATGCCGAGTGTCCCCCGTTACTCATTTGTGGCTTTCACTAGTGCTATTAGTGCCGTGTGAGATTCATAAATCGTTGAGTATACAGCAGGAAGATGGGAAGAACATGATACACATTAATCAGACAAATATCCACTATGGAGATTCCCACTTGGAGCTTAAGTATAATAACTAATCATTATATAATACAGGATGCACATAGATTGAGCTTTCAATCTAACACTTGGAATCAAAATCCAATGCAAGTTATGCTGTTACGTTACCTAATTGCACATGCTTTTTTAACCATTACTAGTTAGGACATGAATGATAAAGGGTCGAAGAATTCTACCTAGTTCTGTCCCTACTTGCCGCATAACAAAATCCATTTCCTATCTTCTGTTTCGTTGTCATCTTGTAAGCATCGAAAAAGGAGTTCCCCTCCTTAAAGAACACCAAATTTGGGTTTGTATTTTATATGGAAATTACGTAATCAGTTTGTAAAAAGAGTCACTGGTTTCATCTACCAAAAAAGGAGTCACTAACTTAGAAATTAGAGGCAAAACCTGCATGCAAGAATTTGCAAAAACTACTAATTAATTGTTGCTAGCCAATCTAACGGTTTAGCACTTTGGCTAAAGATATCTTAAACAACTTGTAAATGCATGCGTATGAGAAGTAAAAGACTTTTTTTTCATTTTCTTTTAACAATTCAACATTAAATTTTATAAATTGTGCGTTGCGGACCAGCAGGTTGATAGTGCAAATAAGCATGGGATATTATTGGAGATGGTCCAAGCGTTGACGGATTTTGATCTCATCATTTCGAAATCATACATTTCCTCTGATGGTGGATGGTTTATGGACGGTCAGTGAGTCTCCTTTATTCTTCTGTTTTCTACAATTTTCCCCAATCCACCGAAATAAAAATTGTGCAAAATTTTGTTAAGTAACTTACTTTTCATCTTGTATGAGCTAAGCATGAGTCATGTAACCCCAAGCCCCACTATGATCTGCAAACTTAATGGTTGGTTTCTGATCCATGTGGTGTGGGTCTTTTTCTTTATTACAAAATGCAGTGTTCCACGTGACTGATGAAGCTGGCAAGAAGCTCACAGACGAAACTATCATGCTCCACATTCAGCAGGTCATTGTGTCTCATTCTAGAAAATACTATTTGCATATAAAAATATTGACATCACACTTCCAACTTACTTGATAAAGAAATAAGAAAAAAAATAATTCACGTTTTTATTACCTGAACTATATAAAGAAAATTCCGTATAAATATAATTACTTCTCCGTCCCATCATCTTATCAAACGTATAATTTCAATTATATGAAACTAAAATATTAACGTTGCAGGCACTGTGCGCCACTAGAAGTAAAGGCGAGATTTCAAGGAATATAGAACTGCATAGTAGCGGGGGACCCCACTCGCAACCGAACATGCCAACGAAGAACACAGCCCTGGAGATGAGTATGATGGACCGACCGGGCCTACTGTCAGAGCTATCAGCAGTGCTGGTGGACTTGGGCTGCAGAGTTACCTCTGCAACGGCCTGGACCCACAATGACAGGGTGGCCTGCATTATCAACGTTGAAGACGCGTCCAAACTGGGGCCCATCAGTGACCCAAAACGTTTGGCCCACATGGAGGAGCAGCTGGAGAATGTAGTTGCGGCCCATGGCGGGTCCGGAGAGGGGAAGAGCGTGAGGCTTACAAACTTGGCCTCCGGGCGCACCCACACGGAACGGCGGCTCCACCAGCTGATGTACGCGGACAAGGATTACGAGAGTTGCCGTGCTTGTCATGGGGATAGTAGCGGGGAACACAAGAAAGGTTGTGATGGGACCCACGTTTCTGTTGGTAGATGCGAGGACAAAGGGTACTTGGTCGTCAACGTCAGGAGCAGGGATCGTCCCAAGCTGTTGTTCGATACGGTGTGCGTGCTAACGGACATGCAATATGTGGTTTTTCATGCCGCCATTAGTTCCAAGAGATCCATGGCCGATCAGGTACTTCATATCTTCCAATAATCTCCATCTACCAAACTAATTTCCTGTGGAGATGTTATTATTCTTATTGATCTACGTGTTATAGGAGTATTTTATGAAGCACAGCAGCATGGGTAGTTCACTTCTTGACAACCACAACGAGAGGCAAAAGCTCACCTTATGCTTAATCGCTGCTATTGAGCGCAGAGTCTCACATGTATGTCCTATAAGATCCAGCTTAAAGGTTTTCTTTTTTAAGCCATTATTATGCTATATTGCCTGTTTAATATATATGCACTGGTGCAGGGATTAAGAGTAGATATTCGCACTGAAAACAGAATAGGGCTACTGTCGAATGTGACCCGGGTCTTCCGGGAAAATGGCCTGTCTATTTCAAGGGTTGAGATTGGAACAGACGGGGAGAAAGCAGTAGGATCATTTTTTGTTACAGATTCTTCAGGTGAAGAAGTAAATCCAAATATAGCCGAATTGGTGCGACAAGAGTCCGGTGGAACCGTAGTTACTGATCACAAGTCCCCGCATAGGGTACCTCAATCGTCATCATCGTCGGTTATACGTAAAACCGAGAGTATTATAGAGACTAAGCCAAGATTTTCTCTAGGAAGCATGCTATGGTCTCACTTAGAACGCCTTTCTGGAAGTTTTGGCCCCATTAAATCCTGAGAAACTTCAAACTCGTACTTCTACTTCAAGGAATGTCTCCTAAATAGCTGTGTAGATAAGAATTTTTTATTAGTTTTTTCCGCTCCTAATTTCTTTTCCTTCTTGGCAAAAGGTAAAAGAGTGTTCTAACTTGGAATTGGATGGTCATTGTACATATTTTTCTCACACGAAAATCCCAGGCAATACTACACGAAGAGAAATGAGTTTTACAGACCAATTTGCGCACATCATCAAGTGCTATTGGAAATAGATTTTGGTTTGATCTAATAATTAAAAACTTCTAATTTATAGTATTCTAACATCTGGATGGCCTAGCCACATTTTAAAATAGGGAGGAATAAGCCAACAAAAACAACCCTTCCCTTCTATTTTTATAAACCATGATCCTTCATGTCTCCGGTACAATGAATGCTAACAACCTACCAAAACAACTAGTCTAGTTTTTTAACACCAAGGTACGAAGTCACGTACCTACTGAAGGATTTAAAGCATAAAAGCTCCTTGCTTTTGTTTTAATAGTTCTAGAAAACGTAATGGGGCCATCTGGCTATCCTCCCATTCTCCTTACACACACTTCAGACGTGGTTACAGGAAAAAATTCGTATTCCGTGCGATAGATTAGCAGAAAAAAGAAGACTACAAGACAATTGTAAGAAATGTTAACAGGAGACAAAAAAACAAGAGACAAAACAAAAGATATGACACTAGAGACGCTATTCTCCAATTAAAATTAACATTTTATCTTGATAATTACTGTTTTGATCCTACTGAGATAAAATTAAAATAAACATTATATCTCGATAATTACTATTTTAAACTTGAAGGGTACACTGTAGAGAGCCTGAATATTGCAAGTGCAGGACCGGCGCCCCTTGATATCTATTTCATTAGGAGGTTTTTAACTGAGAACTTAAAAATCTAACTTACGCCGCAGCCCAAAGGGTGGTGAGTTGAAACTACTTCAGAGAAACATCTAGGGAATTAGTAAGTTCTTCAGCGCTTAGTGGTTCTTCAAGAGAAACATCAAGGGACCTCAGAACCAAATAGCCGTAGTAAGATTATGCATCACATGCTTAGAAAGTTTGCCAGTGGTAATATCTGCTTATCATTAAAATTGAAATTTTAATCTTACATATTTCAGTCACTATATAACATATGTGCTAGCAGAGTGTAGTTGTTCTTTTCATCTATTAAATAATTATTCATCCTGGCCACATCAGGCTACTGATAATTTCTTGGGAGACTTCATTCACGATCGTTTATAAAAAAGTTAGGTGAGTTCAAAGTATTGGTAACCCAAAAAAATTTGGAATTTGCTAATCAAACAGAAGTATTACTTCAAGTTCGGTGCAGTGATAGCCAAACATAGCACAATGCCCATCGGAGACTGGCTTTATTTACACAAACATGGTCTTCAGAAGTTAATCGTAGAGTACACAGGCTATATGCAAATATTCACAAAATATAAGTGAATCAAATAAAAAAAAACTTACCTCTATGACATATTCCATGGCATTATCACATAACATCAATGTCATCAACGTTAAGCCAATCATTGGAATCCTTGGTCACAGAATTACGAGCACTTGAATGCTCAGAGCCAGCATGTCTGCTTTCAACAGAGTTTATATCCTTATCAGAGTTAGGTGAACTTCTACCTAACTGAACCCAATCTCGTGAGTCTTTTGTTGAAGAATCGGAACCTGATCTAGTTTTTTGATAACTAGCATGAACATCGCTGTCATCCTCCTCAAGATCACTGAATGAAACATCCTCTTCATTACCAGTTTGAATAGAAGTTCCACTGGGACCAACCATTTCAGAACTATCCTCTTTCAACCAATCATCAGCATCATCTTCATATGTTTCATTCAAAAATCTATAGGTTGAACCAGATGATGATTGTTCGGCAGTTGGATTTACAGGTGCTTCATTAACCACGGATTTGTCAATACTCTGTGTAACAGCACCTTGAGCGGAATGATTCTCCATCTCAACATCAGACACAACCATAGATGGGGATTCTTCAACTGAAGCTGTCTGAAGAGGTGCTGATTCAAGTTGAGCACTGCTTGGCATGAAGAGATGTTGTTCCTCCTCTTTTGTGGGAATATTTCCTCCTGCTGACAAGTCAGGTTCTTTCTTTTCCTTACTTCTTTTGTCTAAAGCCTGAGTTAGCATTGCCCTGGCTTCCACTATCTGTATACATAACATGAATTACCGGTAATCGAGGAAAGCACCATAACAAATAATACAAAAAGCAACGAGTAGTCAGCATGCTTATTTTGAAGCATGGTGGGCACATTTCTGCCGTGATACAGAAGGATTGGATATAACTTACAACTTTACAAGGGGCTTTGACAATAAGATTTGATCATATAAGATGAGTTACACATGATTCTGTACTGTTATAATTTCCAATTCCAAAGATCAAATTAATATTCAGATGCCAACTTTAATCTATGAATAATGAAAACCCTTAATTGTCTCTGCTAACTGCTTCAATCGTTAGTTAAACATGATTAAAGTTAAAACGATCGAAAAATACAAACAACACAATTTCTGTTACCTATGAGGCATGAGCACCAACTAGGCTGACAAAAACCACATAAATGCATCAAAGAAAGAAAACAATTCCAATTAAAATTTAACTCACTTGTGGGGTTGATAAAATATCAGCATCACTTTTGCTTAGTCTAGGGTGCACGAGTACAAAATAAATCTTCCAAAAGCAACCATCGCTCATATATCCAGGGCAAAGTTCCATTCTAAGAGCAGCTAAGCTTGGAGCCAGATGTTCAACAGCTAGAGCGTGTTCTTGTTGTGCATCGGACAAATCAAATTCTAAAGAGAAAAAAAAAAATTCAGATAGAGAATATCACAAAGAATCATATGATATCACATAGAACAAACAGAAAAGTATCTTAAGAAGCCAGTTAAGGAAAATGGCAACAAATTTTATTCAAATATATACATTTTCCTTCAAAGTAATAAATTAATCACCACGAAATATCGATAAATAGAAATTGCCACGCAAAATCGATAACAATGAGAAAATCGTTATACCATCAGAATCGGCCTCGTCGGGGAGAGGAAAATCCAGCCAAGTCTCCGGATGCATCGCTATGCTTCTGGCAAAGGCCACCACCTCCTCGGTCACACCGACCACGCCGTCGAGATCATATTCCTCTTGGGATCCAATTTGAAGGAAACTCGATGCGATCTTCGTGAATTCGAATACCGTTTTATTGCCAGAAAGCTTGGAGATCCCGCTCTTGAATTTGCCGCTAATTTCCGCGAAATCATTTCGGATTCCAGCAATAACGTCTTCGTCGGGAGGGTTAGGATCGGTGACGTTATTTTGGGGATGAGGATCGGGGGGAGGGGCGAGGAAAGAAGCAACGCCCCATAGTTGGCGTGAAAGGGATTTGGTGAGCTCAGAGAAATCTTCTTTGACGCCACGTGCGGTGGGACTGGGAGTGGATGCAGATTCAGATGCCGAATCGGGTTGAACGGCTTCTGATTCGGATTTGTTCGGAGGGGATTTTAGGTCACCGCCATTGTGAGAATCATCGTCGTCGTCGTCGAGTCTGAGTGAGTTTGCGATTGTCCTTGCAAACCATGACATCGTTGATTTCAACCACTTACCAGATTTCGATCATCACTTCACCGTTAAGTGAAGAGGAGTTCTTAACCAGATAAGACCTTTCCCTGCGACGCCGTTTTACGGTACACAACACTATAATAGGAATAGTTTAATTGTAGTATTTTCTGTCCCTCTACCATCAATATGCTATTATAGTCCCTTAAATTATTATCTAAAACTCTTAGTTCTTGTCTTTTCTTTTTTAAAATCTCTGTAAATTAAATTTACTAAATCATTTAATTTATTTTATATTCAAAACTTATTAAAATGGTGTATCTAAAAAAATATAACAATTTGATGATTTTATATAAATAAAAAATGTTTAGACTACATATATTAAAAAAAATGTTTTTTAAGGAATTAATTATAATAGTTTTTTAAAAAATAAGACGTGTGTATAATTTTAAAAATGTTGAATGCTTGAAAAATTGTAAATTAATCATAATAAGGCAAAAAAAAAAAAAATGCAATCAAGCTAATTGTAAAAGCAGTACTAAATAATTATGATAATAAGAACTTCTTTATTGTATACACGTGTGTTTATGTATTTTGGTGGGAATTTTGGGACGGCTCACTTATCACTTAGAAAGCCTCGGGTAGGTCATATAGATGCAGGTTATTCCATTAATGTGTGTATATATAAAAGCCATTAAAAAGGTTCTCATTGTCCTCAATAACTCCTTATTCAATATGTATAACAGTAACGCACTTCATTAGAGTGGTAAATATTTACAAGATTAGGATCAATAGAAGCCCCCAAGCTTTGAGCTAAGAGATTGTGAAGTTGAAAATTTGTGTATTTCTTGATGAATTCACCGTTGATGCACACTCGTGAAATCACCAATTTAAGAAAATAGGCGGATGAGGATTTCGTTGCGCCATGAAAGTGTATCCGCTGTAAATGACAAAGTATGTTAAGGCCTTGTATTTTTTTAGTGAAATTTTAGATAAATTTTTATTAAACAATTAGAATTAATAATGAATAAATTTTTTTATAAATTAAAATAATTTATCTCTTCACATTGTACAGAAATTAAATGAAAGAGTTCTCAAAAAATTAGAGAAATATAAATTATTTTTAATTTATAAAAAATTATTAATCTTTTGTACTATTTTTTCTTGTTAAAATTCCTCTAAAAATTACTTAAATGACCTAAATCCAAGATGGTGGATGTCTATCTAGAAGTATATTTGAAATACTAAAATAGCGTTTGTTTTACTTGGACAATTTTTTTATGATTTAAAGAAAAAATTACTTAAATGTCATCTATGAAAAAGTTACAGATACAAGTATGCTCTAGTTTACATGAACTGAACGGTTGAGTCGTTCTTCTTTCCCTCTCAACTCCCTCCTTCACCCCCTCTCCATCTTGCTCTCTCCACCCAACCTGCTTCCTCTTCCCGCTCCTGTTCTCTCCATCTACCCTTACTCTCCCACAATCTCAGCTCCCTTCTTTTCATAATTTTGTTAAAAAAAATATTTTTTCTAAATTAAAAATAAAACTAAGAAAGAAAAAACTATAGTAATTCAAAAAAAAAAAAAACTCAGCTCACTTCGAAAATTATTGTGTAAAACTAAAAAAAGAAACTATAGTGATTCAGTGGTGAAAAAGATCAACCAGAGAAAAAGCTATACAAAGTGAGTTCAAATCCGGATGTTCTTAGTCAAGCCTGAATACGAATCAGCGACCATGGACAATGAATAAGGTCCTTGATGACGAGTTATTGGACATAAAGTAAAAAATAAAGAAAAAACAGAAGCATATTTTAATGTTATTATAACTTTGCTATATAATGGAATATATATTTCATGAGATTAAAATGTAGGGTTTTTTTTTAAAATGTGAATAAAAATTTAAAAAGAGAGAGAGAGAGAGTTAGGTTTGAGAGTCAAAATTATTATTTAACTCAAAAACTATAACTCACATGATAATAAATAAATAAGGCTTAAATTAGTTTGTAATTTTTTAAAATTTATTTACATTCTTTATCTGACTACTCTTTAATTTTAATAAAATTTATTTTAATATATTAAATATAATTAAAATGTACATTTTTAAATATTAATTTAATTTAATAAAATTTACAAAAAAACCATGTTATTATGTTAGAAATTGATTATTGTTGTAAACCAAATAATAAATATGGGCCAGTATCTTGTTCTAGGTTAGCACCAAAAGACCCAAAGTTTATTAATGGTTCCGTAATTAAATATGGGCTAGAAATTTATTTTGAGATCCAACTCAGTTAAAATCTACACACTTAATGTCCTACGAATTTTCACATGGGATCACAGTCAAGAGTCATACCTTTTAACTCGAGCCAGAATCCTTTCCAGTTAAGTTGAATTACCTTATGAGAATTCGTTCATGTACTCGATTACTCATCTGCACTCACAAATTGCACAATCTTATTGCATGAAGAACAAGATTTATCTTCAATTATTGTTCTGTCAAATATTCACTAACTAAAGTATTGTTATACCTTTTACAGATACCTCTTATTATTTCAAACTCACATGTACCAATACTGTAGCACTTCACGTTAATTTAATCCTTGTAGGTTCGTTAGAGTGATACCAAATGTATCTAATAAGCAAAGTAAAATGGTGGTACGACAGCAAAATACGAGTTCTGATAGGGAAGTTTTTCAAATCGTATATATTTCGAAACAATTATTATTTAATATATTTTTATTATATTTGAACCACCAAAAATTTGATATCTTATATGAGATCATACATTATTATTTTTATGTCTCTTTTATCTTTTATATATACACATCCAAAAAATACAATCTCAGTATAAAAGAGACACTTTATGGTATTCTAAATTAGTGGTACTATAAGTGGCACGTGTAATCTGTAATGCATTCGTTAAATATTTATACCATTTATTTAATATTAATAATCTTTATTTTAATATTTTTTATCCATATCCCAAGAGTACTTGTTAAAATAAGAAAGGTGTAGCTAGCAGCCCTGAGCCATATCCCTGGTGCACGCTCCAATGTCCAAACGCACAAACTGTGGACAAACGCTATTTACCCCGAATCAAGTAATTGAACTTATTTAACAAAGGGAGATAATGACAATTAAGAAAAACGTTATATTAGAACTCGAGAACCCGGCCAGGTTCCCAGTTGGTCATCGTTTCTTGATTCATACGAGGGACTGAACACCAGTTATAAGAAGAGGTTGAGGATAAATTCAATTCCAGCAATCCACCAGTAGTTTCCTGAGATTCCATTCCCAATGCTTCAGATTGTGCTCCCTCGTACCAGTTAGTGGACATTGTTGAGGTAGCAGTTGATGCAACACTTTGAAGAAGTTGATGATGAAGCTGAGGCTTGAACTCTGGTGCAGCCGTAAGGTGCTGAACTAGGTCTCGGAAGTTTATAGCGTCCACCTTGTATACTTTGATCGGTGTTGGTAGCGGTGGTGCCACTGGCGCCCTCTTCCACGGTTTTGACTGTGACTTCCGCACGGAATGGAGCAAGGAATGGGATTGCAAAGGGTAAGCATTTTTTATACCCTTGGTTTCGCCAGGGTTTTGTGATAAGTATGAAGAATTTGACGTAGGGTAAGAGCTGGAATAAGCTTCCATGGTCCTGCTAATTCAGATCACAACGCAAGTTGGTTTAGCTTGCTTGATTGGTTTTATGGTGATGATAATTTGAAGTTAGATAACAAGGTGGCTAAGAGTTGGAGAAAGTACGCTATTAATGTGTGAGTTCTTTTCAACTATTTATAGATTGTCGTGACTTGTGGGCGAATTGAGGGTGGCGATGAAGGTAAGGTGCGTGCGTTGCTTGCATTGATTGTCAATAAAAGCCAACGACTTAAGGATGGGGCAGCTTGGGATTCAGACGTGGTTTTTGTCTTCACCGTCGGCGGAATGTATAATGTAAGTAGTGACATATGGGAACCAATCCGTGTGGTCAAAATATTCCCTCCAAGTTTGTCTTTATTGGACCTTATGTTATGAATCATGTTGTTTTTGTTATTAAAAAATAATGGTGAGGGTACCTTATATGACGTTCCTCTGATCCTCCCAAAGTCGCGAAGAGTTTGATACAACTATTTTGTTTGAAAATTTATATGTGCATGTGTGTGAAATACAATTTAATTTAATGTTATATATTTTTAAAACTGAGGATATTTGATGACTTTTTTAAATTTGTGTACAAAGTTTTACGCATTAACTACTTGAAACAAATTCAGTGCCTAATATATACAATTTGTTTATTTAATTGAACTAAGTCATTACATACGGAGATTTGAGTCCTCTAGTTGCACTTTCAAGAATAAAAGGCGAAATTGTAATAGATATAATAATTTTTTTTTTAAAAAAGTTCTTTTAAATATTTAAATTTTATTTTTAAATATGATGTTAACTTTTTCTCAATTTGTTATATATGTTTATGTCTTTTGACTTTAATTATAATCTGAATCAAGTTTTTTTATATATGTATAATAAGTGGATATAAATTCGTAGATTACCCATTAAATAGCTCCGGTCATAAGGAGTGAAATTATAAATATTAATGCATGTTTTTCAAGTAATTATTCTTGCACTTTTGAATTAAAAATGGAGATGAAGAAGTGTATTTTCCAAAATACTCAACATCACAACAAGGCACAAATATTGTCTTTTACTCGGCTTTTAAATTTAGATTAAGAAAAAAATTGGCTATCAAGCAAGATTTAACTTTACATGAACAAAAGGTTAATTAATAAGGTGAGTCAATAAGCGTAACAATCGCCATCGAGTATCTGTCATTCACGTTAGTGAAGATAATACTTTATTAACAATTATTAATAACTTATAATACATACATTAAACCATATAAAAAATATTTTGAATGCGTAATGCTTTTCAATGGCAGATCTAATAATATATTCATCACTGGGCTTTAGGAAAACAATTTAAAAATTAAAGTGGTGTAAAATATATAAGAAGCTAGCGATTACTTCCGCTTGGTGCAGAGACGATGGGAGAGTGTGTTAAGAAGATTAAGTCATTGGTGAGAGATTAATTGGAGATTTTGGACAATATAGCCGCCTCTCTCGATAGACGGTCTTACGCTGGGACGAACTTGCTACTTGCATGATTCATGATTGCATCAAGTGCATTGCCCATTTATTAATAGAGTTCAAGATATCCTTATTTGACCAAATTCCATAACTTGACCCAATAAACGGCGTCGCTTTTATCAACTTTTTGGGAAATGCCTTTCCTCGCCCATTTCTTTCATGTTGATAAAATAAACAGTGGATAACATAGCACAGAGCCTGCGGGACTTTTTTTTCGGTATTTTTCCTGCCCTCTTATTTAATAAACTCTATAAATTTTAATTGAAATTAGTTAGTTGTTTTTAATTTGCCTTAGAATTTTTTATTAATGTATGTGTGAGAAAATAAAATGATTAGAAAAATAATGAAAATAACTTTTAAAATATTTATAATACTATTTAAAGAAAACCTATTTGAATTTTTTTTCTCGAGATTTATTAAACGCAAAGATGAAAATTTTCTTTTATATATATTATTTGTTATGCACCAAAGTGAGGGTAAATAAATGAGAGATGATCGAGTGTAAGTGTGAAAGCATGCAAGAAATCAAACCACCAGTGAGTTGAAACGAAATTATCTTCGTCGTAGAGGATGACCCACCCCTATGTGAATCAAATTCCATGTTTGCTGCTGCTACCTTGTTCATATTGGCATAGTACGAACGCAAGTTAACGGTTACAATAGACAAATGGGTTATGTTCCTGTTGGGGAAAGAAGATTTGTATCAGCATGTTTAAAGTCAAAGTGTCGAATAATAAATATTATTTAATATTTAAAAGTTAATTTTTTTATTTTTTTTTTTATTTTTTTATAAAAAATATTATAATATACTTGTTGAGTCAATCGTAATTTTGATTCTTTAGAGTAGATAATAGTTTGATCAGGTAAGACCGAATAGTATCTTATCTTGTATAAGTTAGAATTCTTAAAAAAAATATTATTTAAAATTTATATATAGATAAATAAGTCTGACACTTATAACTTTAATTAAAAAAAATATCAAGCAATATGGTTTTTTTATTTTATTTTAGTATGCATTTAAAAAATATTTTAAAAAAATTTACATGTAAATTTTACATAAAAATATAATTAACAACATTAAAATAAAATATAAATTCGTAATCATTTAAAGTGAATTTAAATACTTAATTGAAAATCAGATAATTCATGGAAAAAAAAAAAGAACATGTCAATCCCATGGTAACCGAGCAGTAAAAAGCAAAAAAAAAGTGTATGGTAGTAATTCAAATTCACAAATCACAACAGTGTTGTACACAGTAATCACATTCTCTTCCCTCCGCATGCAAGGTATCAGGCACTGAGCGAGTTACGGAATTTGATATACACACGTCTTATCCCGCAAAGAATTTAAGGTGTTTCACGGACACTAGCAACTAGTTATTGAGTTCTTCTTTTGAAGATTAGTTGCGTCCGTATCCCCTGGTTATGTGTGAATGAGGACCTAGTTCAAAATCAGACTTAGCATGCAGTTGCACCTCGGGGTATCACGCTTGGTTTGGATTTCATGAGAGAAATGTTCAAATTAATTAACTAAATCTCAGTTGAATTTACTCTTATTTGTTAAAGTTTTAAACTAACCTAACATGAAGAAATCAATCATATTCGGGTTAAGTCAAACTAGAGTGGGTTTAAGACATAAGTCTAATTTAATAAAAAATGATGGTAAAATAAGAATAATTTTACTAAAATTTTATTAATTTTAAAAAATATATCCAACATATTATTTTTAAATTAGGTTGTACCTTGTGACATTGACTTTTTTTTCTCTAACTATGTAGTCAATTAAAATTTTTAATTTCTAAACTTATTGATGAAATTTTAATAGTTGATTTAATATTACAAAAAATTAAAAATTAAAATTTTTAAAAAGTTATATTTCATACATTAGTAAAATAACCTTAATAAAATCTTTACCCTGTGCCTCAAATGTCCTTAAGCCAACCTTAATTCAAACCATCAAGTTTATGTAATATGTGTGTATGTGAGTTTGCTAATTTATTTCAACCGTTGTTTTTACAAAAATATAGTTTTAATATTTTGCATCAAAATTTTAGGACAAAAACATTAGATTTAAAAGAATCCAATGTTCTTACCTTAGAAACATTTAGCTCAATTCAATTTTATAAGAACTAGTACTTATTATAGTATATATATAAATTTAAAAAGACGTTTTTATATTTTTTTAATTTAATGTGTATAATTTTTTTAATATTTTATAAATTAAAATTTATTTATATTTTTTTAAATAAACTAATAATTCTATTATCTATATATATGAAAATAATAATTATTATTATTTCATGTATACTTTAAAAATTACTTTTTCTTTTTTCTTCTTCGATATTCACTGTCGCTCTCTAGTCGTTCAGCTTGCACATGTAACGCCTACTATTGATAAACTCTTTATTCCTCTTCTTTTATTTTTTGTATAAAAAACAATGAAGACCTTAGGATTATCGTCTTGTTTTTATAGACATTCCTTCATTTTAAGCACAAAGCTTTGATTTTCTGCTTCTCAACAACCGTTGTCATTTAGTTTTTTTACCCTCACCGAATTGAATACCGCTATAGTCATCGTCATGCCACTGTTGGCGCCAACACGTGCCTAGTTAGCATTTTCAAAAGTGATCAATCCATCTGCATATTGACAGTGTCTAAATGATGTTGTCGTTCCCATTATAACTGTATCTTCTGTTAGGGTGTTAGCTTTCAGTAGAAGGATGGACCATTGTCAATAAAAGGTCAAGGTCGAATAATTGAATATAGGCATCAATTTATTTGCAAATATTTGCGTTTGGGCTTAGAGTCATTGGTAATTATCTAATAGGAAGATAAAGGGAAAACTCAAGTTGACGATGTGAATTTTGTCCTTTGATGGGTGTCACGAGGAGAAAAGTAAATCTTGATCTTGTTCCAGGAGAAGTCGTGAAAATTAATTCTGCAAAAAATAGTTTTTTTGTTTTTTAAAATTATATTATAATTTTAAAAATAAAAAACTGTTTTTAAAATAGAAAATAAATATACTCTGAAAATTGAGACCTTTCTTTTGTTATTAATTAAAAAACTGAATGGACTTAAATCTTCTCGAAAGGAGGCTATTCATTTAAATGAAATATATTTTATATTAGTCATAATTTTATTAGAATTAATATGTGCGTGTATTCAGAGTTTGAATCAGATGAGGTTCACAAGTGTGAGGTAGACCCGTGATCACCCTTAATTGCATTTGAAGAAGTAGATGTGTACGTAAAGCATACATAAACGTACAATTAGATAGTGGGTATTGAGTCTGAACTCTGAACCCGCCTCAAAACTCAGAAACTTGCGCAGGTTTCACTTAAGTCATGAAAAGCATGACAACAGGACAGTGATGAAAATTCCATCTTCGACTTGGGCTGGTTTGGCCTCCGGCTGCTGACTTTGACTTGCTCTGTGTTAGGCAATAGGCTAGGTAAGGGAAACCCGTTCACCTCCTCTGCTAGCTGTGCTTTGCCTGTCGCAAACATAATCTGTATTTCGATTGGATTATCCGATTATGTTTATGCCTGCACATCAAACTTTTATTGTCATTTCATTCCGTTTAAAGGTCATTTACACCCAACAATGGTTGGTGCAATTCATAAAGTTGGATCGTTTTAGTAAACTTCAAATCATTTGACAATTTATTGTGAGATGTTTGTGAGTTACATATTACTGTTGTTGTTTAAATTTGGACTTGTCACCTTTTTTTTTCTTCTAAATTATATGCATACTTTATAAGAAATAATCTTGTTTGAATTGAAAATATTTAAGGATGGTAGGATAAACTCTCTCATTGAACTTTCTGTTTCATTCAATAAGTCTAAACTTAAGACATTGCTTTTAAAAAACTAAACATATACCACTTAAGTAAAAATATTTGTCGTTATTTTCCTATTGCCCTACGTTATAGTTATTAAAAACTGTTATAGAATTATTGATTCAAAAAAATATTATTTACAGAACAAATGAAAATTATTAAATATGTTAATATCATTTTTTTAGCATATACTTACCGAAATTTAAACTATTAATATAATAGATTATAATAAACAATTTGTTGACATAAAATATTGATATATTATTATAATATAAAAAATTAATGTAACACGTTATATTGTTAGTGTAGATCTGTAATATCTATATTAATGATTTAATTTTTATTAAATAAAAAACTATACAAAAATATAATGTTAACATTTGATCCTTTTTGCAGTGCAGGTAAAATATGTGTGTATTTGATAAATATTAAAGTTTGTGATAAAATAAAATAAAATCTTTGAGGACAAAATCTATCTATCTATATTTCTATATATATTATGATTTAAATAATTACTTATTTTAATCTTCTAAATAAGTATCACGCCAAAAAAATTAGTTAATGGATGTGATGTTAATAACTGTAGATAATCATGATATGAGGAAAATAAACATCTTACATGGGACTTCGACACCTTAATTAGTGTGAAGTGGATTAGAAAGATGGACTTCCAGTTCCAGGGAACTACTTATTCAACATCTTTAGTCTTTAATATGATTAATCTTAAAATGGGGAATGAAGAGTCAATGTTTTTGTGCTCAGTATTCAGGTTATTCATCACTTCTTACTCCATGATCACTTTATCACGTGTGCAATTACACCAATTCTTTTCACGTGTCCCATTCCCGCAGGCAGCATGGTTTTGACTTTGGACCATTTCTTAAGCCATTCCTGGGGGCGAGTCCAGCTCACTAGTATTTTCTGTCTTTCTCGCTGGAAGCTACATACACCCCTTGTTTTTCTTAAATTTTACTCTCTTTTAAGTTTAGCTTGTTCAAATGATCTTTGTTTTAACAATTGAAAAATATTTATTATTTTAAGCTTTATTATTACCTCTGTACTCCTATTAGGTAAAGTAATATAATTTTAAAAAACTTATATTTCCTTCAAAAATTAAGAATATTTAAAAAATGCATCCTTAAATAATTCAGTCACTAATCATATTCGTTAATAACAAACTTACAAATTTGCATTTAAATCACGACTTTTTACAGGTTGATCATCATTAGATAAAGTTTGGGGGGGGGGGATCTACTCATTTCAATTTCTTTGATATTCTCAATATTTAGATAATTTTTTTTTAAAAAATTCACTTTCATATTTTTTTTACCATATCACCAATTTTTATATTTTTTGAAATAAAATTTCAGAATATATTACTCACTTTCAAATTTTAATTTTAAGAAAACGGTGTGAGGAAGCCATCTGTTATATGTTAAAAGTAAGAGGTGCCTCTGTTATTCAACAAAAACAAAGTGAGAGGTACCTCTGAAAATGTGTACACTGATAACAAAGTTTTGATGAGTAGCAATGAAACTTGATGGAGTAATTGACTATTATTGAGATTGATAGTTACGTTCGGTTAGACGATGCAGAACGTATCATGTGGATGAAGATGAGTTCAACCTTCAAGGGGGATTTCTCTTCAAGGAGGAGCTCTTCCATAACCTGCCTCTGCTTCCTCTAAGGCTTGGTTTTGAGGGCAAGCAACGTCATGAGGGAGATCCCCACTTGCTTTCTTGCTGTGGATTGCATTTAATTGACAACTTTTGTTCTGTTAATAGTTCAATCAATAACTTTATAAACAGTTGAAAGACCCATATCAAGTATGAAAAAGAGGTTGCACGACCCAAAACTCAAAGGAGATTCTACTCTGCTTATCTCCTGCTGGATACGAAAGCCATTTTCTACATGGCTTTTCCTGAACCATTCGGGCACCAAAATATGTAACGAATAGTCGCCTACTTTGATGTTATATACAATCTGATTAGATGTTAATTGAATTTGATACAAAATTAGGAAGAAAACTTTACCTATTTTGATCATTTTATTTATTTATTTCTGGTTGGATAATTTACGGACACGTCATTGTAAAGATATATAAAAAATAAATAAAATTTATCTTTTAAATTAAAATAAATTATCTCTTCAAAATTTTTAAAAATTAAATAAGAGTAATTTTTAAAATATGTATATATATAAATTAATGATAAGTTATGAAAAAAAATATATATTTTTCTCTTGCAAGATCGTATTCATAAGTTTACTCACATTTTGATAATTGAAAGAATAAAAAACTTTGGCATGATCACAGCTTAAGTAAAGCTGTAGTTAGTAAAAAAGTCGCTTTCCAATTTGTATATTAGTAAATTTTTAGGCGCTAAACAAATTTTAACCAAATTGCACATTTACTATGCACATGGTATCTGAAGTAATAGTCACGTTAATATAACAGCCAACCACATTTCATATCTTATTGTTTTTGAAAAATTGGGTGTGGCCTTTTTCGTGCATAGTAACACTATTTGCGTGGACAGTTAACTTAGACAAGGCTATTCTCTGATTTGTAGGTTTTCCTAGAGCCAAACTGCAATTCAACGTTCCTATTTCAATGAAAGCTCTAAGCTTTCTTTTCTTTCGTTTTCAATCAGGCAGTGATTCAGTGAGTGGTAATATTGGGTCTTGTCCTCAATTCCTACCACAAAAGGTTAAGCAAAAGTGTGCACTCACCCGGACGTCTAGTCATCCATAAATACAGTAAAACATGAGAGCATCTGGTGAGGAGTACACCTGCCTTCTCTCTACTACACTATTTACACCCTGTTCCCTTCCCTGATAGGTCATATCGCGGTAGCACCAATGGAGCACTTAAGAATCTAATAACGAATATAAAAGAATTAAAAAGATCAATATCACAATTTGGAAAAGTTGAAGTCCAGAATCAAAATGAAAAATGAAATGGTTGTTTCCATTGTACACATAAAAATTGACCGTCACAAGCTCTCCAGTCTCTCTACACATTTGAGATCAAAAGCAAAATTCCCAGTATTTTTAATGGAAAATTGGAGGCCTCTAAAAGGTCCAAAGAGGAAGAAGATACAATAAAAGTAAGGCATGGAGCAAAGCAACTCCTCCACAATTACAATTGAAATTGCAAGCTCCATCTTCGCTGTGTAATCACTCTCCTAAGAAGTATCTTTATCCAACAACAGCAAGACTTCTACATCCATATATAACCAACCCCAAAGCAGTATAAAAAAAATTCAGTATCATCTTAATGGGGCTTATTGTAAAAACATTGGACAAGTAACCCGCAGAAGTGAAAGGCACTTAAGCAAGGGTGTATCGATGTCCACATTATGATTCTTCGTTCAAATCAATTGTTGGAATCAAAATACTAAATATATACAGGAGAGACTTGCACCTCAACTCCATGTCACGTTTTGGGGTTTATTAGAGATGGGCGGTCTGAGAAGCGGCTAACCTTACTATTCTTGCCCCACAAATTTACAATTTGTTGACACCACCAGGTTGAAGTCCATGGTCATTGGATGGTTCTGGTAAGCTTGCACTTGGAAATGAAGATGGTATCTGAATAATTTAAACTACACAGCTTCAATAGCTCAGCAGACTGTTGTTTCAATATAGGATTGCAACCACTTTGAATTACAAGGAGGAGTTTTGCAGCAAGCCCGGCATCGACAGCAATGGACGAGCACTCCTCGGGTGCAAGCTTGCACACGGACCATAGGATAGACAAAGCATACTGGGTGCAGTTCTCTGAGATCCTCATCAACAGTTTCACCATGATGGGTATGGTGTTACAACAGTCCTTTAAAGCCACTCTGCCTTCGGGTATAGATGCTAATGCATCTAAAACACAAAGGGCTAATTCCAAACAATCAGGCTCCATACCAGACAACAATTCAACCAATTGAGAAACAGCACCAATGCTCACTAACAAATTCCTCACTTCTTTATGCAAACAAATTGTTCTGAGAAGGCTTAACCCCGGACAGATTCCATTGCTGTGTCTCTTATCCTTGACCAGCCTCATCAACCCAACCAAAAGGCTATGGCTGGAGATAACCTCCGACCGAAAATCCTTCTCCTCAATCAACGATTCGATCAACCGCGTGCAATTGATTTTGGTCTCAATTGAACCCTCATTCAAGATATCCACCATCAAAGAAATTTTAGCAGGCTGCAAAAGATTCTTTTTGGAATCCGAATCAAGGGTCAAACTCACAAGAATACCAATAACTTCAGAGCCAACAGCATGGGAAGTAAAAGGGCCAAGTAAAGAAGACATGACAGAGACACCACCTTCATCAATCACTGTCTTGCGAGCAGTGGAGTGAGAAGCCACCACTTGGTGAAGCTCCTTGAGGGCCTGAACTCGAGCTTGACCCTTCACCTTCTTCAGTGTCTCAAGAAGTTCCGAAGCTCTTCCCTGAACATCTTCTGATCTCTTCTTCATGAGTAGGTACTTCTGAGAGAACCACGTGTATATGAGCCGGTAAAGGGTGGTGTTTGGAGTGACGGAATCGTCCCAAAGCTCTTGCATCGTTGTGGGGCAAGTCAGGTGGCCCAGGTTGAACCATTTGAGAATGTTGGACCTCTCGTAGGTTTGGCCAGTGCAAAGGGTGACAGGGTCTTGCATTGGTTCCAAAGAGATTGGGCAAATGAACACACTGGGCACTTCGCATAACTCAAGCTCCTCAATCATCTTCCCCAGATCCAACTTCTCACCCACCCCACTTCCCACAACGCCACCCTCGACGCCACCCAAAACACCGTCTTTGACGGCGGTGTCCAGATCTAGAATCTGGCCGTCGCCACCCCCCTCGAACCCAGCAACTATGTCCCTTCTAGAAGGCTGAAACATGGGCATTTTTGAAACCCCTCTTTCAGGAAAAAAAAAAAAACTTGGCAAAATGCAAGGCAGAGAAAGAGAGAGCGAAGGAAAACCCAAATCCCAACCTAAAATCACTGCAGTGACAAGCACTCTTCAAGGGTAAAGAGAGCGAAACTTGCTCTACTGTGCAAATTCGCTTTATCTGATCTCTTTCTGTGGTCAAAAAAAATAATGACCATCACATCTCACATCATGAACATATAATCACTTCGTGCTCAAGCTTCAAAAGGGGGTTAAATCAAGGAGGCTTTAGCAAAACAATAAAGACCCGAAAGAAACCCAAAATATATTAAAAAAAAAAGGAAAAAGAATCTAGAGCAATGAAAGACCAAACAGTGCGGACCACTCCAACTACGACTAGGACTAGTTGAAATGAGTAAAATCAATGGCAGTAGAAAAACCTGACAAACAGTTGAAAGAAGATGGGTCAGTTGGAGAGAAATAATTGAGACCCAGATCACAGAAATAGGCAAAGCTTAGAACTTAAAAGGGGCTACATGAGATGGTGAACCAAAGAGGACCGTACCACCACAGTGGGGAGAAGCACACAAAAACCGTTCCTCGCTCTGCCAAACGCTCCTTCACCTCTTCTTTTCGGCCACTTCATCAACCAACCTAAAATATTAAATAATTCAATACTTTATTTTATTAATTATTGGGTTAATCTTTTGCTTTTTTTTTTTTTTGTTTACAATAACAGGTTACCGGTAAAGTGCGGGTTGTAGCCGGTTAGTAAAACACTCTCGACCCTCGCACCACACGTGCAGTCATCTAATGTGTCGCCATGAACTCACCCTTTTCTTTGTTTACTAATCAATTACTACTTTATAATAACAATAATTATTATTATTATATATACGATTTACGAAGGTCTCTGTCATATGCTGTACCATAACCCAAATTACGCTAGTATCCCCCTCATGGCCTAATGGATAATTTATATTTTTGTATTTTATAAACATTAGCCTTTGGGTTAATTTTAAATATTTATTTTTTATTAAATGCAAATAAATTTTAATCGATTTTTATTATTTAATGTTTAAATTATATTCTAAAGATTAACTATTTTTTCCTATCATTTTTGGCTTACACGAGTTCGTCGTTCCAGGAGATAAATTTTTCGAAGTTACTTTTTTTTCTTCTTAATTTTTTAAATATTTTTAGAGTTGTCATTAATGATTTCAAGCTCTTCACAAATATTTTTTATTTTTACTTTAATTGCTGTGCAGCAAGAAGTTTATGTTATGCTAAGGTAGTAGATGTAAATAAGTGCAAACTATAAATGATAATTGTTGATCCAATAGATGAAATATATTCATAAATGATTCCATCATATTTATCATATACATAGGTAAAAACTTTTATAGCATGTATGAATAGTTTGGTTTAGTTTAGAAAAGGTAGTTGGAGAGGAAAAATAAAATCTTGAGGAAACACTTTATTCGGGTCTTTCAACAGCAAAAATGAACAAAGGCAAAGTGTAACATAATTATAATTAGTGAGTATAATAACAGTAATAATGACTTTCTTTATGGACATGGCAGGGTAAAGGCATAAAGGGTACATTGGTCTTTAAAGGACGTAAATAAAGAAATAGTTTAGGTTGCACGAAGCAATAAAGCAGAAGTTTCACAAAAGTCCAGGGAAAACCCCACGGGCACAAATGAATAACCGGTGCGGCCCACGATGGGTCCAAAGTAAAACCTAAATACTTTATAGTTTTACTTGTTTAAAAAAATAATAATTACTTACTTTTATGATTATTTGAAAAAATAACTATTACAAAGAAGGCAATAAATTGTAGACACTTCTAATAATTTATACGGCAAACATGATGAATAAAATAAAAAGGAGGTTATAGTTGTGGTGTTGAACGGCACATCTCGTTTTAGCAAATGGAATATCTTAGATGCTTTTTCTTGAGAAAAAAGAAAGGAGGAAAACTAGCAGAATTTTATATTTAAAAAGAATAGAAAAACGACAAGCGTTGGTCTCCAAAAAAGCCCAAACATGGATTTACAAATAAAAAATGGGAGAGAGAGGAAAACGAAAAGGGTTGCTTTTTATATTTTATGGGTAAAATGCCAGCAAAGCATTGGACTGTGACAGTCTTTGCTTTGACTGTACGCATCGGTTTGCTTATCCGGTCTTTGCTTTGACTGCCTTTGCCAATGCGAATGCCCAGTGCAGTTCAGTCCCACACACTCTCTCTCTCCCCTTTACCTTCCGTCCCACCCAATTGGAAACTGACACGTGACTCTGCCTACTCTGTCTCCATCCCACCCTATGTCACTCTTTTTTATGGCTAACCTTGTACATTTTACACATTCAATATTATATTCTCCTATTTCTGTTTTTCTTATCATCCTAATCCTAATGCTTCTAGACCACTTATCAGTTTTTTCAGGAACCCCTCATTTTGAACTTCAAAAACCTTTCTTGTGTTAAGAGGGTGGGTAGTTATTAGAATAAAAAACTGGGTGGGTTTGGTTTGATGGGTAAAAGTGGAGTATTAATATTCTGTAGCGGATTGGATGTTTTCTTAATTGAAATTGAATATGGGTGTAGATGGTGCCCAGGTTGGACTCAATTCTTTACTATAGCTGGAGTTGGGACTTGGAAGGACAGGGATTTTTTAATTATGTTATTATTATTTTTGAGTGGTCTTCGATCTAGAGGTGAGGAAAGCTTGGTGATGGGAGTGCAGTTTCAATTTTTAAATCAATGGTCATAGAAATAGACCAAATCTATTATCGGGGATTCAACTTTCAGACACTGTGGGAGTCACATGATCTAACACAACACTATTTTTATAATACAGTGTGTCACATGATCCACTTAGTCATTTGTTCAATATCAACATTCCCGCTTTGGAGATTAAAATCACTCACCCGTTCCATGTGGACAATCATCTCTTATTCTTTAAACCATCCATGGAGTCAAGGGTGTTTAAAATCATATCAAAACATTTTTAAATTGCTAAATTGATTTAAAAATTTAAATACATCGTATATTTTATTGTAGTTTAGTTCATTTTTTTCTATTATTTAAATCAAATAAAATTGAACCAAGCAATGTTTATTATATATTTTTATTACTTTTATTGTTATACAATTTTTTAATAATATATGTGTTATTTTTGTTTATTTTATATTTTTACACTATTCTCTCTTACTTTAAAAATCTCTTTATTTTTCTTTTTATTGATAAATCTATTTTTTCACAAATATTTTCTGGAATTTTATTTTTTTCAAAAAATTAACGTTAACTTCCTGCCTTATTAAATCATTTTATTTAGATTTAAAGTTAAAATAAAAATTATAAAAAATAATTTTATTAAGAAGAATAAATATTTTAAATTTATTTAGAGTAGTTATCACATAAATTTATTCAATCAAACATTTAAATCATTACGTGAATTAAATATTTTTAATTTCACTTGTAAATTTAAATTTAAGTACTAAGAAATGTAATTATATGTGTGAAGATATAATTATACTATTCTTAATAGTAATAACTATGATTTAGAAAATATAAATAATAATTTATAATATAATTTCAAATATAAGTAATAGTTGTTATTAAATAAATATATAATTAAATTATTTATTAAAAGATGTATCATATTTATTAAATAAATGCATTATCCAGTGGGTTATATTATGAAGTCCTTGTTGTCCCAAGCCTCAACTATATACATCTCTCATGTTTTAAATAAAAATTAAAGAATGATATGATCGATAAATAATTAGTTATTTTTACTGTATTGATTGAAATTTGAATATTAATTATGTATATAAAAATTATATATATTAGTAACTTTTATATTAAAAAAGTTTAGTTTTTTATTATAATTAATGCCCTTAATGCACCTAAAAAAATTACATAATAAAAACAACAATAATGAGACTAATAAGATACGGGAATGAGTTGTACCGACATTACTATCACAGCTCACAGAAAGTCCAGCGGTTATGTCTACATCGATTCCTAATATAATCAACGATTAATACAGCTATTCATTGTGAATTATCAATTAAAAAATTATATAAAGTTTTGAGTGATATGAATATTCGGGCCCCATCTTGATACATGGGTGCAAATCAACTTATAAGATTTGTTGTTTTTCGTTTTGTGAACTTAGAAGATTTAAGGAGGAATAAGGGTTGATTGATTTAGTTTTGATTTTTAGTTTTTGAAAAACTATATTTTAAAAATTTTATAAAATTATTTTTTAAGAAAAATATAAAAATAAAATTTGTTTGGTATTTTAGTTTTTAAATTATTTTTAATTAAATTTTTATTAGTTTTAGAAAAATAAATGAAAAATAAAAATAAAAGCACTTTAAAAGTAATTCTGCTTTTTAATTTTAAAAACTGAAAATAATTTTTTTAAATTTTTTTTAAATTTATATTAACAAACAAGTTTTTCTATTTTTTTATTTTTAAAAAATAAAAAACTGCTTAAAAAATAAAACAAATCTTAAGTATTTTTTTTTAATTAACTTATTATGTTACTCTGTCTCATTCTATGTTAGAGACGAATATCGTACTCCAAAACTATGGGGGTTCATTTAAATTAATTTATTAGAAAGTATTTTTTAGCGTCTTTAAAAAATAACTATTGCAATAATTTAAGATTTAACAGACAGATGCGTAAATGAAACAAATATAGTTGAGAGAAGCATTTTAGCTCTGTGTTAATCTGCCATCCGTAAAGGATAAAGCGAGAGAACACATATCACTAAAAAGGCAAGGGTAAGCTTATTACTAATGAGCCCAAATTTATTTGAAGGATTAGAAACTGGACCTCGGAATCAATATCCAAACAATGTTGGACAGTACCAAAATGGGCCCAAAAATATGGGCCTTGAATGAGTAATATAATTAAACTATTTATTTGACCAAAAATTTTACAAACTATTTTGTGCGCTTCCACCCCCATAAAAGCAAATTCAAACTATATTTTGTTTAATGCAAATATAAAAGGAGGTTTTATTTTTTGTTTTTCAAGGGAAAGGGAAGGGAAGCTGTGGTGTTATACAGATTACAGGACCAAACCTGCATTTGAAGCTCCATCACTTGAGCTATGTGAAGAGGACAGACTAGCCGTGGTTTCTTTTTTGGTCCATGTTACAACAAAGGAGGAGAAAAAGTCAAGAGAGCCCAATGAAAGGCCCAGAAACAGCCAGAACAGCTGTGTGTCCTCATGTGGCTGTGGATTGTTTAGTTGAGCTTCTCTTATTGGGCCGACCTCTTGCTTCTTAACTTCTTTTCATTCTGGACCCCGAAAGCCCAGTTATAATATATCCGTGTTCATTTTGGTTCCCTCTCAAGTTAACCCGCGCCTCAGTAACAGTAACGTGTGTGTTCATTTTTTTAACGTTAGGTTCGATGAAGCCAGATGAGAGAAAACGGAGGTTCAATGAAGCCATCGTTAGCATGCTCTATCCTTCTCCTCCACAAGTAAATATTTTCTCTGGATTTCCTGCTTTATACTATCTTTCAATTTGATTAGTTAATCACTTAATGACGATGATCGTGCAGCATGAACAAGAGTCGGAACCTGTGGAAGCTTTGATGGAAGGATGTGGTTCTGATGTTAATATTTTAGGTACGATTGTGGATGACTACGATAATGCCTCGTCGAACAGCAACGAAGAAGATGACTGTGAGGCGAAGAAGGGAAGCAGGGCTCAACGAAAGAGAATTCGTAAGAAGAAGCTGAAGGAAGAAGCCATTCGTCGTGGAAAACTAATTGGGCCGCTGTTGCCTCTGACCCATCAAGTGGCAGAGGATGCTCCAGCTGTTCGATCAAATGCTTCTGAGGAAGGTTCTGGAACTTACCAACATGTTTTCTTGTTATGTTGTTGCCATGTCGGCGTAGAACTAATTAATGGTGAGGTTAACTTGCTTTAGGTGTTAAATCAATGAAAGTGAAGCAGCGGAGAATGGCTAAAAGGATGGCCAAACAAAAGCCAAATGCCTCTACTTCGGACAATACCAATCAACGTCTATAAAAAGACTCAGATCACAACAATTGCAAAGTAAGGTATTGCAATATTGGCTACTGTGTAGTAATTCTTTTTTTTAGTATTTTCTTTTCGATGGCTGTACTAAGCAATAATTATATTAACTCTAGAATTTTTACTTCCTTAAATTTGGGTCTTGCTGCAAGTTGAGATCGTGAATACTATTAATCTTATTCTTTTATCTGGGATTGTGTGTTTTTCATAGTTTCAGTTCAATTTATATCGGAATGGCTTTTCATGCTTTCTTTTATCTAGAATCGCTGTTCTTGATAACATCCTATTTCTTGACCTCCTATGTTAGTAAGCTAGTAATTTGATTAGACTTAACAAACATAATTTTAGTTAAAATAAAATTGTGTATTGAAATAATTCATGTTTAGAACATTGTTATGTCAAAAATGAATTTTGGTATAATAATAAATAGTATTTTTTGCACTGTTAATTTTTTTAAATATGCGTTGATAAATAGAGGCTTAAATAACTTTTTTGGATCTTGTAAATACTTTTAAAAAATTTCTTATTAAAATTTTACATGAATGTGAATATAATGTGAATTCCAAGACCATGAAGCACTCCGCGTCCAATAATCTGCAACTCCGTCAAATATCCCTGGGGGAAGTGCTAGTACCTTATCTTTCTTTTATCATGTCACTGAATCCTACAAAGTATGATAAAATAAATTGATTGGTATATCACGACAAAGAAAAACTAAAAAAATAATAATAATTAAATGTAAAAAACACAAATTACTTAAAAAATGTAGATTCCATACACTTTTTGTCTAAATTATTTATATGTTTTTTTTCTGTTTTTTTTTTCATCTTTATACACCAATGTCACTATAACTTCATTGAATCTCCATTAGTAAACAAACCGATTTTGGGACGAAAATTTTAATTTTAAAAATTCAAAATATTTAAAAACTAAACATGAACAATGAATGACAATTAAGAAAACTAAAATTATACATAAGCTGAAATATAGGAGCGAAAAATCCAATTAATCTAATAGAATCTCCCAGACGACTAAACATGTGCTTATGCAAAGCAAACTTTGGTTTGAACCCAGACATAATTGTCAAATCATGTTCTTCAATTTTCATCTCCGTGTCCTCAACGCCTGTGATTCTTCTCACTTGATTCCTTCTCTCCCTCATTCAATATGGCACATATGACATATCCCTTGGCGAAGCGCTTGTACCTTAAATTTTTGTTAGTTAACCGAGCAAACCAATGTAATATTCATACTAAGGTTTTGCTTCAATTAGTATTGTACGACCTCATCCAGCGTGTTAATTATACATATTTCCTTTGTTAAAAAGAAAAAAAAATCACCTGTTGGAGATGTGGGTCAGTATAATACCTCTCGGCTAAGTAATACTAATATGGGAATGCACGTCACATGTCCACAATTTTATATCTTTGCTACACCAAATATTTGATATAATGCCATAAATCTAAACACTGCTATACATCTAACATATCCAGCCAAGCAGGAAAAAGGAAAAAAACAAAGTGTAGATGTAACTGGAATGGCCGAACTGCGCGAGGTAAGTCTCATTGGTGGATCTGTGACAGTAAGTATTGATATGGTATAGTATCATAATGTGTGCGCCACAACCCCAGATGATAATACAGGTCGACGAAAGTTTTGGCCTCATGCACGTGCTTCATCTATCCATCTTAAATAATGGGCCGCGGTAACGTTTTCCAAACTCAGCGGGTCCTTCACACTGCAGGTCCAAAATAAGACATTTATGAGATCCACAAGAAAATGTTTCCCTAACAAACAACAAAGAAGGATTAACAAAAAACAAAACGAATATCCTGCACACTTCAAAATGCTTCACAAACTATAAAGCCTAATGATAATATTAGTATCAGTAATAAAAGATGCCACAACATCAGCAAATGAAAAAAACAAATGTTAACCTCAATTTTTAGAATTAATTTTAAATAATTAACAGTAAAATATATTTTAAAAAGTATTGAGCACATAAAAAACATAAATCTATAATAAATATTATCTGTATAAATAAATATAGTGTTTTTTTTACGTTTAAAACTAACCTTAAAAAATGATGTTAACGAACTAAATAAAACATATCATTCTGCATGCGCGAACTTGAGCAAATTATCAGTAACAACGACTAGTAACAATTTAGCCAGCCATATGGTAAACGCTCCTTGAGCCAATCCCATGATTGTCAAAACCAATACTGCAAAAAATAATAATAAAACAACATGCTTTGGTAGATCCACTCTCGTGGATTCTAATAATTTGAAGATCATGGTAGTTGAGCGACAATGGACAACTATAACTCCGTACCCTACCCATGTATTGTAATAATATAAGGGATCATTTCATTCAATTGCCTGAAAGCATATAATAAGGAAATCTTCCGAGTGAGCACAAACCACATTTCTTTCATTTGCTGACCGGCTGCTATTAGTTTTTACTGACATTTCCGTTACTGTTTTACAAACATGGTTACAGTGAACACTTGCACCATAGCTATACCTCCTTACTGCATATAGCTTAACAACCCGTTAAAGCACTTTTTTAATGTAAAGCTCTGGTTTAGTGATTCCAAATAGTGCTAAGACAACATTGCCCAAAATATAATCTCAATAATAATTTTTCTTTACAATAATAACGAAAATAATTGGACTAAATTGAAAATACTAGTATCGTTCCAAGATTTTTTTTAATATTCATTTCAATATTTAATAAAAAAATGTCAAACAAGAAAATAATTGTAGTTAATATTTTAAAAAATATAATTCAAATATTTTCTTTAATTGAAAGATAAGGAAAAATAATTTAAATTTGTTTTTTTTTCTAAGAATAAGTTAATTTTCATTTAAAAATAAGAGAATAAATTAAAACTACGCATGATATAAAATGACAAGAAAACCTCACTGCATGCTTTTATTACCGGTTGTTTGAAAGGATATTGCATCGCAGGAAGGGTTAGTTTTGACCACAAATGAGAAATGTTACTCTCATTTAGATTTTTTCCTATATATTTTTATTTATTTTATCATATTATTATTCATGTTATTTTAATCTCTTCTTATTATAAAAATCATCGAAATTTTCAGGGCATGCTCACGCAGAAAGATCAAAAAGAAGAATTCTTTTGTCAACAGGCAAGTCAAGGGGACAAATTTACCGAAGAATAAGAGACAAAGCATCCATCAACATTATGCTTGTGGGGATTCGAGAAGAATGAAATTATCCCTCCGTTAATGCACAATTAATTATTAAATTCCCCTGACGATACTATATTATTAATTATTATACCAAAAGCCTTTGCTAAAGCAAAAGGGAAGACGCCAGAAAAGATGCATCAGTATAAACTAAAATAATAGTAGTATATTATCCTAATCACAGAGAGAATCTGAGTGGAGATTGGTGAACAATAATTGGGATGCATTAAAATAGAATTAGTTTAATGTAGATTACCTTGGTCATGGGGATAATCAAAAGGTAGAGGCGAGACAGAGTCATGGTGTAGATCCGGGTGCAGGAAACCATATTTGCGAAGAACCTGATTGTCGGCGAAATTGAGAGCCCTACGCATGCCGTTCCAACAATCGTCGGCAGAGTACATGGCATTATATTTGCCACTGCAGGGTTGACAGCCAGTGAAGTGCGTGACAAAGGGTCTTCGCCAACTACCTTTACCAAACCCAGCATCTTTCACATACTCTTCCCTCCTTTCCCCATAACTCTCACTCACCTTCTCCGCGTGACGCCTCCTTAACCCACGCACCGCTCTCTCAACCTCATTGTACCTCTCGCTAATGTTCTCGAATGTTCCAACGATCTCCTCCCAATACCCTTCGAAGTAGTACTCGCTCTCCAAATAAATCCTGTCCGCCCATTTCTCCTTCTCCATTGCGATCAGATAAGCCAGGCCCGTCTGATCGTCTGACTCCGGGAAGAACTTGTCCTTGAAAGTTGACCGTAGCCTTTCCCCCCATTTCTCGTAGTTTGGGGTCTGTGGGCCCATGCTGGCCCACACATCCATGAAGTCCAACGACCACTGACAGTTTCGGATTAAGAACACGCCGGCGTTGAGGCCCGTCCAGCTTCGCTTCTCGTGTATGAGGTGGGCCCAACCGTGAACCACCAGGTTGTGATCCTTGTAACGCTCCAGGGGGAGCTTGAACTCCATGTCGGTGAACAACGCGTCCGAGTCCACCCACCAGATCCACTCGGCCTCCGGGTGGGCCATCATGGCGGCCCTAACCACTGGATACTTGGCCCAATACGCGAACATCTTGGGCTGCAAGAGGGCGTTGTTGTAAAAGATATCGTACCCGTGGAGCCGACAGTAGTCCACTTTGTTCTTGAAGAATCTAAGGAGAAGGTGGTCGCCGATGGGGTTCCGGCACGGCGACGGCTGCGATCCCGTCACCATCAGCACCCGTTCTGTTGCTCCTGCGGCGAACGAAGGGTGGTGTTTCAGCCATTCCTCGCGCTTCTCGTCCCAGTTGCGGACCTTGTCGTCCATGGTGTACCCCATTTCGGGGTCGTCGTAGAAGGTGACTTGGGGAGGGTCGAACCGGAAATCGGGAGAGAGGTACAAAGCGGCGTCGTTTGGGGGAACGTTGAGAGAGAGGGTGTCGAAATTGGGGGTGTCGTTGGGGATGGGGGTGGTGAAGGAGGAGAAACCCCAAACGAGAAGAAGAGCGGAGAATGCCCCTGCAAGGAAGAGGCATCCATCGGAGAGGCACAGAGAGGAGTTTTTGTTTCTTGAAGAGGACTTAGCCATGGGAGAGTTGTGGTGAGTAGAGAGTTCAGATGTTACCATTTTGAGGAAACGGTGTTACGGTTGTGACTTAATTCGCTCTCGTTGGGGATGCTAAGTGTCACTCGTCGGGTTCCGCAGAATTTTCGGCATGCTCGCTAGAATCAAATTAGCAGAGGTTGTGAAGGGAGAAAAAGTAACACTTCCACCTCCTAAACGGCCTGGATTCTAGCATTGGAAACTTGGGAGCCTATCTTGATCCGCATTGTCGTTTTTATTAAAAGAGAGCCAGCGCCATCTACGGCATGGCCCAACTCGGGGAACACAAAGAAAATACTTGGTTGCGGCTTTGGCTTTTGGGGTTGGGGGGTTTCATGGAGTAATATAAATAAATAAATAAATAATGGAGTTTAATTAATTAAAAAAGAAAAACGTTTATTATTTAAACATTGATTCCCATAATGTGTCTTATTTTTATTAATAAAAATATCCAGAAAATTGACTTTCTAACTATTGTCATTCCTTGTGGATGACTCTCTTTCATTCAATGGACGATAGCGATGCATGTAGAAGAAGATATGCCCATGTGAAGGGGCAGCTTTGAAATCACGTACAGCACCAATTTGATTAACACGTTGTCTAATTACATCGATCCATGTCGTGATTGAAGCTGTTAACTTGAAATAGTTAGTCTACCAAATAGTCAGTTTGGCACAGGGAGAGGTTGAGAGCATACTGATCATAGTGACACCGACTCATGTAGGATGAGTAAATGCAAATTATGCAATTTATATTTGAATTTTATTTCAATATTTTACACAAATAATCGTTAATGCTAATAAAACAACTCTTTACTTTAATTAAAAATTGTTTATTTTAGCTTTCCACCCCCCTTCGAAAGTAATTAGAGAAGTAGCTACATTTACTGCAATTCACGTACCTTTCATGGTATTATGGACACGTGGAACATGACCGACATGTGGCCCCGCCAAACCCCTTCAAGTCCGTTTCCACTTTCACTGTCCCACTCCCAGAATCTCTCTATTTTGTTAACGCACAGTAAATCTATTCCCTAAGAAAACTTGCAAGAGAAAAAGTAACTAGATAAAAGTACGTAAGTGACCTAGTACTCTGAACGTTTTCTAATACAATATTATCTATAAAGTAATGAAGCAATTAAAAATAAGAAGCCAATAGAGAAATAGTTTAGATAATATATTAACTTTTTCATAAAGTTGATTCCATAAACCAGCCTGTGTCGCCTCGGTTGAAGCAAAACTAAACAAGATACTCGATAATTTGCGCAACTTTCGCCCCTTCCCTTTTGAATACATTCAACATAAAATATATCTCAGGTGTTGTACACAACGTGATAAAAATAGAAAACAGAGCAGTAAAACGGTGCGGAAATGTTTCATATACACTCAAGTTATGTGATGAGCAAATCTAAGCCTTTGTTTGCATGTTCATTGGGTATCTACCTGTTCAACTATAAATGCTTTACTGCACTGCATACGACATTGTTTTGGTCCATTTTTTGTATTGTTTTTACCACGCAGGTTAATTAGCTGTTAATTTTTTTTAATTATTTCACAATTCTGAGTAGGAACAATTTAACATTTCTGTCGTCCAAGTATTTCTTGAGGTTTCTTCCCTTCGTCATATCTCAAGAATAATATTTTTTTACAGTTGTGCTGTGTTTGATTATAAAGTGCTTTCTTCAAACGAAGTTTACTGTACGAAAAAGGAGTAAATATGTAATAAGCTAATGTAAAATTTCATGTCCGATGATAAAAGACAAGAAAAATCAAACAAAATTTTAATAATAAAGTCTTTTAGTTAAATAGAAATTAAATAAAAAATAAATATACGTATACAGATTTATTTATAAATTTTTTTAAAAATAAAAACTCACTTATAAACGTGAGTCAAATTAATAATAAAAACATGATTTAAACTAATATATAATTTTTTACACGTAAATATTTACTTACAAATGATAAATGTGATTCAAAATATAGGAACAACTTAACATTTATGGGGTCCAAGTATTTCTAATCAATATGTAAGTTAATGGGTCTATACTTTTGAAGATATTCATGACGCTCAAAGCGTCACATGTGGTTGCAGAGTCAATTAGCCTATATAAGGTTTTATTTATATAAATACTCAGCCATCTACTCCAAAATGTCGAGCGTAGTAAATTGTTAAAGAGTAACAAGTTTGTTTTGTGATTCCGGGACTTTCAATTGAAGTTGCGGTTATGTTTATGTTACGGCCATTGCGGGTTAATGTGGGTCGGTTACAGTTGAAATAGTTCACACTTCACACTCACAAACTGACATGGCCGTAAGTAGTGATATTTTCAATTTAACTTTCTCTATGACACCAAATCAAAAAATCCCAAATTTAGATGCCCCGGCATTTCTGCTAAGACCTAACTTTTAAAAGTCAACAATAATATTATTTATATAAAAGGATAGAATCAATGCCCAAAAATGGTGCAAAAAGTGGCAGACTAGGGTCAAGGAAAAACTAAGCGAAGAGAAATTCATTTATAGTTAAGAAATGACTAATTGCTTGCATAATACATAGAGAAACGATCAAACATAACGAAAGGCGCATATATATTAATGAATCCACCGCCTTCGTCTTAAAGTGCATGAATAAACATTTTATTCTTGTCGCTTTTCAGTAAGGTCCAACAGTAGTGAACGATGATGCGGTTGCCTTGAACTTGAGGGACACCGTTTGGTACATTTCAACTTCTTTTTCTTTCCCCTTTCCTTTTAATGAAAAGAACCTATGTGGTCGCTCGGAGCCAATTTTTTTGACGTGTAACAGTCTATAGGCCGACGAAATGATTCGTGTGTATATGTATTGCCTTCAATCATGCACTAATTAAAGGCCCCCTTAAAGCCCTTTTTATGCGCTTTCAAGGCCATAACAAAATTCAAGAAAGCTAAGATAAACTGGTAAAGGACAAAATAAGTACTGCTTATTGTTTGATCAATTCAATCCTTACCAAAATGCTCAAATGAAAATATAAAGCCCTTGTTTAAATTAATAACGCCGTTTTCTAAACAAACACACCGTAGATGTTCTCTCAACTAATGAGAAAAGTAGAAATTAGGATAAAGGAAACGAGAAGTTATCACTTCTAGTTGATGAAGGAAAAGTGTTTACTATACATAAACGGTAGTTTAATCTCTTTTTGTGCGTGTGTGTGTAAAAACAAAATTCCCTCCAAAAGAAAACAAATTAGCTGAGGAATTTAATCTCTCGTCATCATATGAGCCATGTGAATTATATCTAGCCATTGCATTATGAAAAAAATAATGATATGATTTATTGTGTAGTATTTTTACAGTCAAGATCATGGTGGAGATTATGGTTGATTGTCTTTCTAACCGTACACAATATTGGGCCACTCGTGGACCATGAGGTTGTGGTCCTTGCACAAGTTCAACGGGACCATAAATGCAGCCACAAGGTCCGTGAACAACGCATCCAGCCACGTGATCTATTCAGCTTCATGGTGGGCCATCATGACATCGGCCCAATAAGAGTCCATAAGTAAATGCCAGACGAGGACGAGCATGGAGATAGAGCGTCTTGATTGGAAATTTGAATTTGGTAAATAATTTTTTATAACTTTTGTTTATTCCTTTCACAAACGGCGGCAATATTTATTTTATTTTTTTACATTCATTTTACACCAAAAGGAATTAAAACTAATGGCATATTACAAAGTTAAGAGCTAACAAAGATTTTTTTAAATCTAAGTTAAAAAATTCTGACCCATACAATCGAAAAATAATTTCAGCGTTTACTTCAACTTGCACAACAAAATGCATGTGCGCCCACACAAATATAAAGAGTTGCTTGTATTATTATGTCACAATAGGCAATGAATTTTTTATTGCTAACTTGCTGGCGATTCTAAGTGTGTACATAATGCCTCCTATGGTTGCATGAACATCATCTACTGGAATCACAAATTCAAATCAGTTAGAGAAGTATATCAGCACATACTTACCAGTTATACAACAGCCATGTATTCAACCACTGATCCGATAGTAGCTAATGAAATCAACAACCTCGAAGGTCACGCCACCTGAGATAAACTAATCCTGCTCGGTAATGAGCGTATGCCCCAGCCACCACCAATATATGAAACAATTGGTGACTGTGTCCCGCAATGTCAAATTTCCCAGGCATCCATCGTTCCGGAATCCTAGTGGCATAAACCAGTGCTCCAATTCCATATAGAGCACCCATCAAAATCTCATAACCGGTTGTGTGAAACACCTCAGGTTCGCCCCAGAATAAATAAAGCTTGTGCAGAATTGGTCCAGCACCAGACAAACCCATTCCAAAGAAGAGAGATGCGCGGATGGTGCGGAATTCTGGATTTTGGAATACTGGAAGGAGAGAAACCAAAATGGTGGCAATACCCAATACTGTGATAAATCCCAAGTAAAGGTTGCAGAAAAATGGATAACACATGAAAGAGTAATACACTGGAGGATAGAAAGAGGTAGATATCAGAGCTGCAATTCCAGCGTAGTCAAGCCTGAGCATGATGTATGCTATGCGCTCAGAGTGACAAGAGAGGAGATGGCAAATGCTGCTAGCAAGCAAGCAAAACATGGCACCCCCCAAAAAAGCAAAAAATGGCCACCTTGTAATTGGTCTAATCATAAGTGGTGCTATTATGTTCGCCAGGTCCTCTTTTACACTATGCTGCACATAATCAACTAAAAAAATAAGCAAAGTGGCATTGGCTCCCATAACCTAGTCAATTATCAATATAAATAGATGGGGAAAAAACAAAACAAAAGGTGCAGCAAAACTTCTCTATAGAGAAACACATGACATATTTAATTCTGAAAGAATGATCACAGCTGGAAGTTATTGACAAGTTAACATCTTTAATCCATCATTCACTATTTTTCCTCGGACAAATCTAAATCTAGAATTTCGGATTTTTATTTTTTAAAATTTCCTTAACCATATCGTTAAAATTTGTACTCTGGCACATTGGTTATTAATCAGTATTGTGGAGACCTTTAAAAGAGAATTTATCTGCAAGTAAGAAAAAAATAAAGATAAACCATACTGATATATATAAAGCTAGTAAAACATCTCACTACCCCTCCCCCAACCACAAAGGAATGAAACAAGTAGTCAGTTGTAATTGTAAAGCAATTACCAGAACACAAACATTAGTATGATTGCTACTGGAGAATCTTTCAGGCAAACAATTATACAGAAGTTCCTTAATATGCCAGCTTGAGATTTCCTCCCTGAGTTTGTGCAAATCAAGCATGGAAGGGAGGCACGTCAAAAGTTCTGATTGTAATCTGTGCAGGTCAGGCTTCTTGAGCATGTCAGGAAAATGTTGAAGCGAATTAAGATCTACAACCTTCGGAACTTTCATGGCAGTGTATATGGTCAATGCCAGAAATATGAAGAACCCGATCAAATGCCTAAAAGAGAAATAGCATTGTTTCATTTTAAGATTGAGAATGAAAAATAGAAACTAAATAAAAAGCATGTTTCTTTGAAATATACACTTACAAAATACACGTATATTTAACTCCAACAATTGAGAGATAATTCACTAATAGAACAATCAAAATGTAACAACCTATACACTCATACAGTCATAGTTCCTTTCTTCATTGATCACAATTCACAAATACACAAGGGCGTGGTCTTCTAATATTTGAAACAATAAAGGAAAAAATATATAAAGACCCAAAATACTAGAGTAACAATGATTTCAGGTACATGTATCTAGCCAACATAAAAATTACAAACAGCGCATACAAAAGAAATCAGAAATGCTTAGAATTGAGTTAGAAACCTGAAATCCTAAAACGAAAGACAACAAAAGTTGGAACGGTATAGAGTGAAGCAGTGAATAAAACATGGAATGAGATATAAGAATGCTTACGTCCAAACGTTGAGGGTCTCGTTGTGAATCGTGAAAATGCTCAACAGCACCTGCTTCATGGGCCATTCAGATCGATAGTGACCAAGAATATACTCGTTGTCTCTCAAATAACCAGGCAAGGAGTGGTATTCCACCAGCTGGTACTTGACCTTCTTCCACAGCCTTTTCCCTTTCCCTTGCTTTCCAGAACACGCTCGTTCGTTCTCCATCGAATTCGAATCTCCACCGTTCATCCTCTGTCAACTCCACCACCGAGAAATTCAATTAATTAAAGAAGACGATGATACCAACGTTTATCTATAGAAATACAAATTAAAAAGGAAAAAAAAAAGTGTATGGGGTGATTGGGTAGGTTTTGGAAGGGAAGGGTACCTGGAATTGAAGAAAGGAGGACAAAATGGCTGCGGAGAATTCTAAGGGGATGATGACAAATTTAATACGCAGTTGATTAAAGACGCAAGTAATGTCGACGTTAACACCCGACGAGGAAGATTCTTCGACGATATGCTGAGATGCCACCTACGAACCATTCTTTGTTTTATTTGTCCGTTTACACGCACCATTTCCTCTCCCAACTGCGTTGCACCATCCTTTCCGGGACAAAAATAATTACTTTTAAACAAATCTCATTAACTATAATAATAATATTATTATTATTATTTTAAATAAATATTTTCCAACTTCTATCATTGTTACTAGTTTCTATTGGTCTAATTTTTCTGTTTAATCTTTCTCATTTTTATTTTGGTAAAAGCAAACTTGTTTCTATAATGTATTAATGTTCTAAAACCACGTTTTATTACAGATAAAAATAAATTCTGTTTCGGCCTATAATGAGTAAGAAATCAAACGGAAAGGCATGGACATTGAGATTCATTATTAATATTGATAAAAGTGGAAGGTTAGTAAATTGACTAAATATTTTGTCGAAGATTGGGTAGTTTGGTTATAAAATATAATATAAAATTAACAAAAGTAACGTGATAAAATAAACATATAGATTGATGCTTAAAACTTTCTAGATCCACGTTAGTAAAAAAAATATGAAACTTGCCAACACTCAGTTTCAAGATGGCGGTGGATAAAACATTCAAATTTTTAATATGTATCAAAGTAAAAGAGGGATATGTGTTATTTCATATTTTTCTGCTCATGCATTTTATATCTAGGCTTGTGTAGCTTGGCGTAAATCCTTCTTTAGCTAAAGAGATATTTTGCTTGAATAATTGGTTCAAACTGATTCACCATTAATTATGGACTGACTCGGTAGATTCTTCACCAACGTTTTTGCTCAAAACGAATTCGATAAATAAACACAACAAACATCTTATTCATTCACTCAATTTCGATGAAATCTATTATTCCACTCTAATTTTCTATGGACATATTTTATTCCTTTTATTTTTTATGGTTTTTAATACTTATTTTTTCAAAACTTTAAATTTTATTATTTTTATATTTTTTTTTCATAAATATTTTTTTTATTTCTAAACAATTAATATGAGATTTGTAAAAATTATTGTTGGCCAACGGAATTCATATGACCGATCTTTTAGTTTTATGTTTCCTTTAAGCATAAGGCGGGCGTGAGGTGTCGTCTGCATCTCGGAATTGATTCGATCCCCTTCTTAGCTCATAAGAAATAAATGAAAAGGAAAGTGTCCACTTGTTACTACTTCACCACACATAAGGTGTCTCAGTCCAATTTTCAAGCATAGATCTTTCCACAAAGATTATAATAATAAGTTAATAACGTTATCCCGGTCAGGTGTGCAACATTGTTTTTTTTAAGGTTAAATTAAAATCTTGATTTCCACACTCAACAATGTTTTTTTATATTAAAAAATGTTTTATTTACTATATAAAAACATTGAATAAGTGGTCTTTATCATTTACCACATTATAACAGTATGAGACTTAATCTTTATGTTTTATATGAAATGAATTTACACTTTATTGTGTGAAAATGTATTGTATTTTAGTCCTTAATTCGAATAATTTTTTTCATTTAACAAATAAATGAATTTAATTTATGTAAGACTTAAAATATAATTTTTTCCATGTAATGAGTAAGCTGAAAATGTAATATTAAATTAATAAATATAAATATTATTTTACTTTTACAAAAAATTAGTTATTTTATAAAAAATGGAGAAAACATAAACTCATTCAGTGTCTAATCTCATAATACTATAAAAGGGAGGTAGGATACTCCAATACAGGTCTCTTTTATTTAGCCTTTGCGTGACGTAAGAAAAGGAGTTGTTAGCTTAAAAAAAAGAAAAAAAGAAAGAAAGAAAAATAAAAGGAGTTGTTCGAAGAACTAGATTTACAGGCCATTTATGATGTGATTTTAATAAGACATGAATGCCGCCACATGAAGTCTTAATCTGATGTAATCATGTAACGATTAAACAAAGTCATAGTTCCTTTAATTTTTTTAATGATCTTCTTAATTAGTGTTACAAGGTATTTAGTTAATAATTTAATAAACAATGTTTTTATTCAAAAAAATTACATAAATATATTGTTTTAATCACTGACTAGTATTTTGTTTTGTAAATCATTCATTTTAAAATATATTATAGTATTAAAAAATACAATTAATATTCCTATTCATGCACTAAAATTACTATTAACTTTTCACTGTGTTTTTATCGTTGTTTCTCTCTTGTTTATTATGAACATCTAATAGAACAAATAAATACAAATGTAAATTCTTGCAAAAACAGATAAAAAATAATAGAGAGATTTTTTTTTTTAACTCACTTCATCTCATATTATATGTCTTTTAACTATTAAGTTTTGTCAACATTGACACTTACAATGACTTTTAAGCATATAAAAATGACAATTTTTTAATGTAATAAATACTTTTTTTTAATAAAATCTCACTACTTATTAATACTTTAAAATAATTCTTAACAACTGTTATTAACATTTTCTTAATTATTTTAGTTTGCTTTAAAATATAATAAATATTAATCAGTGTTCTTTAACTCTTTTAACGAATAATTTAAAATGATGTTCTTATTAAATATTTTTTTCACATGCTTCTCTTCAGGAGATTTAAATATATTTTTTAAATTTCTTAAGCCAAAACATTTATTGATAACTGAAAGAAACCGAAAAGTTATTAATTACTCATTTTTATTAGTATCTTACTTGTAAAATAATAATTATAATAATAATAAACCTCATCATCACTAGTTTTCCATGTACTTTTTTGGTTTAACTAATGAATGAATACTGACTACTTGTCCAATCAAAATACTTGGATTTCATCTTCTTTGCTGGTCTTTTATTGTTTATGTTTGTCTCTTCTGGATAAGAAGGAAGAGCGCAACAAATCGTCTTTATTTTTTCAATCAGAAGCTCCCCTATTTCATCTTTCTCTCTTTTCCTCCGACCCCAACTAATTAAAATAAAAACTGATCCTCAAAGATGGGATGCTAGTTTGTTTGGTTTAAAATCAGAACGGAAAACCCATTCCATCACACAAAAGCCCAATCCATTTGTTTATTTTATAGTATAATCATAATCACAATCAATATGTAGTAATTATTTATTTATATGTAGCAAATGTTATAGGGTGTTTCCTCCGGTGTTTGGACATCGGAAGTGGCATATGATATTCCTGCATATGGATCAATAAGTAAAAAAATTTCTTTAATATTTTTCTTAATGCAAGAAGGTATGATCGAACTAAGCGCTCCTCATGGATATTTCATTTTCGAGATTAATGGACTTCTCAGTTTTTAATATAGCGAGTTTCTCTATCTCTACCGAGACACCAAAGCAGTTATTAACTACAATAATTTAAAAATATTTTTTAATATTCAAAAACATCCCTTGATAATTTAGATTAAAGTATAATTTAACAATAATATTTACAAATATTTTTAAGAATTAACAAGTAAATATTTTTTAATCCTTTAAATATAGAATTAAATTTAACACAGGATTGCATGTTTCTTCAATTCTAAGGACACCGTACGAAAGTATAAAAATGTTTTTGGTTTATTATTATAATAAAACAATATTTCATGCCATCTTTGCTGGATAATTATATCTAAAATATGCTTACAAAACAAAACTTAAAATTGAGAAGCTAAGAAGTTTTTTGTTTTTACTTGTTGATTTATTTTTTGACATAATTCTGAATTACAGGATTATCCGAAAGAATATTTGTTTGCTCATAAATACAACATTCTCGCTGATCACCTATTCCATACACAATAGGCACCCTCTTCTCCAGAACGAAATTCTATTCACAAATTACTAATATTTGAATAACGTGTACTTTTATTAGCGAAATATAATTACAGATAATCATCCTTTTTTTTTCTAATGGTTAAAATCGACTTTATAAAATATTCCATAACTTTCAATTTTGTACGAACAATCTTTTATATCTTTTACTTTATTTTTGTTTAGTTGTGAGTAGAAAATGAAAAAATATTAAATTTTAATTTTTTAATTGAATACTTGAAAAATTCCAATCCTTAATCTTACACGTTGTTTGGCTGGAGTTTAAACTATTTGTTCAAATTTTATACTGAATAACCTCAAAAAAGAAGAAGCCGAGAACGCTTATAAAAATTGATAACTTAATATATATACATCACTTAGTTCTTTGTACATATTTGGATTTGGATAGTTGGTGAGGAAAGGGAAAAAGAATTTATGATTTTATTTTATTTATATAAAAATATAAGAAATAAATTTAATTTTTTAATGAAAAATGAATTTTTTTATGTACTTTTGTACATGTTACCAAATGCCAAGGACGGAAAATGCGAAAACATTTATCGTTTTTGAAAACTAGACAAGCAAGAAAAAGTACTAACTGTTTATTAAAAAATGTATTTTGAAAGGGATGAAATCTAATATTTAGCTCATAACCTTTTGATTTACATTGTGATTTATAATTATTCAAATAATTCTTCTCGGGTTTTTTTTTATTATAGTCTCTTGATCTAGACTATTGGTATTTTTTTAATAACCTACAAAATTTAAAAGATCAATAAATATTCTGAAAACACTGTTCCAAACAAGTTGCCCAGAGTTTCGCTTTTACGCCAATTTTATTCCCACGATCCAGACTCCCAAGTTGATATCGACTTAGCGCATCTCATGATGAGCATCTGCATTTGTAGAAAGGAATGAAAAATTAAGAGAATGATGACAAATGAAAATGGTTGAAGACTATAATTACAGAAGGACCAAAATAATGTTTGTGGAATTGTCGTGCAAATCCAACTGATGGGTAATTTGACTCAAGTAATTTGTGATGATTTGTGATTAATTTGTGGAGTGACGTTTTAACTTACATTACATTACACGTCTGGCCAGCAAGAAAAATATGCTCGCTGAGTTCTTTTTTAACACGAAAATCTAACTCAAAGAGCCTCCGACAAGGGATGATGGAAACCAATTTCTGTTTTCCACCACCCAAACCAAAATCTGCAAATCATATAATGCTTAAGGCCAAGAAACATTTTACCGGAGCTTTAGAATACATTCATTAGCAATATAATAATATTAATTATTTATTTTGTGTTTCAACTATTGGTTTGATTTTTTATAATTTTATCCATTAATATCTGTATCAATTGTTTTTCCATAACCATTTAATTTTTTTAAAGTGTAAAACCTTATTATTTCTCTTCTCTCTTGTATCTTTATTTCATTCCTTGACTCTCTTTTTTCTTTCCGATTTATTAAACAAATTTATTATTGATTTATACTTTTTCTGCTTTGATCTGTCAATTATTAATATTTGAAAAACAATTACACAAACAGATTTGTTTGTCGATTTTCGTTTTGTTATTTGAATTATTTTTTATTTTGCTTTTTTTTTTTGGGGGGGGGGGGGTTAGTATTCTTGTAGATTTATCTCCTTATTCCTTATTCAATCATGTGGTAATGATACGACATACATGTAATAAAATGTCAACACTTATAATAAAAAATTTTTAGTCAAATTAACGGAACGGAATATCAAATTTAATAATACGTAAAATAAATAATTTTTAAGTGAAAAAAAAACCAAATCTGTTTATATATAATATTTATTTATCTTATATACATACAGTTAAAAGTATATTTTAAAATTAAAAGGAAAACCTTTATAATTGTCTTATTTTAATGTTGACGAAACGTTGTCTATGAAATAGTTAACAGTAATTGGCCGAGTTACCAAATCAAAGAAGTTTTCGTGACTTGGATCAATCGCCATGTCACGACCTCAATCGCAGTCACAAAATGAGGTTACAACACAGGACCTAAGTTGACAAGATAATCTTAATATACATTATATATGGGAATTGTATTACTCAGTGATGCTTATACACGCGACCTCGAATTTATTTAATTTCTATTATTTTAGCACGTATATTTTTACTCGTCTATAGAATTATCATTTACTTTACTGCATATATTTGATCCTAACAAGTAAACAAACATTATTCTTCCCTGGCGGAGTGCAAAGTCCCAGCTGGCGAGTTTTGCAGACCTACCATTCCACCCTGAAGGGTGAAGAGTGAAGGCATTTACACTGAGGAAACAAATGTACCCTTCAATCATCACTCCCTAAGCTCTCGTCACATTCATCCCATTTCTCCCCTGATTCCTGACTCAGACTATAATACCACTATTCTGATCATCATACGCATACTATTTAGTATTTAGATCACCTTTCGTCATCAAACACCTGTACCACCATTTTCTTCTCTCCTTCCCGGTTACCCATTTCCTCAATTTTATTTTATTTCTATCTCACTTTTGCATATTTTAATAATTATTTTCTAATTACTTTTTATAATTAAATAACTCTTCAAAATATTTAAAAAATATTGCTATTTCCGCATGAACAATTTTGCCTAATCACACACTAATTCATTTATATATTACAATATACAAACCCAGCATTTTTCTCATATATTATTACAACGAGTAAATTAAACAATTGTGGGTATTTGTGGATAATAGGTTGGTGTTGGAATATCCAATATCCACGAGGCAGGGCTTGATTCTTGGCGTGCGTCAGTGAACGTGGAAGGGCGTCAGATTCATTTAAAACCCAGAAACAGAGCCCCTGATTCCGTGTCAGCTCCACCTTTCAATGTCCTTTATGCCATTCCACTCTTCAATAAAAGACACTTTCCTCTGAACTACGTGTTCTTAAAACTTAATGAACCGCTCCAATCCATAGCTATCGCTGTTACGCTCCAACTGACAGATCCGTAGCATGGGGAATTGTCAAGCAGCGGAGGCAGCAACGGTTGTGATTCAACACCCGGGAAATAAGATCCAGAGGATTTACTGGTCGGTTAGTGCTCACCAAGTCATGAACTCCAACCCTGGTCATTACGTTGCTCTTGTCATTACTTCACCCACTCTCAAATCCCAGAATGGCACCCCATTGAAGCAATTTAAGCTTCTCCGACCCCACGACACTTTGCTCATTGGCCAAGTTTACCGCTTGATCAGCTTTGAAGGTACCTTCTTCTAATTCATGTTACATATTATATGTGTAATGTGTATGCTTTAGTATATGTGTTTTCACACTCAAATAAATATGTGCTAAATAATTGATCGTGTACTTTGAGGGGCTTAGACGTATTGAAGGAGTTCGCTTCCAAGAAATGTGCTAAACTCGGGAAATTGCTCAAGGAGAGAGGTGGTCTTGGGGTTCAGATGAAGCACCTAGATTCCAGACATCCCAATCCTAGTACTGTTAAGGTAAATAAATATACCATTTTAACGATGGCTAGCTAGCTATGCTTCAGATTGCGTTTTTGGATGTGCTACTAATTTATTAAAGTGGTTAACATATACGATTGAGTCTACTTGTTTTGCATTTATGAAGATTGGTAAAAATCTAATTGGATCCTTAGATTGTACTTAGAAGGAATATTGAAATGAGAAAACAGAGACACACATTACAGGTGCGCGATGAAAACATCTTTAACGTCACTTCTTTATTCTTGGGACATATTGTGTGGATAATTTTTAGAAAATGTTACGTTCTGCGTATGTTGGAAGGATCATATCATTGTTTATGCCAATACAAATCTCGATGCTGATGTAAAGTGATTTATTTTTCATTTTGGTCCCCGTGTTTGGTTAATTTCTTCACAAAATTATAATGGTTTGAATGTTGAAGAGATTGAATGCATTGGTTCATACACATCTCTGAATTAACATTAGGTGTGTGTTTTTTTTTTTTTTTTCCGGACACGAAAACTGTGAGTGCATGTAATGGTTGTTTTAATTGCAAGTTTGTGGTGCCTGCACAGGGCTCCTTCCGATCGGATCGTATGTAATTAACAAAGTAATAGTTGAACTCTATCCCGAACTAATTGTCGTGTGATAATAAAACGGATTTGGATTTTTATTAAATCTAATCATTAAGTCTTAGAATTGATTATACTGAGTTATTGTTTGAAAATTTTGTCTTTTTTTCCCTCTAATAATATAATCATATTATGTTATTTAATAATGCCGAAAGATATGTAAATTGTAATAAAACCTTTCTGTACTAATAGTATATAGTATGTGCATGCTAGTTAAATAGATATTTTGCCTTAATTTCATGACCCTACATGTGACCCACATCAAAACATAGCATCTACTTTAATTAGGCTATGCCTATCAAGTAGTTAGGTAGAAAAGTACGTCCAACAATGCATGCTTCACTTTCCGAATAATTAGTGATATACTCCTTGATCAGTTACTTTCGAAATTTCCAAGATTCTTCACGTTCCTAGTTCATTAGATCACTACCAAATTTTAAAAAGTAGTACATATTTGGTGAGCTACGAAGCCTATATATGTTTATGTTATTTATTTATGTCTTTCTTTGTGTGTGTGTCAGGTCGATCAGGAGGTTAAAAGGGTGGGAAGCTATGGCGGCAGCAGCAAAAATAACAAAGGCAGCGGAAGGCATTTTGGTGGTGGGCAATGGAGGCCAGCTTTACAGAGCATTGCAGAAGTTGGAACTTGAACGCACTCTTAGCTCATGCATGGCCCCCTCACTCCAGTGAATACAAGAAGAGTTAACCTTCCTTTGTTTCACTTTTTCCAATACATTCGTATTGTCCTGTACTTAATCAATAGTCTATTTCTCAGGGGATTTGTGTTAAACGAACCACTCTTTGGAAGGACACGTATATATTATGACCTTATAATTAGCCATTAACTTACTTGTTTTCAACTTCCTATAAGCAAGATATTTAAATGACATAGAAATAAGTTTAATATTATAAAGTAATATGCTGATCCAATAAATTATTTTGTCCAATATTTAATTAAAATCGAACTGCCAATATCCTTGATAAATTGCACCTAATCTTAACACTAATTTTTACAATGGTTTAGAATGAACAATCTAATTTCTTCTATTTTTTATTTTTGTAGAAATTTAAATTAAACAAAAATGATTTAAATGTTCTTTAAATAATAAATGTGTGATTTTTTATTTAATACTTATTATATGAAATAATAAAAAAATATTAAAAAGATATAACAATGTTCATTTTGAATTGCACTAATGGTACCTTACAAAGTTCATTATATGTGTAAATTTAGGATTCAATTTATTAATATTTAAATACTCACGTAGTTTGGTATTGTAATTTTCTCGAGTGGTTGAGATTTAAATCTAGTGTACTTCAGGAAATTGAAACGTTTCATTGTTTCTTTTGTTGATCTCGATGAAACAAAACTCATACACAGGGTGATGTTGTGATTGAGTACACGTCAGAAAGTTGATCTAAGATATTTCAAGAAATCATAAAGAGCCATGAATAATACTGTAAAAGAAAGTAAGCTTGCAGAATAGACACAAGAAGAAATGAAGAAGATAACAAAAAATTGTATTTTTTTTAATCGAGAAAAATGATAAATAAATATACAAGTTGTTGTTATATACAATCACAAACTATTTTTTTAACAACTAACTGACTTACAGTTATAATTAAATAACTGAAATCTATATGTTAAGATCCCCCCCAAGCTAAGGAATGAATATCATTCATTCCTAGCTTGGAGTGAAGAAAATGAAAAGCGCCGAGAGAAAGAACTTTGGTGTAGATATCAGCTAATTGGTTTGCAGATGAAATAGGTAGTAACTTGATTAGCCCAGAGAGTAACCGTTCTCTAACAATGTGACAATCAATATCGACATGTTTGGTTCTTTCGTGGAAGACAGGATTGACGGCTATGTGAAGAGCAGAACAATTGTCACAAAACAACAAAGCAGGTTGTCAAAAATCAACATGAAAATCTTGGAGTAAGAAAGTAAGCCATTGTAATTCACATGTGGTCCTAGCAAGAGCACGATATTCTGCTTCAGAAGAACTACGAGACACAGTTGCCTGTTTTTTTTTATTTCCATGAAATTAGAGAGGAACCAAGATAAACTGAATAACCAGTAATTGATTTGCAAGTGTCAATACATCCAGCCCAATCCGAATCACTAAAAGCTTTTAGTTGAAGTATGTTGTTTGATGAGAAATGAAGTCCTTGGCCTGTAGCAGTTTTAAGGTAGCGCAAAATCCTAGAAGCTGCTTGTTGATGTGCAGATGTGGGATGAGACACAAATTGACTAAGATGTTGTACTGCAAAAGTAATGTCTGGTCGAGTGTTAGTGAGATAGATTAATCGCCCAATGAGTCTTCGAAAAGAAGAAGATTCTGTATCAGATAATGGAAGACCAGATGTTTGATGTAGTCGTGTACAATAATCAATTGGTGTAGAAGTCAGTTTGGATCCTAGCATGCCAACATCATTAAGAATATCCAAAGTGTATTTTCTTTGACATATATTAATACCAGATTGGCTTTGAGCAATTTCAAAACCAAGAAAGAATTTTAAATCTCCAAGGTCCTTTATACGAAAAATAATATCCAACATTTTGGTGATATGAGATATTTTAGAAATGTCATTTCCAGACAAAACAATGTCATCAACATATACTAGTACAACAGTAAAAGACTTTTCTTTATGTTTGGTGAACAATGAATAATCAGAAATAGATTGCTTATAGCCATGTGACATGAGAAAAGTAGATAATCGAGCATACCACTGCATACTAGCTTGTTTTAAGCCATAGAGAGATCTTTGAAGTTTGCACACTTGGCTAGATTTAGATGATTTCATTCCTAGAGGAAGTATCATATAAACTTCTTCATTAAGATCACCATGTAGAAAAGCATTGTTAACATCAAGTTGTTTGAGATGCCAATTGTTTACAGTAGCAAGAGCTAAAAGTAGTCTAATTGTAGTAATCTTCGCAACTGGAGAAAATGTGTCCAAATAGTCTTGTCCCTTAATTTGAGTATAACCTTTAGCAATTAGTCGTGCCTTATATCTTTCAATACTTCCATCAGCATGGTGTTTGATTTTATAGACCCACCTACAACCTATAACAGTCTTATTAGGAGGTAAGTCTGTAAGAAACCATGTGTTGTTTCTCTCTAAAGCACTAATTTCTTCATTCATTGCTTGAATCCAATGTTCATGTTTGGAAGCCTCAGTGAAAGATGTTGGTTTAGTTTGTGAAGAGATAGACATAATAAAACTGTGGTATGAAGGAGACAATCTATTATATGATAAAGTTAAGGATAAAGGATATCGAATACCTGAATGATGAGAGGTGACAGTTGATGCAAATTTTGTTTGAAAGTTATTGTACTTTCCTGGTCTATTCCTTGGTCGATCAGATCTGCGAAGCTGAGGTTGTTGTTCATTGAAGGATGAAGTATTAGTGGATGCATTAGTTTGTGTATCATTGAGAATACACTCAAGAGAAGAAGATGAAGAGGGAACAATTGAATGTGACTTAGAAAAATTATGTCTCAGAAAGAGGAGGATATGAATCATCAGTATGAATTATAATAGGAGAGTGTGAAAGAGAAGGAGAATTATCTGTGACAGAAATAGCATCAAGATAAGGGAAACATTCTTCGTAAAAAATGACATTTCTGGATATTTCAATAGCTCGAGTTTTAAGGTTAAAGGTTACATAACCCTTTTTGTGGGGTTTGAAGCTGAGAAAAACACACGGTAAAACTCTTGGATCAAGTTTCTTTCTATTAACTGTAAGAGTACTTGTGTAACAAAGACACGAAGCAAAGTAATGTCGTAAGGGATAGAGTATAATTTCTGATATGGAGAAAAATTATCAAGAAAAGGTGTAGGCAAATAATTGACGAGATTCGTAACATGGAGAAGAGCATATGACTAGAAAATAGGTGGTAAATGGGATTGAAATAGAGGAGCTCGAGTTACATTCAACAAATGTTCGTGTTTCCTCTCTACAATTCCGTTCTGCTGAGGTGTTTCAACACAAGAAATTTGGTGCACTAGACCAGTTGCAACATAAAATTGGGTCATAATAAATTCTGTTCCGTTATCAGATCTTATAGTTTTAACTTTGGTTTCAAATTGCCTTTCAACAAAAAGAACAAATTTTTGTAATTGAGTTTGTGTCTTAGCTTTAGAAATCATAGGAAAAACCCATACAAATCTTGAATAGTCATCTATAATGGTTAAAAAATATTTATGTCCATGTAGAGATGTAACTGAACAAGGCCACCAAATATCTACATGCAATAAACACAGAACAGTAAAAGTACGAGAGGTACTAAAAGGAAATGTCAATTTTCTTTGCTTAGCCTTATGGCATGTATCACATACAAAGTTTGAATCAGAAAACAAAATGGGATAATGTTGTTTCATGAGATGCAACATTTCATGAGAGGGGTGACCTAATCTATAGTGCCATAAATCTATGATCATTTTTTTACAGGAAAGGTAGAATTAGAGGTAGCAATCATAGAATAGAACTGACACCCAAAACTTTACTTGACTATTTCTTTAATTTGTATAGTCCGTCTTTTGCATCAACTATACCAATCATCTTCTGGCTGGCTATTTCCTGAATCAAACATTTATCAGCAAAGAAAGTCAATTTACAATTAAGTGAAGAAACAAGTTTGGAGATAGAAATCAAGTTAAAAGTGAAATTTGGCAAATATAGGACATTAGTGAGTGTAAGGGAATTAGTGAGTTGGACTGTTCCGAAATAATTTGCCACAGTTTTCTGGCCATTGGGTAACTGAACAACAATGGGATGAATCTGCTTATAAGTGGTGTAAAGTTGTAATGAAGAAGTCACATGATCAGTTGCACCTGAATCAAGGATCCATGTGGCCTGATCATGCTTGTTGATGGTGCAAATCAAAGGTAAATCATTACCTATAATGCTATGATCATTAGATGGTAAGACTGTACCAAGTTGGTTTATGTGAGAAATGTTGTTTGAAGTTGAAACTCCATGATTTGTCTGTTGTTGAAGCAAATTCATCAAGGCCTCATATTGTTGAGTTGTGAGCTTCATATCTTTTACAATACAATCCTGCATTTGTTTGTCATTGTTTTTTGTATTGTTTTCATCTGTAATAGTACTATTCACTGATTTATACAATCTATGACCAGGTGGATAACCATATTTCTTGTAACATTCTTCAATAGTGTGACTATTTATTCCACAGTGAGTACATGCTTTAATAATTCTTCCTACAGTATTACCTCTTCCATAAGAGTTGCGACCTCCTCTTTCTCCCCTATTAATTGAGAGATTAGGAGGGTATCCATTTTTTTTAAAACAATTATCCATCGTGTGGTTAGTTCTCCTGTAGTAACTACAAGAAATATTAGATTCAGAAATTGTGTTAGCAACATTGATTAAACTCATATTTCCAATCAAATTAGAGTTAAGAAATTGACGTTTTTGTTGAATTGCATACGAAAACACCTTAGTAATGGGTGACAAAGGATCCATCATTAAGATATTGGACCTCACAGTAGTATATTGTTCATTCAATCCTCTTAAAAATTGCATAACATGATCTTGCTTTTTTTCTTTCCATTATACTAGTAAGAGCATCACAGGAACATTTATGAACACATGTACACACAGGATCAGGTTTGTAACTTTCTAATTCATCCCAAATCATACGCAATTTTGTGAAATAATAGGTAATAGAAGTATCACCCTATTTAATAGAAGTCATATCTTGTTGTAATCCTGAAATTAGCAGCAAATCTCCTTGTGACTAGCGTGATTTCAAGTTCTTCCAAATATCAAGAGCATTATCCATCCACAATATGCTTTGTCGAATTGAAGGTGATACAGAATGCACCAGCCATGACACAACCATATTATTATATCTTTTCCATGCTGAGTGTAGAACATGATCAGATGCTGGTATTTGAAGTGATCTACCAACAAATTCAATTTTGTTTTTCGCGCTCAAAGCAGTGAGCATGGATTTACTCTATGAATTGTAGTTCATGGGATCAAGAACTGGTGAAACAAGAGGTGTTGCAGGATTTTTACTGGGATGTAGATAATAGGGGTTATGAACATTTAAGGATTGATCTTATCCTGAACTCATGTTTGGAGAGAAGAAGAAAACAAATCAAAAAGAAAACTAGCAAAAACTTGAAAAGAAATAGTAAAGAGCCATGAGTGACACTGTAAAAGAAAGTAAGCTCGCAGAATAAACACAAGAGGAAATGAAGAAGATGATGAAAAATAATATTTTTCTTAATCAAGAAAAGTGATAAATGAATATAGAAGTTGTTGTTATATACAATCACAAACTATTTTTTTAACAACTAACTGACTTACAGTTATAACTAAATAACAGAAATCTATATGCTAAGAATTTTTAACGTTCTATTTTGTGAAAAACAACAATTAATTACTTGTACTTTAACACCCATTTTGCATTAATTATCTAAACAAAAAGACCAAACACAAGTCATATTGATACCATAAAGTATAATTGAAAGTGAATAAAGGTTTTATAAGTAATACCAATAAAGCAGTAAGGGGCCACTTGACGGATCAGTATCGTCGAACTCGAGAGATTATGTACAATCTCTTTCATTTGTTCCATTCTGGTGAACGATGATAAAATTTAGCATGAAAGTTATGCACTGCATTTTCCTTATAGAATACAAAACAAGATTCGCAAGACAATATCAATGTACGTACATCATTTCTTAGTCAAACATTTAAAAGTAATATTTGTTTATAAAATATTTTGTATACATTTATATTTTTTAATTAAAATTATTGTAGATACTCAATGGCAATCTTAAAGGTTAATATTAATACAACCAATTACTTTAAGCATAAATTAGATCAATTTTAAAATGGACAAGAATCTTTTATTTTTCTTAATTTGATTTCTTTCTTCACAAAATATGGGAGATAAACGGGGGAAAATTATATTATCTAACCCTTGAAATACTTAAGAACAAAACAAGGCAAAAATTTTGGTCATTTGATGATATGGCACAGGATCAAAATTATGGTGTCCCCTTTGCTCCACACTATAGAACAGAGCAGACAATGCAGAGTATAGGATAAATTATAAAAGCAAAGATCCTCCACTCAAACCCGACATTTTTTCCAGTAGTGCTAGCTCCACTATGTATGCACCTTTTACAATTTGTTTTGTACATTGGTTAGCTTAGTTTTGATTGAATCATGGGTCAATGATGCAATCACTTTATCCCCTGCTTTTGATGCATTCTTGCCTTTCCATCAAAAACTTGGGGATATCTGTCGTAAACATTGTCCAGATTTTTTATTATTAGCTTTATCAACACATGCCTGATGCAATTTGTTGCTTAAATAAGAGGATACAACCTCCGGCTAAGGAAAGTGACCTGATTTCCGTTTTTTTTTTTTTTGCAATATACATTTATGAGTATAATTTTGATATTTTTATTATCAACTAATTAAAACCGTAAATATATTTTTAAAATTATTATAAATGTTAATAATTTTTTAATACAATAGTTCATTATTAAATGTAAGTGTAAAAAAAAATATTTTCAATATTTTAATTAAGTTATATTCTCATGGTTCAGTAGTTTGATAGTGATGCATGAATAGATATAGTGTTTGCATTAACGTTTTAAAAATCATAAAGATACTGCTAATATAGTGAACTTTAAATAATAACCTTTTTATTTTGAAGGACGAAAAATCCGGAATAGAGATTGTAATGAAAGGCCAGATTGGACTTTTGTTATTGGCATCAATGTTATTGAGCTTTTTACTCAATCAATCCTGATTTCTTTTATATTCCTTTTTTGTTACACTAAATAGCCAAAGAAAATGAAATAAGGTTTTTGTGTCGCTAAAAATAAAAAAAGCCATAGCGGAAGATGTTGTGAACTCAAGATTATGGAAAACATATGTCCAGGAGCTACTTATTATATCCAAAACCCTAAAATTATTATCCGAGCTTAATTCAAATATAAAAATTAACGTGTGATTAGTTGTTAAGTTGATTTTGAAAATTTAAATGTTAGGATTTGTTTAAGTCATTTATTTTATATTATTTTTTTTTACGATGTCTTGTGATTAAGATGATATAAATAGTAGAAGTCAGTAGTTTATTTAAAAAATATATAAATATCCTTAAATCTTTAAAATATTAAAAAAATTATTCGTTAATTTTTAAAAAATATAAAATATTTTCTCAAATTTACAAGTACTGTGTTATTATGTATCAGTTTCTGGAGGCCTTTCTTCTCTATCTACGGTGAATTTGGGTCCGGGCCTGTGTTTGTTTCAAAACGTGGGGCATAAAGAAAGTGAGTTAGCTCAGGCCCAATAAAATTGCAAAACAACCCTTAACTTTTTGCAGATTTTGAACTCGCGCCTGTTATTCGTCTTTAGTCTGAGTTCCAAACCCGGGTATGGCCATGGCGGGCACTCACACTCCGCAATCTGCTTGGATTCTTCGCCTGTTGTTTCTTTGGGCTTCTTCAATTCTGGTATTTGCCGATGAACGGTCCTTATGTATGCATTCTTCGCCCTTTATCCTTTTTTTTTAAAATATTTTTTTGTATTCAAATATAGGGTTTGGCTGTGTCTTTTCTTCCTATAGATGGTTTGGTTACATTTTCACTTCCTCTTTCGAGATAGTTTGGTTGTCGAGGCGTATTGGTAGGATAGTTAAGGATAGCATCTCCATAACTGATGGGAAACGAAATGGTGGAAAGAAAGATACCCTAAATTCATCTTATGTTTAGTCCTCACGTATTTTCATTGATTCACACTAAGTTCTATTTGATGACATTAAAATTCTTTTAGCATTCCTCTCAATATCAATATTCTGTTCACATGGCTTGTTCAAAGTTATGGTTGATGAGATTGTGGTTTGTATGTTGTTGGTCTTTTAGGTTGCTATTACGTAACTAAATCTGGTGTTATACATATGCATGTTGAAATTTCACTTTTTTCCCTCCTTATTTCTTTTTGCAGTTCTTCTTCAAAATACCACACTGCAGCTCTCGCGTGGCTTGCCTGTGGGAAATCCTCCTGGTTCTAAGCCCGGTGCTACTGTGGTTGTCGAAAGAGTTCATATACGTGGACTGCCAAGGTTTAGAAACCTGGGGAAATTTTCCCACTCCTTGAAAGTGAAGGTGTTGCCTACAAATTCAAATGTTCGCCTCCCAAGCATTGAGGTTTGTTTCCATAGGTGAGTATTTGCACTAGTGCCTGCATCATCGATAGTATATTTGTGTGTTCTGTTGAACGTCTTGCATCTTATTGTGTATTTAATGGGTATTTATTGGGACGTAGTTATTGTATTGATGAGTGCACATGATAAACTATCATTCATTCAACAGAGGAAAATGACTTTATACCTCAAGTCTAAATTTGCTTATGCAAGGACTATTGCTTCACTATACTGATATTCATGTATCAAACTAGAATTTGAAGAATAGTCAGTGTAACTGATTTAAGACATTTCTGTGTATTATTCAGGAATGTGTCTCTTCCAGTGGGGATGTGCCCACTTGGTCAGTGGGAGAAAGTTGCCAAGGGTTCTTGGGCTCGATCAATGTCTCCTTTTGACCGCAAGCTCTTAGACATAAGGACTGCTGGTTCCACACTGGAAAATTTTGAGGTTTCCATTGAAGAAGGTTAGTGCTCTTATCTGCATGTTTGTTTCGACTTATTTTTTTGGGAAATAATTGTTTTTTTGTTTTGGACAAAATCTCTTACCGCCAAAAAAACAAAGGAATTATTTTCTCAAAATAAGCTAATCCAAATATTGTATTTGTCATTGATGAGTTACAGTTTCTTGAAGTTTTATTGATCTGTGGTAAGAACAGTGACATCTGGTACTAATAATAGTTTTCCCCCTCCTCCTTTGCAGAATTTTTTGTGTTTCGTATTGTATTATTAGCATTAGGCATTATTCTGCTGAGCTTGGCATCCTTTATAAGCAAATCATTAGCATTTTATTATAGCAGCACAATGGCAATTGGAATAATTCTAGTGATATTGATCATTCTTTATCAGGTAACTTATTTCTGTTCCTCAATTTTTGAAAATTGGAAAGTTTTATATCTGATGTCATATGCTGTTCATGATTAATCTTTTCAATTGTTGATCAACTATGCCTTTGATTTTTCTGCTCTAGAAAAATTTTCTTGTTCCATGTTTATGGATTATCTTATCTGATGCAGACCTTTGTTTTTGTTTGTTAATCTTTATGGTTTTAGTGGTCTCGTCAACCTAGACATTGTTCATATTTGAAATTATGTTGCCTAACTCATTGTATTTGCGTTATTTTAATTAATATTAATCAACCTAACACTTTTTTTTTTGCCTTTTATAATTTAATTTTAATCAACCTGGTTACCTCAGTAGATTGAAAGGAATATGATAGAGACGCGTACCCTCACTTTACAGAAAAGAGTGATTCTTTATTGATAAAACCTAAGATTTCAACTCAGTTCCAATAAGAAACTGAAATTGAACTTAGAAAGGAAGATACAATATGGTATCGAATTCTGGGTTTTCGAGAGATCCAGTGCACTCCAATTTCAGACTTTTTCTTAAATCCTTTTCCTGCTTTATTCTCCCGTTACATTTTATTTTATAGGCTTAACTGTCCCACCTAACTAACTGCCAATCGGTAATTATTCCCTGTCACAGCTTTTATTTCTTCTAATGTAAACCTGTCTTACGGAGGGTCTATCAGAATATTTTTTTGAGTATCAACTATAATGAAAGTCTAGAATAACTAATAAGGTTTATATCTTCCTAAGTGGTTGCTGGATGTTGAGGTTAAAACTCCAGTCCTCTCTCTAATTAATAGTTTGATGTCTCATTTGTAAACTAGTTTTGATATAAGATTGCTATGGAAGATTTTATGTTGACCTTAACATGGAATTTGTTTAATATAATTGACAGGGAATGAAACTTCTTCCAACTGGTCGCAAGAGTTCCCTTGCTATATTTTTGTATTCATCTGCTGTAAGTGTAACCTCAAAGCATTTTTTTCCACCTTGAAATACCAATTTATAATGCATGTGGATCAGAAAATTTCAACCATTATTTTAAATCAGGTTGGTTTTGGGACTTTTCTCCTCCGTTACATTCCTGGCTTAGTTCGTTCAGTACTTACAGAGCTAGGAATTGATGAAGACATGTATAATCCTGTATGTAAGTCACCTCTATGGTTTCTGTTAATTTGCTTAGACATCCATAATGCTGATTAAAATTTTTTCCTTGTTAATGTTTTCTGAATTATGGTTGGCTGGGCTCACTTATTATGTCTGTAAATTTTAATTACTAGCCATAAAAGAATGCAAAGCCAACTCATGTAGTCTTTGAACACTTTTGCATTGTCAACTGCAGTTGGCAATATTTCTGCTGACTTTTGTTGCAATAGCTGGAGCCTGGTTGGGGTTTTGGGTGGTCCACAAGCTTGTCCTGACTGAAGATGGATCAGTGGACACAAGCACTGCCCAATTTGTTGCATGGGCCTTAAGGATTTTGGCTTCTATTATGATTCTTCAGGTTTTAATTTTTTCTTTTTCTTTCTTTATTTATCTCCACCATCCCATTTTTGTTATGTTGATGCTTCAGATAAGCACATGATTATTGACAGAGATAGACCTTGTAAAATTTATGTATGAAGGGATAAGAAACAAACTGAAAGTCAGGAGACCTGAGTTATTAGTGTTTGTGTACTTACAATTATTATTATTTGGGTAGTATTGGATCTGAATTATTATTTTGACTTATTATTTGTCTTTAGGCAGTTATAGAATGGTGTGATAGCTAGTACAAGATTCTTTATATGTATAGGGTTTGGGGGTGGTTATTTTTTGGGTAGTTTTGCTATTTGCTGAATGCAGAAGGAGGAGACTCCTTGTTATTAGGGGGAAACCCTGTCATTTATGTTTTGTACTGCAATTCTGGCCTATAAACCAGACTGTGTCCTGTAATAAATACAAATTTTAGTGTGTTTAATCTTGAGTTCGATGGATTGCAAGTTTGATCAAATGTTATTTCCAGAGTTCAATGGATCCTCTGTTAGGAACATTGGCATTATTATGTGGATCACTAGTCTCCTTGTTGAAGAGGATGCATAGATTGAGACTCCTTCGACGAATGCGTAGGTTAGTCGCTTCCTTGAATTTTGGACCTTGCTTTGTAATTTTCAATAATGAAGATTTTCTTTTCAAAGTCTTAATTAAATTGGACAGTAGTTTTCCTTTTCCACAAGGAGAGAGGGGGGTAGGGAGCCTTTTTGTATTTTTCAAAATTGTGTTGTGTTTTTAATCAACCTTCGGTAGCATGTTGCAAATTCTACTAATATAAAATATATTTTGTATATTGTTTTGGGGATTTATTATTACTTTATTTTAAATCCATAAGCTATCAAACTAAACAGCATTTTGTGTTCATGAGAATTTTCCTCGTATAACTATTTGTCCAATATGTCCTTCGATTTTTGGTATGGTATTTATTGTGAAAGGATTTTGCAGGAGTTTGTTTAAATCACCCAAGAAAAACAGGAGGAAATCTCTGGTTCCTGATTCATTGCCTTTCGTTGATTCAGATGATGAACATATGTACATGATGCAAAGTGAAGAGGATTTTACATTTAATCAGCCTCAACTGAAAGGCTTCACCTTGACTCATTGCAAATCTCCACCAGGTTTTCTCCATCTTGCATATTCGTACTTTTACTGATGGAAATGTCATCTTTCAATTATTTTTTTCCTTTCTCCTGATTGATTGGGGGAGAAAAGGAAAGCATCAGTGGTGCTTAACGTGTACATCTTCAGGTTTCACTGGGACACCGCCTAAAACACTGAAGGAGGAGCTATACCCATCCATCATACACAACACACCAGAGAGAAAAAAATATTCAGCTGCAGAATGGGATACATTCACAAAGGAGTCCACTGAAAAGGCCTTGGAAGAACTCGTTGCATCGCCCGATTTCAGTAAATGGCTGTCCACCAATGCGGATAGGATAACTGTAACACCCAACTCAAGAACCGACAGCCGGCACCGACGGTGGCTGTTGTGGTCTTGAGCCGTCTTATTGTTCTTCACAAATTCATGACAGCTTAATTGAAATAGGTGAGAATGTCCTACAGGGTTCCTTTCCTGTTGTTCTGATAGTTGCTTTTCCTTGACAGATGGTAGAAACAGGAGGGCAATGTAGATTAGAGAAACTTAAAGTGTAAAATTTTTGTGACATGTTTTCCACGGTGTAGATATTCATTCCCTGTGTCGGTGGTTTCTCAGTTCCTGTCCACTGGGGAGGGTCGGGAAAATGTTTTAATTTGTATCCGACCATCCAACGCGTTACATCGGTCCATGCAGCCTCTAGACGTTTTGTATAACTGATGTCTTAATTTTGAAATGGTTAAAATGTAATCTCTACGTTTTTAAGTTAAAACTTCGGTTCTATGTCTTAGTACATCTTAACTTCTTAGCCGTGTAGTTTTGGTTGAGTTTCATTTTGCTTCCCCCCCCCCCCCTCTCTCTTCCTTTTGGTATCTTCTACACTTTGTTTGATCGAATTGCCAATCCTTCAATCCAGTTTTCACATATATATATATTGACAGTACATTTCAGTTTGTAATCATGATGTTGGTGGTTTTGCTTTTGTGCATTATTTCCTGCATTTTATATAATAGAATATAAAACTCAGATTTGTGTCAAGTTTAAGATTTTAGGTGTTTATTTAGTTTAAAGTTAAGTAAAATTCATTTGAAATAATTGAATATACGAATGAAACTTGTCGTTTATTGAAAAGAGATAATTAACTTTTTAACTGTAAAATAAATAATGCCACCAAAACCGCACACTGAAAGTTGAAAAAGAAAATCCCACTAAGGTATAAATGCTCGAATTAATAAAGTGACTTTTTTTTAATAAGAAAACTCCATAAATTAGATTTATAATAAAATAACATTTCTCTTTCTATCTCTTTGGGATTAAGGTCTTACTAAAAAAATCTTCATATAGTCTTCTGCAACGCTGGATCATCTTGTGTTAGTTTGATGCATCTTTGTCCAACTTGTATTTTGGAAATTGCAAGTTTATGGTTCAATAAATCAGAATTTATTAAACTTACAGTTGTATTACCTGTTAATTCCAAACATGTAGTTCAAGAATAGAATCTAGATTAAAATGTAGCTAAAATATCCATCGTATATCATAGAGGCATATTTGTCTCCGACATGTTTTAGGATAAGATGAAGCGGTCTTTGTCATCTATCTCCTCATGGCACCAGAGTATACTTAAACTTTTGTAGTTATTTGATGTTTGTATCTTCCGGAAGGAAGGACAGTGGCATCTTATTCTCCATTGGCAGGCTATGTTAAAATTGGGATATCAAAATTTTTCATTAATGATTTTTTTAACTTGTGCAATAATGTAAATAATAAATTATATATAATTAATTTTTATTAAAAATTGTAGTATTTAATACTGTTCATGTATTAAATTGTATTAATTTTTATATTTTAAAATAAAAATTTATTATATACTTTCTTATTTTGTACAATATTATACTGATTAAAAAATTATTAAATTAATAATAAATTAATTGTAGTTAAATTAACTGTCAAAACTTCCACATAAATAAATAAATTCAAAATTCAAAAATAAATTCTAAACTCTAAACTCTAAAATTTCAATACAATCCAAAATCCAAACTCAAATGAATTAATCACTTTGTTATTAGGACATGAATCATTAATATTAAAAAATTTATTTTTTATATATTTTATAAGTATACTACATATTTTATATTATCACATGTATATCATTTTATAATATTATCCGAGCAATGTAATGAGTTCAGTTGTAATTATAACTGTAACTACAATATATTTAGTGTTTGGTTTATTTTATTTTTAAAAATATTTTTTTATCAATTTATAAATCTTTAAAATTATTATTTTCACAAAAAAACATTAAAATGTGTTTTAAAAAATTTCTTCACAATTTTATTTATTTTATATCTGTCCCAGTGTTTGAGGTCACGAGACAACACTATCACAACTTTAGTGACCCCCACTGGCTTTAGGAAAGTGGACCCTGGCTTTCCTGCTGATATTTTTGTTTAATTCCTTTGCATTTTCTCCGGTTGTCAAAGTAATTGTAATAATATACGCTAAAAAAAATATTTTAAAAGAATTACAAAAATATAAAATTAAAAAATGACTAATAACCAATTTTGAATAAAAATAGAAGGATTCAATATAAATTTTTTTTTTCAAAATTTATTAATAACAATTTTTTTAAAAAATAATTAAAAAGTCAAATTTACTAATGATAAATTTTTAAAAAGTCAAAATTTGTTAACGAAAATATTTTAAAATAATAATTCTTTTATCAAATCTTGTCCAAGTGTTTAAAGAATGCTCATATTTTTATATATTTTTTAAATATTATATTTTAATAATTTCTTTATATAAAAATTAGTCACCTTTTTAAGTTTAATAAAATATAAATAAAAATAGTAAAAAATAACTTTAATGACGAGATTTATAAGTGAATAAAAAATTGCAAATTTTTAATTCACACTTTACAATTACAAGGAAAATTTTTAATTAAATTATTATGTTGTAAAATATGATTAAGAAAAAATTTAGAATTAATAAGTTGAAATACATTAATTAATTTTTTTAAATAATAAAAATATCATGATGTTACAAAAAGATATAAAAATTATATAAAATAAAATTTAATAACTCGAGAGTTTCTTAAAGAAATTGTCCTTAAAATGATCCCTAGTAGTAATAGAAACCGAAAGGCCAGACATGCAGTGTTGAGAAAACAGCCACAAGAAAACAAAAAAGCTCAGCAATGGTGCATGAGAAAACAGACACAGACCAAATGAACAAGGCTTCTCTTCGAGGCTTTTATTATTCAGTGCTTCAAATAAAGATAACTATATCCTGAATTTGTACATTCATTTTATTTGTTAGTCCTTTATCTTTTATTTATACTTGTTTACCTTTTTCTTTAATTCAATGTTTAACAGTTAGTTTTTATAGTTTATATTTTAATTCAACTTTTAATAAAAGCTTATGCACATAATTACTCTTATTTCAGGGCTTCCATGTGTTGCAGTTATTTGAAGAAACCTTTTGAAGGAGCAGCGTTTCCACAATCCTTGTCTTTGGAGAACATGTCAGGTGGTCCTCAAAATTTGAGGATGAATTTAAACGTTATCAAAATAGATTCTGCAAAATCTAGAATAAATCAAAAGTGGAGAGGGGTTCTGTTAACATTACCAAGCACAAGCACACACAATTCCTTTGACCAATGTTACTTCCACCAGTTCATCATGTCATGGATATTTGTATTTTTTCCAACAACGGTTATTGTTAAAGGAACAGCTGAATGATTGGGGGTCCCAAAACACGTAAGGTACACGGGAGACTCAACTTTAAACGTTGCCCGTGCTTGCACCAAGAGAAGTAAAACTCCCCTTTAAATATGCTTCACAACTAATAATATTATGTTTAAATCTATTTCACAAACATGGTTTTTTTACTAAATTTTTATTTAACCTATAGTTGCTTATTTAAAGGTAAACTAAACATTTTCCATTGAAGATAATTAAATTAAAAAATGTTTTTAATATTTTTACTATAAAAAATATTATTTACTTCTGTTTTATTAATCAGTGTCTCATGGTATTGTTTATTATGATTATTTAATCCTTATATTATTGTGCATGGAACGCCACCGTTCCGCCGCGTAATTGAGGTTGGTTCTCGATTTTTTTTGAAGTATAAAATATACTCTCTCACTCAACTGAAAATGTAGATGAGTACTAAATAGGAAATCCCCTCTCTTGTTTCGTCAGATCCAAAAACAAAAAGGGAATGGCTGCAAGTACTTCAAAGCCACCGCTATCCATGCGCAGGCACGGAGAAAGTTGCCTTTCTCGTGGCCCCACTTCTCAACACAACTTCAATGCTACATTCAGAGTGCCTATTCAAAGCCTCACTTCTTCTTGTGCTTTGGAGTCGCAAAACACCAAAAATAGGTCTCTGTTTTTGGTGAGAGGTTGCGACTGTGATGAGTTTGGTGTGTCGGAGGAAGACCAAGAATTTGTGAAGGTTCTGAGGGAATCTCAGCCTTATATTTCTGTGCATAGGGGCAGAGTTTTTCTTCTCCTCTTATCTGCAGAAATCATTTCTAGTCCTTACTTGGATCCCATTCTTAAGGTACCACCTCTCACACCATCTTCTTCACGGTCATCAAATCATTTTCATTTGATTCAAATTATTTTTTTATTTTAGTGACTAACCTACTAAATGTTCACATTCATAATTCTTTTTTATTACGATGATTATTTCACAACACCAAATTTCGCTAACCCCAAATGCAGACTTCATATTTGATTTAAAAACCTGTTTTTGACTGTTTTAAGAAAATTAAACTTCATTGTTTTCTAAAATGATATTTTGTAATATTTAAATAAAAATCAATTACTTCAGATTTTTTAAAATAAAATATAGTTTTACGGAAACTGAAATGGATCAGCTATTGGTTTCCCCGGCTTTATTTTGCTATGGGGACAAACATCGAAATTTTAATTTTGAGAGAGGCTGGATGACGTGTCTAGCTTGGTTTCGTGAGTTCAAGTTACGTGTCGTTACGATAACTAACAAAGACCGTGCCTAGTATATACTATAGCAGCAAATAAAATATGATTATTTTAATGCAACTATAATATTAATAATAATATTGTTTTTAAAAATTATAATATTGAATGTAATTAATATTAAAATATTATGTTTTATAATTTCTTTGTCTTAGATATATATAAAAGAATCGAATAAAAAATAAATAAAAAAATAAGGAGGTTGACGAATAGAAGTAAGACAACATAAAAAGTTTTTGGTTTTTGTAGAACTTATGTGAAACTTTTTTTTTAATTCGATTTTTATGGGAAAAATTGTGAATGGGTCTACCATAAAAGTTGTTTTTTTTTTAATGATGTCTAATATTATTTAATATTTTACACAATTTTTTACGTTAATCTTCATATACAATATATTTTTATTTTTACATTAAAAAAATCTTGAATCGATCTCTATACACGCCAAAACATAAAAGTAAAGAAAATAAATATATGACCATCCCTAGTTTGGCTCACGTCAAAGATAGAATTATGAGCTCATAGTTAGAAAGAAAAAAGAATAGAAATATTTATTTAAACATTAGACACATCAAGGATTAACATTAAAAAATTGGAGAATCTTTTAATCTTGAAGGAGAAGAAGGTTTTCAAAGGAAACGTGAATCAAAATAGTTTCTTAGCCTAGCAAGGATAAAAGGGGTCTTGTCTTGTCAACTGCCACTAGAACGGGCTTCCAAGTTCCAACTCAACCTTCACATCTTTTCGGACCTAAAACAACCCACACTAAAGATTATTTCATAAAAGACTAAGCACAACCACGGTTAATTTTTATTTTCTTTTAAAATAAAATTTGTATTTTACATAAACAAAATTATCTTGAATTTATATTTTTTTAAAATAAGTTTCGCATACTATGTGGACAAATAATTTGAAATATTGACATGCGTTAAAATCTCGTAAGTATATGAGATCTTTAAAAAAAATTCTTATTTCTCTAGTTTGTGAAATTTTTTAGAAATTAAATAAACAGTTTCGTATTTATAAAGTACAAAAGAAGTTTTAGATAGAGAAATTATTTAAAAATAATATTATTTTTATAAAATAAATAAACCAAAATCTAGTCTCATATGTTTCATGACTGGGAATTTTTGTTATATTTGAATGAATAATTAAACTAATATATATTAGCTGTATTTCTTTTTTTATTTTATTTTAAATAAACGATACCTTTTACAGAGAACAAACGTAAGTTGGGTATCAAACCCTAAGCAGAGCTAGGGAAATAATTGATATTTAATATTTAAAATGTATTTATTAATTAATTTAATCATTGAATAAAAATTTCTTTATATTTAAAGTAGGACATATTTCACTATTTTTTTTATTGGAGAACATTCTTAATATACTAGTATACGAGAATAAAAATATAATAGAGAAGTAAAAGAATTATATACCATGTCAAATTTTAAACTTTCAAAGAACATAATTATTTTTTAATTAATAATATTAAAAATAATTTAAATGATAAACATCATTAGTGTTTAAAGAAAAAAATTAATGTAATACAAAATGTTATTTTTATATTTTACTTATTTTTTAAAATAAAATAATTATTTTTTCCTTATTCTCCAATCTTCCGTTGTGGTATTAAACAAAATGTTTTATCAACATTGATTTTATGTAAGTGGATGAGATAATGTATAATTACTTGTTATTTGTTGTGATATTTGTAAATTTGAGAGAATATTTAATATTATTTTAAATTAATAATCATGATTTATCTGATATTTTGAAATTTAAATAAAAATTATATATTTTTAATTAATTAATAATTTTTATTATTTATTATATATTTAATATAAACTGATAATTATTTCATATGTAAAAGAATATAAAATATCCTTCTAGTTTAATAAGGTAGGATTGAAATTATCTAATATAAATATTCAAGAAATGATAAATATTGGAGAAATGATTTTGCACCGGTCATGTTACACCACAAAAGTTTTCACCCAAAACTTTGGACACTCTCCATGTATAATTTTGGACACTTCCGGTTAGCAAAGATGTTTCGGTAAATTTATAATTTTTTCAGTCTATCTAGGGGTAAAAAAGAACATATGTTATTAGAAGAAAAAAAAACATATATTTAAAAATACAAATTCACATTTTGTGGATTATTTTAAGCATTACAGAAGATGATGCAATAAAAATAGAATGTGAGAAACGTTATTTCTGTATTAATTATGTATTTTGTTAAAAAAGTTGAAGTTTTGTTATTAAGAATACGTCATTTTATGATTGAAAAGCATATTTTCTTTGACAACTACTAAATTGATTATCTCAAAAACTCATTTTTAATATTATCCCTTTTAAAATCCCAACTATATACTTTTTCAATTTTCCTTCATATTCAAGCTTATTTTTCAGAACGTATATGTTAAATTTGAATTTTTTTAGAGTGGATCAATTTATCAACGTTTCTTAATTGATGTAGATTGTTCACAGTTTTTTTTCCAAAGTTTATTGTATATTTTAAATTATTTTTATTTTAGAAAAAATATTTTTACTATCTATTTAAAATATTTAAATTTATTTTATACTTTTTAAAGGTAAATAAATTTATAAATATTGGACACCGTATATATGTTACTTTTATTCAAATAAGTTTATTGCATTTCAATCATTTTTTATTTAATCATTCTTATCATGACTGGATCAAATACGATTAAAATACATACATAAATTAATCTAAATTATATATTTATTTATATTAAAACATGTACTTTTTTACTAAAAAAAATTGGCAGATTTAACTTTTTAAACTTTAAACCAACTAAATTAGAACAACACTTGCGAATTGATTTTGCCTTTCTTTTTTATTTTCATCTAAAATAAAAATTAAAAGTGTACATAGTATGAAGTAGTCACCAATGGATTGATTAATGAAGTTAAGAAAAGAAAAAAATTTAGAGGAATAACCAAAATTTTGCACGTGTTGGCGTGAAGCAGGCAATAATTTTGGGGTGCGGCGGCTCAAGTTTTGTGTGTCTAGACATACATTTCACGGCCACCGCCAACCCCTTCCTTTTGATTTCTTCAATGGCACCTTCCTTTTCCTTACGCACATACCTTCCCAATACCCCCAACTTCTCTTATTTCCACCAACTACCCTCTTCCTCTCACCACTTCTTTTTCTACCCACCAAAACCATTCCTCCAACTTAAATCCCGTTATGGCTCAGAAGCGTCGCCTTTGGCGGCCCATTTCGGTAACGGAAAAAGTGGAACGGCAAGGAAGCCCAATGTGCTGAGTGAGGGAGTGAATGGTTATGGGAGCGTGGAAGAAGAGAGCTACAACAGTTCCATGGAGGATAAGCAATTCGTGCGTTCGTTTCGCGAGGCGTGGCCTTATTTGTGGGCCTATCGTGGCAGCACCTTTGTTGTTATTGTTTCCGGTGAAATTGTCTCTAGTCCTTTCTTGGATCCCATTCTCAAGGCATGTCTTTGAACTCTAACATATGTGTTTCGTATTCACAAAACTTGTTTAAAACATTATTGTTTATTACCTGGGAATTCACAAAGCCATGCTATGTATTATAATATGTTTCTTCGCGCAGGATATAGCTTTCCTCCATCACCTGGGAATTCGGTTTGTTCTTGTTCCAGGGACCCATGTGCAAATAGACAAGCTTTTGAATGAGCGAGGTTATTCTAAACTCTAAATAATCGCTTCCTTAACTTTCTTCCACTAGTGAAAATGAAATTCATTTATTTTTACCATATTAGTTATGTTACTTGCAAAACCCATGTCTTCCTTTCTCCAAAAATAGAAAATAGAAGGAAAATTGTTAGATAGACATTGGTGCCACAGTCATTGACTTTGTTACTATGTTTGCAGGGAACCAGCCTAAGTATGTTGGTAGCTACAGGATAACTGATGATGAATCTCTAGCAGCTGCAATGGAAGCAGCTGGAGGAATAAGATTGATGATAGAAGCAAAACTTTCTCCTGGACCTTCCATATGCAACATTCGTCGACACGGTGACAGTAGTCGTTGGCATGAAGTTGGTGTCAGTGTTGCCAGCGGTAACTTTCTTGCAGCCAAGGTTAGAAATTGGTGATTCATTCTCTGTACAGTGAAAATGGTCTTGTGACATTCTGCATCACTTTCTGTTTTTATCACTGTGTTAGAGCATCTTGTTATTTCTATTTTTTGGCAGAGAAGAGGGGTGGTCAATGGAATTGATTTTGGGTCAACTGGGGAAGTTAAAAAAGTAGACGCATCTCGCATGCGTGAGAGGCTTGATGGTGGTTGTGTAGTTGTTTTAACCAACTTGGGCTACTCCAGCTCTGGAGAAGTATTAAATTGCAAGTATGCTTTGGAGCTTAATTCTGATAATTACTTTCTACAACTTAGAGTAACTGATTACATGCTTTACATATATGCTGTTGACCTAACAATTTTGTAATTTTGGACTATCCATATGTTATGTTAACTATCTGAATTTCTCCTGAAAATATTTAATTTTTCAAGGTAGACTTGTTAATAGATCTGAAAAAACAGCCTCACGGGGATTATGATAGAAGGAAAAGCGAAAAAGTTGGTTGCTTGGGTAAAGAGTATGAAGAGTTTAACAAAAGGTTTATCATGTAATTCATTAGTTGGTAAAATAGCTAATTGTTAAGGCTTTTTCTTCTAAAATGTTAAGGAGCAAATACTGAGAAATTAGTGGTACTAATATTTCCGAGAATGTGAAGCAGAATTCCACCTGTGCCAATGCGCTAATTTTTTCCCCGGTTATATGTTACTGTGCACTACTTGGATATGATCTAATCATCCAATAATAATAATAATAATAATAATAATAATAAAGAGAAGAACTAGACAGCAGAAACCATGTATAATGTATGCTTCACCTACTTCATTAGGTTGTACGAAAAGACCAATGAGAGTTGCTTGATTTGAATATGGTGCCCTTTCACCCGAATGATGAGTTTGACAAATGCCTGAAACCTGGATATTGATGGCTTTCATTTTTTCTCCAGCACCTATGAAGTTGCAACAGCTTGTGCCTTGGCTATAGGAGCGGACAAGCTAATATGCCTTATAGATGGTCCAATACTTGATGAGAATGGACGCCTAATTCGTTTCTTGCCTCTTCACGAAGCAGATATGTTAATTCGTAAACGGGCTGAGCAAAGTGAAACAGCTGCTAACTATGTGAAAGCTGTCGATGAAGAAGGTTTCAACTCTTTTGAGCATTACAATTTTAATGGGACAATCAAATCTCCACCTATTGGATGTTTTACAGAATGGAATAATGCAACCTTCCATAATGGTATTGGTTTTGAGAATGGAAATGGCTTAGAGTCTGGGGAGCAAGGCTTTGCTATTGGAGGCCAAGAGCGACTAAGTCGAATGAATGGCTACCTGTCAGAATTGGCTGCTGCAGCTTTCGTTTGCAGAGTGAGTCTGTGATTCACCTTTATTTTTAATATCAAGTGCACTCTGGTTGTGCTTAGTTACGTCTATATTGGTATGTGAGCTTGTGAGAACAAAAGCATTTTTCAAATCATGACCAGATCAAGAATATACATATGCTGTGCATTTGTCTACTACTGCACTATATTGGGAAGGATCTTAGAATTTTTACTTGATTTACATTTTGCTACTGTAAAATGGGTGGTCTGGAGTGACATTCAACTTTCTTTGAGAAGTTCCTGGTTGAGAGCTTGACATAGTGACTATGCTTGAAATTTTAGTTGATGCATGCTTTTCGATTATGTGGAAAATAATACCATCTACCATTTGTCAGGGTGGTGTTCAAAGAGTTCACTTGTTGGATGGCACTATTAGTGGAGTTCTGCTGTTGGAATTGTTTAAAAGAGATGGCATGGGAACAATGGTGGCTAGGTAAGCAACCTTTCCTGACTGTCTCTGGATTAAGTTTTTATGATTGTGAATATTTTATTCAAGGGTTGGTATTCGGTTACTATTCCGTAGTTAGTAAGATAAATAGGTAGTAAGTTATGGTGCTATGACATAAATTGCATCCTTGACTTTTCTGTCCGACTATTTTAACCATAGTTTAGGTTGTATCCCGGTGGAATTCCTGCTTGTGTCACCATAAGGGTGACATAAATGAGATTCAGCATTATTTGTAACTCCTTCTTGTTAGTTGATGATTACAGGGCAGTTTGTTGTGATTCAGATTGCATAAGGCTGGAAATATATGGGTTGGATCTTAACTCCATCCATTCCCCTTTTTATATAGCGTTGCGTTACAATTTAAAACAACTGAAAAATAATAATAGTTGAAGGATTAATTGAAATAATTGTCTATATTAGTGATAAAGAGCACGTGTATATTATAGTTAAGTGGAACTTGTTAAATATTTCTCAGTAGACATGCAATACCTCAACAAAATTCAATTAATACCAAATGGACTTCCTACCCGCCTATCAATATACTATATGCATCATATTGTTCATGGCATTGTGGTCAATAGTTTGTTTTTATCCTTTTTTTTCTTAGCAACTAACAAGTCTTATTTTAATGAAATTTTTTCAGTGACCTTTACGAAGGGACTCGCATGGCAGAGGCAAAAGATATTTCTGGAATCAAACAAATTATTCAGCCTTTGCAGGCATCTGGCATATTGGTTAAGCGGAATCATGAAGAGGTTTGCATAGCTATATCTTTTCACGTGTGTTCTAGATACTGTAGCTTACATGGTTGATAATTTAACTAGATATCTCTCATATTTTAACCATTATCTGTTTATAGCTGCTACAATCATTGGATTCTTTCGTTGTTGTGGAAAGAGAAGGTCAAATAATTGCTTGCGCTGCCCTTTTCCCTTACTTTGAGGAAAAGTGTGGAGAGGTTGCTTGCATTGCAGTATCTCCTGATTGTCGTGGCCAAGGACAGGGAGACAAATTGCTTGGTATGCTATTGCTGCTGTGGTTGACAATTTGTGTGCTTGATGGATATTGTGACCAATAATTTTTGGAATGTATTGGAATGTCGTGGGTATTTTTCGTTGTTTATGCATACTCATTTTGCTAAAACCACTTCAAACCTTAGTAGAAATGTAAATACCATATTATATATGCGTAAATTATGGTTAAGGCTGTAGACTTTAGTCATTATTATTATTTTTTTACTTTTTGGCCTAAAAACACCAGAACAAATGTATTATTAATAGTAATCACTAATAACTATATCTATTCAGCTCTTAATCAGAACAGTATTTTTAACTTAGAAGTGTTCGAAAGTTTAAACATGTTTGTGTCAAGAAGATATGGTGTAGGCTTCAGATTTTGATGGTTATTGAGCAGCTGTATGATTGTAAATCGTTGGATCTTGTTGCTCTGTAACGCTGCTTGCCAAACATGTTTTCACAATATTTAATTAATTATATGATGAAATATTTGCAGATTATATGGAGAAGAAAGCATCATCTCTTGGATTGGATATGATTTTCCTGCTTACAACACGGGCAGCAGATTGGTAAGTAATTCCCCTAATGCATGTCAGGCAACCCTTGTCTGCCATCATTGTTATTTTTCACTTTTTGTGGCTTGTACTGCACGTGCAATGATTCTTGGATACAGCTTATGGTTTGTTACGTCATTTTGGTAATTTAATGTTTAGGATGTCTCTGTATCTTTTTTTCTTTCTTTTCTATAATTCGGCTAGTTTTCTTCAAGTGTAAAAATCCCTTCCTGCTGTCAACATGCATTTAAGATTTTGAGTGCTGCGGATTGCAAAGTTGATGCGTTGATCTGCACGAAATTCCTGAAAGCATTACTTGTGATGTATACGGATTGTGGCCTTCATTTTAATGCTCAATTATTTTCATGGCTGCATTTCTAAACTTAAGGATTCCTTGCCTGCTTTTTTGCCAGGTTTGTAAGGCGTGGATTTTCAGAATGTTCAATTGATTATGTTCCTGAAAGGAAAAGGAAAATGATCAATCTGTCCCGCAATTCTAAGTATTATATGAAGAAGCTTCTACCAAATAAAAGTGGAATTACTGTTCTTGGAAAAGTTGCTTCAAATTAGCCTATTTTCGTTTTCCATCTAGCACAGGGGAAGGTGATTGGATGCAAGATTTTAGGCACTTATGTAGAATGTAGATAATAATTTCGTAACAATATGGGAACTGGAATTAGTATATCTGTCAGGTCGTCTGTGTGTAGCATTAAGTTTTCTATTAATTTATTTTTAGTATTTAATTTTCAAGTTTTGTTAAAGTCCCTTAATAATCTTCATATTTATTTTATAAAATAAGTATTGAATTAAAAATTACATCTGTTTATCTTGATTAATAGAGTAATTTTCAAACAGAGTAAATTCTTATTTATTGTATTTTTTGAAAAATCGATTATCATAGTATTAAAAATTCAATACATTTATTTATTTGAGGAAAATTTGAAACAATAAATTTTACTGAAATTTTAAAATGTCAATTTGAAATTTTGTTGCCAATTCAGTTAAAAAATATATAATTAATATTTTAATGATTTCATAATTAGGTGGAGATTAAATTTTTTAGAGAAACTCTTATTAAATTTGTTTTGTTTAGTAATTTTTTATAAATATTAAATTTTAATAATTTAACCGTTCAATAATAAGTTAATGTTAAATAAATCAAATTTGTATAAATTTAAAATGAACCTTTTATCTAACATTGTTTACGTATAGTATCTTTTTAAAAATATAAATAAATTTTATATAAATAAATATTAATTATAAAAGTACATGTCTTTAAAATTTATCTAAAATTATATATATATATATATATATATATATATATATAATGTTAATATTATTTTACATTTACAAATATATTTATAAAAAATTATTAAGTTAAATAACTTTTCTACTTTCATGACATATATAATATAAATAGTCGCAATCTTAGTTTTAAAATTAACGATTATAATTACACCTAATCATCCGAGTACCAATTTGAGAAGACCCACCTCGTTGGTTGGTCTTTTATTGGGTTTGGTGGATCCAGATCCAGTCCAAAAGAGAAGAAAAAAATGGGCAAGGAACGGGAACACACGGCATTTCGAGAAAATGAGAGGACCCTTTTGCAAATTCAAAAAATATTGAATTGCAAGTATTTCAGGAAGAAGGTAAAATAAAATAAAAACAATAATACAAATAAAGAAGAAGACATTTTTCTCGTTATTCTCCAGTTCCTCGCAGAATCTATGGTATCAATTCGATTTATCTGCGTCTAAATACTCCAACTTTTCGCAATTCACACCTATGCCCTGCGATTCTCCGATGCGTTACACCTTAGTCCGCGATTCATTTATGATTTTTATCCCTTTTTCTTCCAATTAAAGTAAATTTTATGCTATCTATATTCCCAGGTTAGTGTGCATGATTATAGTTTATGCATCGGTGATTATTTTATGCGTTTTCATTTTTAGCTCGAATTTTGTTAATTGTAACCGGTACGAGTTTAAAAATAATTTCATTTCGGTGTCATTGTTTTTGTTTAATTGATATAAATTTTATGTGCTTGATGAATTTTTGAAACCGAGACAATAGCATCACTTGGGTTTTTTATTTGAGGCGATGCAATAAGCCTTGTAGATTATTCCGTACTGTTGTTGATGTTACGAGTTATTGTTGATTCTCAAACTCAATTTACATGTAGAGGTAACTGAATTAGGTAGTATTTGGTTGTGTAACTCTTTCTGTGTGCACTTATTTGCACTTCTACGTTGCTCTTTTCAAGGCCTGACCTAATTGCATTGGCATTGCCAGAATAGTACAATGCATCCTTTTTCTCCTTGTCTAGATCCTTCTCACAATGTTGTAACTTATATTATAACACAGTTTTGCCATATAAATAACATGAAATAGTGCGTGCTGGGCGTTCCAGAGTTGCTATCTTTTCAAAATTTGCATGTCTAGTTGATGAGATTGAAGTTAATTTGGGAAATGAGCTCAATGTTTGATGATCGAGATTTTGGGATGAGATTCTTCTTTTTCTTTAATCATTGAATGATTCAAGAATAAAATGCGTTTAAACTTGTCTTATTATTTTAGAGTGCTAACCAGTGCCCTTGGGGAATTGGTTGATAAATCAAAAATAGAAAAATTTTATGGGAAATCACATTGAGAGTCACATTGAAAGGCATAGTCAGTATGCATTTAATAAAAAATTTCTTCTTTTAATTCTTTAACCAATGCCCTAGAGCACTGATTAGAATTTACCTTGTTTTTATTTTATTTTATTTTCTCATTCTGATGTTTGTAGGTTGATAAAAGTCTGATTTTTCTTGTTCGTGGCCGGACATGCAGAAGAAGGCTGCACTGAACTTCCAAGCTTTCCTCTAGAACGAAAGCAAAGATTATACTGTCATAAAAAGTTTGTGGACTTCTTTTAATGGGTGCTCCTAAGCAGAAATGGACTGCAGAAGAAGAAGCAGCACTGAAAGCTGGAGTAGTCAAACATGGGGCTGGAAAATGGCGAACCATACTTACAGACCCAGAATTCAGTTCCATTTTGCGCATGCGTTCAAATGTAGATCTCAAGGTAAGTCTTTTCATGGGCCTAGCGGTGTGACAAAGGATGTTTTATTATGTCAGGTTTGAGACGTTAACTGCCACTACTCGTGTCAAATGACTATCTATTTATTACATTATAAGGAATACATGTAGAGTTCCTCGCTTTGAGAAAATTGCCAAATTTAAGGCATACTGAGATGTTTCTGTATTTGATTATTTATATATACTTTAAACCATAAACAGGACAAATGGAGGAACATAAATGTGACAGCAATATGGGGATCTAGGCAGAAGGCAAAGCTTGCCCTTAAAAGGAACCTACCAACCCCCAAAGTTGACAATAACCACACAGCCTTGAGTACTGTAGTTCAACGTGACAAAGAACTTGCAGATTCCAAGCCTCTAGCAGTTTCTGGTGGAACATCTCCTAATACAAAGGAACAGATATCAAGGTTCCAGTTAAATATTTCTGCTATTTACTCTTGAAAAAATAAAAGGTCTACTCTGCTCAGTTGGTTTAGTATTGTTTTTGAAAAGCAAATAAAGAAACATTGTATGATTTTAGATATTATTTCCCTTGCAAGTAATTAGTTCTAAGATTGGATAAAGCTAATGCACTAGTTATCCGATTTATTGAATGAATGAATAAATAATTAAACAAAATTTCACTTATTGAATTTTATTTCTAAGCATTGCAAAGATACGCTAAAATATGATTCAGTTTCTTATGTAGAGTTCCAATTGCAGTTACAAATAATTGATAAATATTTATCTTATGTTGTACTTTGGATGACAACATCCTGTCAAGTTTGTAGTGATTTTGCTAAACTGTTGAAGCTGTTGTTAATTATGTGACAAACCATGTTTTTTAATGACGAAAGCTGTATGCTTTTTAATAATGGCAGGTTGGATAATCTTATATTAGAGTCCATTATCAAGTTGAAGGAGCCAAAGGGTTCTGACAGGGCAGCCATTGCTGCATATATAGAGGTATTTATACTTCAATTACTTTACTTATGGTCATAAAATTTGCACATCTCAAGAAACAAATGATGATCAAAATTTTGGTAGGACAAACTTCAATGCTACATAGAATACTTGATTTCTGCTTTCTTTGGGCCTCTTCTTTTCCTGTTAGTTTCCATGACTTGATGTACATTTAGAATTAAACTGTAAATTGTTTTCATTTATTCCTCTATTATCAAAGAAGTTATCTTTCCATATATACAATTTGTATTGATTGATGTATTACCTATATGGAACAAAGTATGTGGATTTACCAGTCTGCTTTTTGATCAAGTTTACAACAATAAAAATGTTTTAACCTGTTTTGAAATATTTCTATCCTATGTCCATAGAGTTATACACTGTTTATTAATACCTGCAAATTCAACTAGCTATGACATGTAACATGTATGATTCCTTTTGCTGGGTACCAAAATTTCCTGCCCTTTTTTCAGTTAAATATTTCATTTTTCGCAAGCCTAAACAGGAGCTCTCACCTGACAACAGGCTTTTAACTTTTTGGCCTCCCGTGGTACACAAAGGCCTAGCATAATTCAACCAATCATAATATTCTATGCATTGCTTGTCATTTTAAATATCCTACTAAGCTTACAGCATTATTGAATGCAGAAAATATCAAAATGATAGCAATTTAATTTTTCTTGATGTTCTTTTCTGCACCATTGCGACAAAAGTAATTTTGAAAATTTTCACACCATTAGGATCAATACTGGTCTCCGCCAACCCTCAGAAAGTTACTGTCAACAAAACTGAAGCATATGGTAGCGAGTGGAAAATTAATTAAGGTAATTTTACAGTTAGTTAATCCCTTAACAATGCACATCACATTTGGCTTTTTGGAAATTGGTTGTTCAAGCAGCAGCATCTTTATGTGCAAACCTTTGTAATGAAGCATGGTCAATCTGGATAATTTTTGGATCATGTATGACATAGATACTTTGCTAACATGTTTGATGTTATTTACTAAAATTTATTACCGAAAAATGGTTTGTGACTAGAAATTAATTGGTTGTATGTATGTACAGATGTAAATAGAAATATATTTCTCTTGCAACAATTGAGCTACACGTCTGGGCATGGTCTTTCGCCTGAGTGAAAAGTCTATTTGAAATTTTGAATTGATAAATTTCCCCACCTAATAAACCCATCTTCTGTAAGATAATAATGGGTATGCAATTGAACTCAGTATTTGGTCAATGATCCTGAGTATGACATATCTAACGAGTAATGACAGGTAAAGCATAAGTACAGGATTGCAACAAATTTAACAATATCTGAGAAAAGAAGATGCTCTTCCTTGTTACTCCTGGAAGGGAAGCCCAAAGACTCTCCAAAAGCAGAGAAGACTGATGTCAACATCCTTTCAAAATCTGAAATTGATGCAGAACTATCAAAAATGAAGGGTGTAACAGCTCAAGAGGTATCAGCAGCAGCTGCAAAAGCAGTTGCAGAGGCAGAAGCTGCCATTGCCGAGGCTGAGGCAGCAGCTAGGGAGGCAGAGGCTGCAGAAGCTGAAGCAGAGGCTGCACGAGTGTTTGCAAAAGCAGCAATGAAGGCCCTAAAATGCAAAACACTTCATATTTGGTAAGCTTCTTTACCGAGAAAATTTGATTAATGCTTACAACTGTGATGCTTATAAATTCCATCTTAAACTTTTGTAGATGTCTAGCCAGTTGTTCCTCACGAGATCTCATAAACTTTTGACAATCTCTTAAAATTCTTTTCTCTAGTCACTTACTTTCTAATCACCCTCCTATCTTCCTCCCTATAATATCTGCCATCCAAAACCCTGTCTCTTGTGAAAAGACTCCAGTTTTGTTAATTAATGTGGGTGAAAGATTTTCTCTAAGCTTTAATTAGTACTGCATTACTCTTGTTGGTCCAGAATATTGGTTTCTGCCAGTTCTTTTAATTAACTGTATTATCTTTGCAAATTTGTGCAGATAGTGTCAGCTTCTGCGTGGCTGACATGAGCAGTATATTGGTTTGAGATCTTTATTCTGCTAATAGACATCCTGCATGTATTTAATTACTGTATATAATTTAGGCTTGTAAATTCGGAATATGCGGGATTGATCCATGAAACATTTTGTCAGGAGTCATTAAGAGCGTATTATTTATTATTTTTACCTTGTTTTTAAAGACAGACAATGAGGCGAGGGTACAAAGAATTAGTGGAAGAGTGGAAGTAGTGATCAGTGTTGTAATGGAACGTGTGATAGGCATCTGCTATTTGTAGTGATCAGTAAGAGCGTATTATTTATTTTTACGCAGATCCTTGTTTTAAGTTATTGTTACATTACTCGGACTATGTTGTAATTATAATCGTTTTTTTTTTTTTTTTGTGGTAAGGAAACACTAAACTTCTAAATATGGTATTCTTTAAAGTGCTGGTTTCTTGGACTGCATTGGTGGAGGGGGCTGGTCAAGCGTTTGGGGATGGGCACATTAGTTGTCAATCGTGTTTGGCGAAATGATATTTACACTTTAATTTGAAAGATATACAAATTTGAGCCATACGTGCGATGGGTTCAAGGGAAGTTAAAGTAATCTCAAAAGGAAAATAGTATATTTGAATAGTTAGAAATTGAGATCGCAGGCGTCATGGTAGGATACGAGTTATCGCATCTTATATATCCTTCAGATGTTGGTGAATTATTAACATAGTTTACAACCCTGCGCTAGTTTAGGATTGAGTGATGTACTCACGATAAGCACTGCTAAATCTTCAATCAGGAATATACCAACTGAATAATGTCTCTGACATTTGCGAACATGAGTTATTTGTTTTTAAGATTATTTCTGTCAGATTACAACCGTTGTGAAACAAATTAGAACGATGATATAAGGAAACAAGAAATCGGGGTATCTTTTTCACGTCAATAAAAATTGCAAGCTCTTCAAATTTATAAGTTAGGAGAAAAATAACAGCGTACGAATTTTATGGCTATGTTCTTGTAATGATCTAAGTAAGCCATGCCACTAAACATTTGTATATTTCTATTGATTTATCTCTAGGCACATAAAATAATTTCTTAATTCATATCAAAAACTCAGTTATATACCACTTCCAATTTAAGCACTTTGTAATTACATTACGAGTCAATATCCAATTTATGAAGAAAATGAAATTTCTATTCTTCAACCAAGTAACAACTTAATCCTTAAAATTGAACCTCCCAATTCAATAACAAGGTAATCCTTGAAGTTTCCATAACCATTAACCAATCTAGTCTTTTCTCACGATTAAAGCGAGGTACGAAAGCAAATTACTAATTTGCTCTTTCTTTTCAGCCAGCATTCAAAATGAAATTTAGTCAACATCAAGAAAATTTTGAAAGTTAAAAATTTACAATCTAAATAAATGTAAAATATGTATTCAGTATTTAAACATGATTTTCTTCCCTAAAATCATTTGGGATCTTGAAATGCAAATATGAAAATCCTCCAACTTCCTACCGTCCAGAAATTAAAAAAAAAATGTTAACTGTCCTTAAAAGAATTAATTAAGTTTTTTTAAAAACTCTCTCAAAATGTATTAAAAATCATGATGAATATGAATTTATAACATTTTCTCATTTAGTTGTTTTTAATCTTTAATCAATATCTAAATACATTTGTTAGCATTCTTATAAAAAAATTAACAAAATGCAGTACATTGAAGGCAGCCGCATTTGTGAGAGACTGATGGAATTATCATAACGCCACGCACAGATCGATCGTTTGAAAGAAATTAGTATCAAATCTATTTTACAAAATGAATTCCTCTTGCAAATGCAATTCTGTGAATTTTAATCATATAGCTACACGGATGATACACAATATGGTTTACTAATAAAGTAACCCTTGGCATGTTGACATGTATGTCGTCCCGTTTGATTCCCTATCGAACAAGAATGATATTACATCACAAAGCATCTGACAAATGGCAAGAATAAATCAATCAGCAACCAAGTTAGACATGCAAATGCCTCTAGTAAATCCAGAAATGTGTCACCGATAAATTACATCAGAGTTCAAAGTAGAAATTGGTTCTCAGCTCTTTGATTTGGAATGTTTTACAAGCCAATCAATAACAGAGTCAATGTTGGTCGAGTTTTTGCACGAGATCATGAAGCAGCAAACTTCTCTGTCGGTAATTGCCTTCAGATCCCTGCACGCCAGAATACACTTTTCAGCACTGAAGTAAAACGAAAGCCAAAGATAGAAAATTGAAGGTGAAAATGTAATTCTTAAACAACTTAATTATGTAATTTTTTAGGGTTACATGTTATTGCTCCAAGACAACCAGAATAAAAGTGATACTTGTCTTACATTTGGTCAGTCAACGCTTGTTTAGACAGAGCCCCTGGCTTGTCAATCTTATTCCCCAACACCAACAAAGGGATACCACTCAAAGATGGTTTGTTCAGTAAATCGTGAAGTTCGCTTCTTGATATGCTAAGGTTATCTGGATCAGCAGCATCAACAACATAACTGCAGAAAATATCAGATTACAGAACTTGCTAAGTTTCATAAATTCAACTAATGACTACCAGCACAATGTGTAAATATAATATGAGAAAAGGCTTTAATACGGACAAATTTGGGCACATGATCCAATTTAAAAAGTGCACTAGATCTAAGAGTCAGAGAATACTCAGCAGTATCACAATTTCAACAGAAACAGCGAAAATTGTTTTGAATTATAACCAAATCTTTTCAGAACTAGGCAGCACCAAAGCATAAAAGATGAAAGTTTTAACTTTTTAACCTGTGATCCGCAGAACTCATCCACTGAAGAATAATCAAGTCTGCGTAAAGTTTCAAGAAGCTATAATTTACTCACTTCCTTGTCATAAAAATTGTTTTAATCATGATGCGCAATATGAATCACAACTCATTGCCCGAGACAGATTGCTTGTAGAAGGCACTGATGAAATCAACTTGTACAGGCAATTTCTACGCTTCTTCAGGGATAGACAAGAATTTTTTTTATAATAAATAAAATATAAACTATGTGTGGGTTCGTGGAAGAAATATAATTACGCAACTATCAGTTAAACTCAAAGAGGACATTATCTGGGGGGTAATGGAACTACTATATAGACAAATAAACAATTATGCAATCTGATTGATAAGAAGTTAAGAACAAAATTAGTGCTTTGGATAGACCTCAAATTGATCACTAGACAAGACTCAAACACGTGGACAACATTGTACACGCATAAGTTGCTTAGCAACACAAGTCATTTTACATTAGGGGACATATATACAATTATGACATAAATTTGTGTATATATGTACGAATGTCATAAAGACAACAATCAAAAGAAACAAAGAGAGTATCATTTATACTGAAGAAAAGAAAATAGAAATCAAGGAACCACAGTTTTCTTGCCCAAGCCCAAGGCTGAATTACTCATGAGTTTTTCTTCCCGTCTCCCATTCTCCTCTCTCCCTCTCTCTCCTTATGACTGAATTCCCCATTTCCAAACCCCATCAAAGGCCTCCAGCATCGGTGTAACTAACTTCCCCCCTTCGCCATGTGTCTCCCATGTCTCTCTCCTAGTATATACTTTTAACTCCTTTCCCATGCATTTAACCTGCTGACCCGGTAACACTTCTTCAACCTTTGAAATTTTAGGCCTAAGAGTCTCATCAGAATGCATCTATTAGAAACACATGAATCCATGCAAATGCACACAGGGAGGAAGAGAAGTAACTTCAAAGTCAGAAGATGATATGAAGGCTGTTACATACACAATAGCAGATACCGCACGACAGTAACGTTCCCACATGCTGCGGAACCTAGGTTGCCCTCCAAGATCCCACAACTTTATTGTAACATTTCCTTTTGTTACTTTTCTCATATTGAATCCCACCTGGAATCAGAAAACAATAAATTGATCAGAATATTATCGAGCTTGATAGATAGAGAAGTCCGTAAAATTGAATAAATAGAGAAGAAAGCAATAATTATAAGCGTCTGGTAAAGTGAACTTACAGTAGGAATCATGTCCTCGCTATACCCACCAGTCTACAAACAGCATAAAAGAAAAACATTGTCAGCAACCACAAAGTATAAATTGATCAATTAAGTTGCTACGAGAAAGTCAACATGATTATTGTACTTACAGCTACTACATTTACAAGGGAAGTCTTTCCAGCATTCTGAAGTCCTATCAGAGATAACTCCATCTCCTGCTTAAAGAAAAGGCTGCAACCAAATTTACTAAACAGTAAGCTCGCGTGTCTTGAAGAAAAGTGTCATAAACATAAACATATTATATACACAATTCAACTTGAAAGAGCAACCTAAAACTAAAAATTTTATGTTATCAACCAGAAAGCAGGCATAGTGCAACCAAATGCCATTCACAGGAGAATAAAGCTGTTTCACACGAAAACAATTTTGACAGCGTTGGACAAAATTGCCAACAAAATCTATACTAACTTATCCAAAAATTGGAGTGCGAAAATTTTACAAGTGAAAAGAAGTCGTTCGAATAAAAATGATTCATGAATCATACCAAAACTGGAAGGATTTACAAATCATGAAGCCATTACTCACAAAATTGAAAAAAATTGCATTGAACACCTTCAAAAATATTGGAAATCAATGCACGAGAACTTTATAATACAAACAAATCCTCTTTCTAAACAATAAAAAAAAATAAAAAATCCCTCACAGCATTACATAGAAAAGAGAAATTTCAAACCACTCCTAGAACTCAAATTAAAAAGAAAAAAAGAACTGATAATAGCACACAAATACCAGAAGCTATTTTAAAATTAAAAATAAAAAGGCGATGAATGAAAGAAATTATCCTTCAAACTTCAAAGGTGCGATCAATGTCGAAACCCAAAAAAAAAAACGAAGAGAAGAAAGCGATAAGCTTACCTGCGTAGCCAATTCAGAAAAGCTTCCCACAATCCCATTGCTATATCTTCTTCTCAATTCTGATAACAAATTATGCACCCAACAAAAAAATTCAGATCTGCGATACGATTCCCCACAGAGAGAAAGAGATCCAATTCACCTTTCTCTCTCACACATACCTCTCTTCTCTCCCTCCCCACTGTTTACCCCACTCATATATCAATTACACAAAAACATCTTTTTCTTTTATATATATATATATTTAGGATTGTGTTGAGATCGAACGGTTTTGGACATTCCATTCTATCAAAACCGTTGACTACGGCGGGTCCCATAATGATGACAAAAGGCTGCGTTGCATGAGATTATAGCTCGCATATGATCTTTATTTAGACCCACCTGTGGTGGATTGCCACGAACGGCTATCGCTGGACCATACCGAAGAGGATTGGGAATGGGTGGAGCTATTCACCCACTCTCCACAATAACGCGTGGGTAACACGAACCACTGTAATCTACAACCCTGTAGTTGTGTGGAAGAGCGTGGCTTTCTAGAGAGTGCAAGTGACTGAAGACACCTCCGACAAAAAAATTATGAATATCTTAAGTTATCATAACCAATCAAAGGCAGCCTGTAAGCAATTAAGCATGCCAAGTGTGAGCTGTTTAATATTTTAATTTTAATATTTTGTATTTTCATTTCGAGAGTGAGGTGTTTTCTGTCTTTATCCTCTTTGTTATTCACTCAGATATTGTTTTCTCGTTATCCTTTTTGAAAATATAATTCTCACACATTTTTACAAGCTTTTAATTTTAATCAATGATATTTTTTAAAAAAAATCACTCTCTTTCTTGTTATGTTGTATATATATATTTTCCTACTTTGGGTGTATCTATTTTTATTTTTTTTTTATTTTTTGTAACTTATTTCTTAAATTTAATTTTGTCTTTACATTAATATGATTTAATATAATGAGATATATATTATTGAATTATTAAATTTTAAAAAATTATAAATTTAAAATTAATTTAATAATTTTTGTACTATGATAAAATGCTCACTAGTTTACAACTTTTTATATAAAAGTCTTTATTCATTGTTTTCGTGATTATTAAACTTCAGCAATGCAAAATAATATATGTATGACCTGTTAACGTCTTTGCCTCGTGTTCTTCCCTTGTGGAATGGCAGAATGACTGAGAACTGCCAAGTTTCAAAGATAGGTAACGTAAAGATTTGTCATTATGTTGTGATTAAAATAAAGTTTCTTTTGAGGAAAATGAAGGTTCAACTTTTGCACGCAACTAGAAATCTAAAGAATGAAGCTGAACAGTTGAAGTTACGATGGGATTATTTCCAAATTATGAATAGAGCTTTGTTTTTTTTCTACTGGTCCGACCATCGATAACATTAAGTAAGTTACTCCTTGTAAAGGAAAAATACTAATAATGCAAAATTTGACTATTATTTTTACGATTTAATTTATTTGAAGCGACGAATTATATTTTAAAAGATAACGTGTGATTATTATCATTAACGATTGAGAATTTAATAATTTTATAATTTATTGTGTATGAGAATTCACTTTATTACAACTTCAATTATTCATTTTCTAAAATGAGTGATTGTAACTGTATTTTATCTTTTTTTAAACTATATATATATATATATATTATAATTTTTACACTAATAAAAATTAGTTAAAATTGCGTTGATTACGTTCTTCCTTTACAAAATTTGCAGACACGAATTAAAGAGAAACAATTGCGAAGACATGAAGTACATCCAGACGATTTAGCTAAACATTGATCCTGAATTCACTTATTTTTAAATTTGGCCCTCCAATTGTCGGTGTTATAGTCAAGGTGAAAGATGGGCTATACGGTTGGTTAAGCTCAAGATCCGGTGCATCGATGAACATGGTTTTTCTTTTTTGGGTCTGAAGTACTTCATTGAACAGAGCTAAGCCCAAAGAAGCCCAAGTAAGGAACAACTGTTGGGCCTGACTATTGCAGTAAAGAAGAATAGGCTCATCTATAGCTATAGGGTTGTGGGTCTATTGGCTTGAAGGACCCTTATTCAAAGCATGAACACTCGTTTTTTGCTTTTTTGGGCAATAATTCAGGCATAACACAAATAATTCATATTATTAGGTCAAGAATAATTTGGTATATCTTAAATTATAATAATAAAATTATAGAAAAATTTAATTTTTAAAAGTGCACCAAAATAACTGTAATTATGATTCACGCTTAAGAGGGGAAGGAAAAAAAAAGTGATGGTGATGGCTGATGCCACTTCTAAAAAAAGTATATATACAAAGGGCATTTTCCCATGTTCATTCTTTGATATATATAGTTCGAAGTTGGAACTTTAAAAGCCCAAGGTAAAAAAAGAGGACCGAAAATAGGGGTAGGAAAAGGTGGGAAATAAAAAAAGCGAAGCTTAAACATAAAAATAAAAGAGATATATAGGTACTGGGATAGAGCATGGATGTAGTAAACACTTAAAAGTGGTCAATTCCTTGCATTAGACGAAGCAACTATTTCGGCTTCTGATTCGTTACCTACATCTCTAACATTACCATTTGTCCTTTCTTCCCCATAACAAAAAATTCCACAAAACCATGCCACAAGCTATTCTTACCTTACCCAGTAAGTCACACTTGCTCACTCAAAAAAGTTGTCGCAATTTTGAGACGCCAAATGTTGTCTTTTTCCCTTTGCTAAAAAATTTAGAAAACCACTCTGCCATGCTCAACTCAACCACTCGCTTCTTGTTTCTTCCTTTGTTCTTGCTCTTCATTTCCATTCCCGTTTTTCAACATCAATGGTCAGCTTCAGGGTCCCCTGTTCGTGGAAGAAGCTTCAAGAGACCTGATCCTTTGCGACATTTCAAAGACTACAATGGAGATTTCGATGTTCGAAACAAGCACTACGTGGCTGTGAGTCCTTTTCAACTTCAAACAAACTTCCCCTTCTCTCTATCTTAAATTTTGCTATATTTATTTTTCTTTAAAACAGATCACGTGTATGATCATCATATATGCAACGTGATATGTCTATTATGGACACAAATAATGTATACATCATCAATAGGTTCTTCAGTTAGACAAATTTGTTAGCTAGTTAGGTAAGTTTATTTCCAAATGACTATAGTGACATAATGTAAGTTTGTAACCAAATAACTGTCTGTGGACGGAACAATTGCTTAAAAGCTTTCTTTCATTGAGAGCTTATTATGATTTCATCCATAATTATATACCTTAATATAATTTTAGGCTGATATAAATGAAAAGGATTTGATGACTTAGGAAAATCACAATTTTGTGGGGCATAGAATATTGAGAATTGAGATTGATTTTGCGTATTGCTTTCTGATCCTTTTCAGTCTGCGGCATTTACAGGAGTCCACGGATATGCATTTGGCGGAGTTTGGTTGCTATGTGGAGTGACCTTGGCCATTTTCATGATAGTGAAGTTTCTATGCGGTGGCTCTGCTACATTACCATTTTTGGACCATTACTATATCCACATTTTCTTCTTACTTCTCTTATTTACCTCTCTCGCCATGTAAGTCTCCAATTTCCAACACACCATTTAACTTTATTGGATAAAACATTAAATTATGTCAATTGGGGTGGTGTGACAGAGTGGCTTCCTGTTTTGTCCTTGCCACGAGCCAAAAGACCATGCGGAGGACAGAAAAACTGAAAGAATCAGTGGTGGGTATAGGAGAAGATGCTCTTGGGACCATAGGTAGAGTCCTAAAAACAACGAACCAAATGCAGTTCCTTTTGCTTCCCTATAATCCACAGATATGTGCGAGTTTGAATTCGACCACTCAAGACCTCAGAAGCAACTCGCGTGTCATTCGCCGTTTTATTGACAGAAGTGGACAATCGTTCGACAAGGCCACTCATACTTCGTATGTATTAGCTTGTTTTCCCTTTATACAACTTCAAGTTTATGCTAATTTTTATAGTAATTTCTTACTTCCTACTTCAATTTCATTTCCTGATTTCACCCCTCTCAAATGTGTCATAGGTATATAGCACATTTGGTTGTTCTAACCGTCAATTTAGTCACACTGGTTGCAGCACTAGGTAAGCACTAATCCAAAAGAATACGATATTAATAATATTGGTTATATTTGCCTAATTTTCTTATGATTTTGTTAATCATTGCACTATAGAAAATGATTAAGAAATAAAAAGTGAACATCTTTTATCAGAAAGTATAACATTTAATGTTACTAATGTATTTTCATTCTAATTTTTATTTATCGATTCCTGAGCGCAAAACTGATTTTCTGAAATATTTGGTTGAGATTAATTCGGTTTAATTGATGGTTTGCTCACTTTGCTGCTTTGGCTTAGTTTTGACGCTGCTGCATTGGCGCCCTGGATTTATAATGTAAGATAGTGTATAATTTCCAAAGTTATTCTTAATTGTAGAGTTAGTAGTTCGATTCTACATTTTATTATGACTACGTTGATTTGCATTTGTTTCAGCATTATTTTTTGCTTTTGGATCTTAACAAGCCTGTGCTGGTTCTTGACTGGTTTTGATTTTTTCCTTCACACGTGAGTAAACGAACTGTTCATGCTTGAGCTATAAATGTGATTTAAGTCATAGAACCGTGTCACAACGTTCTGTGAACGCTGCATGCAGATTTGCAGATGATGCATGCACCGCTTTTGAAGACTTTGTAGAAAACCCCCAGAACAGTAGTCTGGGTTCGATGTTGCCGTGCATTAATGAATCATTCTCTGGAAAATTAATAGCTGAAATTGGCTCCACCATTCACAATTTCATAGTTGAGGTACAAAATTTGACTAACATTTAGTCACTTTGATTTTGAAAGGATATCCACACGAATGGTTTATCTATGTCAATTTAATTCATTATTCCATCTATATTATGTTCTGAATCTAATATAATGGTTTCTTTATGTCTCAGTTGAATTCTAATATGTCAGTGATTTATCGGCTCCTAGGAGTAAGTGAAGTAAATGAAGAATCAATTGGAGTCATAAAAGTTTGTGACCCTTTTTCCGGAGCACCAAACTTCAGCTACATTCCAAAGAGTTGCCCTCAGGATGCCATTCGGATCGGCGATTTATCAAAAGTAAGTCTTCACTGAATCAAAGCAAAGACTGTATTCAATTATTTTGCAACAATCCATACCATAAAAGTTAATTCATATGATTCATAAAACGCATTTGGGTGGTAGATTCTTTCAAGGTTCACATGTCACCAAGAGGGCACAGCAGAAGCATGCAGAAAAGAGGGGAGATTTGTTCCGTTGGCCTCATACAACATGGCTCATGCCTATAGTAGATCCATCCAGGATTTGTTGGACATATATCCAGACTTGCAAAAACTCTCAAAATGCACCATTGTGAAGAACAAAGTTGCTGAAATTGTGTTGCATCAATGTAGGCCAATAAGAGTTTCAACTAGATTGTTATGGTCATCTATGTTGTCTCTCTCCATCATTATGGTAGTCTTGGTATTTGTCTTGGTGGCAGAGGCTTCTCAATGCTGGCGAAAACCCTTTTTTACACGTTTTAGGACTTCCACATCTAGATAGGAAATTTATTTATTTTCCAATTTAAAAGTTAGAAAATCAAAGGTACGTATAGTAAGTAATTTGGAGTGGGGGGTATAGTTCTTTTCCTTTTCTGTGTGTTATTAGTTTTTCCAAATTTCAGCCTAATAGAAGATAGCACTCCATGCAGGTCGTAAGACAAAAATTGGAGAATAATGTAAAGAAACGAAAATAATTTGTTTTAAGTGTGAATATTGCATTTGCAGCTTAATGATTGTATGAGTTATAATGTGTGCAATTGGTTTAAAGTTTTGAAAATGATTCTTATTTCACTCATTTGAAGTTAACAACGCATATTGTCTCCTGTATTGCTATTTACTTCGTTTTATAAAAAAAGATTAATATTTGCGTTATATTACTAGTTTTATTAAATAAACATTATACCTTGTTTTTACCAAACTCTTATGCAGTTATGTTCAATATTTACAGTAGAGGTATCGACTTTTGTTAACGAAAAATTTTATATTTAAGTATTATAAAAAATTGATAATCAATATATTTTGTTCTTTTAAAGGAATTTACTTGAGTAGACTGAGGTTCCTTATGGTGGTTTTTAAACATTTAAAAGTGATAAATTTTATTATAAATAATTATTTAAGAAAAACGTGAAAAATTACTGAAAAATTTAGGTTACTAAATATAAACCATTGAAAACTTAAAAAAATTAATAAAAAATAAAATTTATATCAATGAATGTTTCCAAATCAATTTTATTAAAATTATGAACAACATTTTATTAAATGTAACCAATTAAATGTTGCTAAAAGTTGTATACGTAGTAGTGTAATCCTGTTAATAAATGGTAGAATTATGAAGTTATACTTTAATTTGCTGGCCATTAGTTGATGGAATCATGAATGGGAGAGAGATGGAGGCAGCCATGAGTTAGCTTTGATTCACCACTTGGTAGTTATTCTCTAATATTATCGGATTTTTATTTACTTTTTGGACATTTTAGCTCTCATGACACCATGAATAAAAGAAACACATCACCAAATAAGAAACGGCAGTTGTAAGAATTCAATTGTAATAATTTTGTATAAGAACAAATCAATCATGACAGATAATGCAAGACATTGATATGGTTTTTTCAGCTTCCTATAGTACATTTTTTTATACGATCTTCCCTTAATACTTTAATTCCCTGTTGTACTTCGATTCTATAGCTAGATACAAATAATTATACACGTAGGAAAATATGTTTTTTTCCACAAAATTTGGAGAGTTTAATTCTTGTGGATTTTAAAAGTATTACACTACACAGTAACCCCATATAACAAATATGGGAGATTTTTTTCCCTACCTAATACTTTTACAACATTTCATACAATTAAGTGAGAAATATAAGAAAGAAGAAAAAGCATGAGATAAAATAAGCAATAAATTAACGAAAATACTTTAAATTATAATCATTTAAAAATATTTCTTGCAAAAAAAATCAATTTTATATAAAAATATAAAGATATTATTATTTTATTTTATAATCTTCAATTACTTTAATAGATATTATTATCAAATTTTTACAAATCAATAAATTAATTTAAATTAAGTATTAACTAAGAAATCAATATTTCAATTATCAGCTAACTCATAAGAATCTTTTGCCAAACAAATCTATATTTTATCCGAAAGGAAATTTCCTTTCCATGTTATAGCCTTTTGTCTTATTGAAAAATAAACTATAAAAAATTATCCACAAATATTGAGTCAAGCATAGTAAATGAAAAAGAATAAGAAAAACTAATCAGCAGGCTTTACAATTTAAATGATTAATAACAAACTCCTTAATGGTATCACAGAATAATTAACAAGTCAAATGACCAATACAATTGTATATGGAATGCGCATCTTTGCTGCTCTGTTCCAACTTCCAATCAATATACTAAAGTCATTATGAGACAAACTTACGTTTTTTTATTACCATAATGAGACAATATTAAAATAGTATATGTACAACGATTTTATGGTAATGAACTAGGAGTCACCTAGAACACATTATAACACTTCGTGAGCCATTTGTGTATAAATTCCCAAATATCATAATCACTATGATTTAATTTACTGTCACCTCCAATAAAGAAAATCCTTTAGTAGGTCGCTTCATTCACCTGCTTATTTTATTTTTTAAATCTAGTTTCGTATAGCTTCGCGAGACTTTACTTTGTTCTAAATCTAAGCAAGCTCATAACAGAATGATAAACTTTTTTTTTTAAATTTTTGCAACAACAAACTAATAGTTATCAATTTTTTAGTGCTATTTTCACATTCCAAGGCCACCATTTTTTTCAACCCCGAACCTGTTTTTTATCTGATTTTATCGATGGACTAAGAATAATAAATCTAGCCACTTAAGAGGGAAAGAAAATGGTCACTTATAGGAGGGAAAAGTTAAAAAAAGTCGTGTAAGATGATCAATCATTATCATAGTTTGATAATTAAATAAAGTGTATTTAAATGCTGAGATGTGGCTAACTGTAGAGATCTTATTGGGCATGCAACAGTAAAAATCTAGCGTTGTGAACAGACCATAGGATAGTAGTGGTTCCGTATCTGAGACAAGTAACTAAACAAGAAAAAGAAAGAAAAGTGTGAAAAGGGCAGAGCAAACAGAACAAACAAGTTAAAGGATTGAACGCTGAATGCAAACATTTATGGTAAAAGAGAAGTTCTAGAACACTCCCTGGGGTCGCTACCAAAAACTACAGTAAAAACAGCTTTGGTTGCAAATCAATGTCATCAACCTCAGACTCAGATCCAAACTGCATATCAAGTTAACTACCCTTACCCAACATCGTTTTTTTCATTTCTCTCTCTCTCTCTTTCTCTCTCTGACCTCGTATTTGGACTCAGCTTAGTTCCGTGGTTGCGTTGTGGCAGCGTGTTTGTGACCTTGAAAAACCGCATGTCGGGGAGTTCTGTTCATTCCATAGTTCGGGTGGTACCAGGTGAGAGATTGAGACACTTCACTCTTATCACACTTCGCTTTTATTATGCAGTATGCAGCTGTTAGGTTATTATTCTTCGTAGAGTCTGCATATGAATTCATCCTTATCCACCTTCAGGTTTTGTTTGTATATAGGTTTGAACTTTGTTTAGTGGATCTGACACATGGGGGTTCAATTCTGAAGATTTAATATGAATCATTGATGGTGGTTATAAATATTTAGATACGAAGTAGATTAAAGATAGCGCTTTCAAGTTTGAATTACTTCTAACAAACCTGGAAGAGAGGGTGATTTATTATAGCCAATTGGGCATTGAAAATGGTTTCACTTTAATTTTGTGATTACAGTGTGTAAGATTCGGGAAACTGAGAAGGGGATAGGCACAATTAGGCGATGGTTCGGTGACATAATTCGCAGTTGCTTCTTTAAACTGATTTTTGTCACAATAATTTATCAAATTCTCTACCCTGTAGGCTAGAATTTTGTGACTTCTATTTGGTCACGTTATCAGGTTTCCATAGGTTGCATTTTGATAATTGCAGCATTATCTTGAAGATAAAAAGGAAGAGAAAATGAGGATGAGGAACAAATACAGGAAACCAACCACTTTACCTTGCAATGCAGGGAGCAGATGTTCAACGTCTGTCGTGGTATTGAGCTTGTTTGGATGCCTATTTTTGCTTCATTTATATACCTATATTAGTCACAGTGACAAAGATGGTGGAGAGTCTCAATTGCGTGTTAGTCATCATCCCCATTTCCATGAACTTCAAGAAGTGGAAGAGGAGAACATTCAAATTCCCCCGCCAAAGGGAAAGAGGTCCCCCCGAGCAGCAAAACGCAGACCTAAACGGACAACCACACTGATTGATGAATTCTTGGATGAAAACTCCCAACTGAGACATGTGTTTTTTCCTGGTCATAAAAGAGCTATGGATCCGATGCAGGCTGCTGTGAATGAAAGTTACTATTACTACCCTGGGAGAATTTGGTTGGATACTGATGGAAATCCTATTCAAGCTCATGGAGGAGGCATTCTGTATGATAAAAACTCAAGAACATACTATTGGTATGGTGAATATAAAGATGGGCCCACGTACCATGTTCACAAAAAAGGACCTGCTCGGGTAATTCATTTTATTCGAGAGAACTCTTGTATTTTTTGTAAGTTAATAATTGCCCTTGTCCTTATGGCTATAGGGTTTTCTGTAGCTAATTTTTCACTACTATAAACATTTAATGGTTGTTGAAATGGCTAGCATCTTTTTATATAAATGCAACATTTACTTGGTTGCATCTTTTACTTATTTTGAAAAAGAAAAACAGTTAGAAGACTACCTGGTTCATAAGAATGCATGCTTGGTTCTCATATCTGCATTGATCCTTCTTTGCCTCAGGTAGCTTATTTAGAGATCCATTTAATGTGTTAAATTATTGTTTAAGATACTGTGTGCTTTGTACCTATTAAGCAATTTCTGCATCTTTAGGTTCTTAACATTCTTAATATCATCATGAAGAACTGATGTCTTTGACAGAGAAATGATATATGTTTCAAAGGTTTCATTTTATTCTTAATATGATAAAATTGGGATGAAATTTCCATATTCTTGTTAATCTATGAAAAAGGGATATATAATTGACTTTCCATTTTGACAGATGGAGATACTAAAAAATGCAAGTGTTTTTCAATTTATTAAATGCAGATATATTTAAAAATTTTAGAAAAAGGCCATATTACCTAATATAAAGCTAACTGATTTGGATTCCTTACGATGCATTCTACAGAATAAAGTGTGAATATAGAATTATTGGTTGTACCTTTCCTAGAAAACGATATCATTGCCTTCTTCACCCTTCCAAGGTTCAGAAATTGCAGAAATCCACTGAATGTAAGTTCTTGTTAATGAGCAAGAAGTTTTCATTTCCAAGAGACCTAAGCTTTTCTGCAATTTGGTAATCCTAGAAAAATGTTTCACCTAAATTGTCATATTTCTTCAAGTTATTACGAGTTAGAGAAATTTATGTGGTTCCTATATCCAGAAACAAATAAAGGAAATGATTGTGGCTTTTTACCTTCACACGGTGTTCCCTTATTCTATCCAGTCTATAAGACTTTAATTGATGTCAAGAGTCAGGAACACACATCTGGTTAACTAGCAAGCTCACATCGCAAGTGGAGTGGTTGAGGAAAAGATTTTGTATGTGTATCCAAATAACTTGAGGCAACCTTATCTTCATTGTTCGGCTTTCTATCAGCATGAACAAGATTGTATCACTAATGAGTGTGCGTGTAGAATCTTTTTTATTCCCATGTAGATACTGAGATGAATGATATCCTTAGCACCAATGGGTGTTCTGTTTTTATCTGTGCTTTTCCTTTTTCTCCCACAACCTTATGAAAGGTAAACTTGTGGTTAGAGTAGTGGTTTTGTACCATCTTGAGTCTATCTTCTTGTCATAATCTCATCTTCCAGTAGCTACCAAAGGAATTTATTTTTTAATTTTTATTTTTCAACCAACTTTGCATATTACTTAGATGCATAACCTTGTCTTCAAACTCTTAAGTCATTCTCTCTTTTCCACCAGGTGGACATTATTGGAGTTGGTTGCTATTCTTCCAAGGATTTGTGGACCTGGAAACATGAGGGAGTTGTATTGGCAGCAGAGGAAACAAATGAAACCCATGATCTGCACACATCTAATGTGCTTGAAAGGCCAAAAGTAATTTACAATGAGAAGACTGGAAAGTATGTGATGTGGATGCACATTGATGATGCCAACTATACCAAAGCAGCCGTTGGCGTAGCAGTCAGTGATAACCCTGATGGGCCATTTGATTATCTTGGTAGCCAAAGACCCCATGGATATGAAAGCAGGGACATGACAGTTTTCAAAGACGACGATGGGGCGGCATATCTAATATACTCCTCTGAAGACAATAGTGAACTGCACATTGGATCCCTCACCGACGATTATCTCAATGTGACATCGGTCATGAGAAGGATTCTTGTGGGACAGCACAGAGAAGCACCAGCTTTATTCAAGCATCAGCACACATACTACATGATCACATCAGGCTGCACAGGATGGGCCCCAAATGAGGCATTGGTTCATGCGGCCGAGTCAATCTTGGGGCCTTGGGAAACAATTGGAAATCCATGCATTGGAGGAAACAAAATGTTTCGGCTTACAACTTTCTTTGCTCAGAGTACTTTTGTGCTTCCTCTACCTGGGTTCCCAGGTTCATATATTTTCATGGCAGATAGGTGGAATCCAGCTGATTTAAGGGACTCACGATATGTATGGTTGCCTTTGATAGTGGCAGGACCTGTTGATCAGCCTCTAGAGTACAATTTTGAATTCCCTTTGTGGTCTAGAGTGTCTATCTATTGGCACAAAAGATGGAGACTACCTCAGGGTTGGAACGGGTATATATAGGTTCTCTTTGTACATTCTTATATACAATGATTCAGTATACGGTATATATCTTACCTTGTTGCATGTCAAACACTTATTGGAAAAGCTCACTGCTTGAGGAATTGGATATCATAGAAACACAAAAGTCTCAATAATAAGCAGTGCACTTGGCACGTCATTTTAATGTAGGGTAAGTTGAGATTGATTTGAGGGAACATATGTATATCGGTGAAGATTATCCACTTGATTGAAATTTTGTTAAAATTCCAGCATTGTTGATCAGTTCTGCCACGGTATCGTGTAATTAGTTATTATGTAAATGATTCTTTCATACGTGTACTTTATTGCTTTATGTTGATTTTTTGTTTTTATTTTATTTTATTTTATTTTTTTGGTAGATTCTTTGGTTTTTCTTTAACGGGTACAAGCCCTGGGCTTGTGGCTATCATGTGGCATGTTACTAATAATACGTGCAATAAAAAAGGCATGTTGGGCCCAATTTCGTAGCCCATGTGGTGTGATCCGAGTCGCGTGCCCTGACATATTCACTCAAATATGGTGTGGGCTCACAAATTGCCTAAAGCCACCAGAGCATGCCAAAGTTGACTGAAAAATAAGAAAGATATTAGGAGACTGTACCATACATTCATCTGTTTAATTTTAATTGCAAGTTTTCAACTTGAAAGTTTGGACCTCATTTTCTTATTCTTTCTTTGTTTTCTTTTCCTATTATTTAATCAGAAAAATATATTTCTTCCATTATTGTCTGAAAGAATTTTTTTCCTTTTCCTTTTCTAAAAACTGATTAATTCAGACAGAGAGACCAAGATCCCTGATGTACTATGGGTTTGAAATTAATACACTGGAGTTAACTTTCTACATGGACTTGGTCCCATAAAAACATAAAGACATCAGCTTGTCGTTGTCATTGCTATAGAAAAGGATACTAAAGCTTAAACCTGCAGAAGAAGGTATGGGCCAGCATCAAACTCCCTTTAAAAAAACACCAAAAGAAAGCAGCTATAAATGTTTTTAAATCAGAGGGGGAAAAGATGCAAAAGAGTGGAGAGTGGATATGTTAACGTGGAGGGGGCAAGTCTCATCAGAAGTTCAAGATATGCAACCCTAAAAAGATGAACCCACTATTCATATTATTTCCTTTTCATTGTTTATGTACTTACCAATTTATTGGCTTTCATGGGAAAAAGGAGCCTCTTATGAGCCCCCCTTATCTTACCCCCCATGAAAGAGCTCAGGGGTTTGTGGGGGCCATACAGAGGGTAAAGCGAAAACATGTGTCATATACAAAGATGATATAGTTTAGGCTCAAGAAAGAGAGAGAAGATTGGAGAAAATAAAAAAGAAGAAGACCATTTCAAACACAGCGTGCTGGCCACTATAACCCACTAATGACTATACACCTTTTAATGATATTCCACAAGCAATAACCCAACTTGTTGGCCGTCCTAAGATTCTATTGCCCATAAACTAGATAACGACCTCTTTTGATGCAGTTTACTTATTGATTATGCTCCCAATATTATTATTTAAACTCCTAATATCCTTAAAGCTGATATCATCTCCATACGCCACCAAAATACCAAACCCTACTTCTTGTGGCCCTATTTGTGACTACGGATTAAATTGTTTTGGTAGGGCCCGTAATGCTAACTACTTTTTTTATCTTAAATATATTGTGAAATATACAAGATTATCAGAGCATTGCCCTTCTTAATTATGTTTTGTCCTGATGCTTAGTTAAGCGCATAGTCAAATCTGGACCAGAACCAAAAACTTTATGATAATATACACATGTATATATCAACGGTCATGTTCCAGTCTACCACCTACATATGAATATAGTCAATAATCAAGATGCTAGAACCTACAAATTTGGATTGTGACAATTAGTTATTGTAGCCTAATAAATTAAAAAACTGTTTTCAAAACCTAAATAAAATAACATATACTTAGGAGAATATAGAATTTCACAATCATTGCAATTCATTATTATTTTTTCTGAGTTATTGAAAAGGTCGCACAATGATTATTTTAGCCAGAATGGTCCCAAGATTTTATGAGATAAACGAAAAAGCATTATATTATGATCACTCGCTAAATGTATTCTTTTTTCAATTCTATCCTCAGTATTAATGAATGAGAGAAAATATTAGCAGATGGAGTGATTATAGCATTTTAAAAAATTTGTTAAAAAAAATTAATAACTCAATAAAGCTAGGATAACCCATTCAAATGTATTTTTTTTATATATATACAACTAAAACAAATTTTAATTTTTTTTATTGCATAAATATCATTGATTTATCCCCATTCATAACACTGAACAATTGAAATCAAAGTCATTTCAATTAATTCATACACATATAAATCGAAAACCATAACCTATATGTACTATATACTTCATAAACTAAAATAAAAACGAACTAAAGAAAAAAAAACTTAATAATTCAAATCAATTTACTTCATGATTCCTTTTCCAATAATTAATACAGGCAAACCCGATCGTTCCTCCTACCACCCTCATAACCTCCAATTAATCCCATTAATTGTCTTACTTACGAACTCGACACAAGAAGAGAAAAAAGCCATTAATTACTGTAAAAAAAAAGTGGAACCAAGGGGGCACGTGCTAAAAGAACAGAGAACACGTGCGAGTCACTCACTCGACTCACGTCAAGTCATTCTCCTCTACACTACGTCAAGGGCCTCCATGCACTGGCCCACACCACCGGCTGGTCCTTCCACGACAAGAATATTCCGGCGTCGGGGCACTGTGTCATTGACCAACCCTCCTTATTATATCTCCTCAACAACGCCCTCACATCATCACAAACCTCCTCACTAAACGCCACCGTATTGAACCCTCCACCATGCATACGCCGCGACCACCGCGCCGCCGTCTCCCTCCGCTCCACTGATTCCACCGGCGCACACGCCACTAAGTCAACCACCGCTCTCCCCGCCGCTCTCTCAAGCATCAAACGCTCGCTGCTCGTCCTCGGAAAACTTTCATCCAACGCTTCAAAATAAACCCTAAACCACCTCAAGCATTCTTGGAAGCCTTTCACGAACTCAAACCCCTCCAAACCCACATTCAAATCAGCTTCCTCTTCCACCACCGTCACGATCCTCGGTTGCAACCTTCTCAACGAGGATATCAACACATCACGGTGGTTTCCAACTGCCGTGATCGAATGCAAGGCGTTGACACAGTTAATAGCCAAAGCCTCGTCTTCTTGGATGTTTAACTCGTTGAAATCCAAGTCAGAGAGTTGACCAACATGATGAACGACGTTGAATTTAAAGGGCACGACCATGAGCCTCGCGAATTTCTCCATTCTAGTGCCGATTTCCTTCATGATTTTCTGTACGGCGGCGAGGGAGCCGCCGGGTTGGGTGGTGACGACGGAGGTTAAACGGAGGTGTGGAGTGTCGTCGTTTCGAGTGGCCAAGGCTTCGAAGAGAGTGGGCCATTGGGTGCAATAGGTGTTGCTGATGTCAACTATGTGTAACTTTGGCTCGCCTTCCAAGGCTTCCAAGATGGCACCATTGGAAGCCACGTGACCGAAGGTTGTCCAGGGACTCACCTCTTGAAACTTCAACATCGTCTTTCTCGTTGATTCGAAGGAGCATGTTTTCTCCGAAGTGGAGTTCAAGGTTCTGTAGGTTCGGTCCCCAGCTTCGGTGATGCGGCTGAAGAAGGCTTGGAGGAAGTAGGAAGCGAGTTTCTCATCGGTGTCACCATAAGGGGAACCAAGCTCGTTTAGCATCCACATGAGTTGTTGGATGCGAGTGGTGTTCTTGTTGGCAATGGCTCGCGCGGTTTCTAGGAGGATGTCGTGGGCCCACTTGCCGGAGAATTCGAAGTTGAAGTTGAAGTCAGTGGTGGTGGGGGTGGGTGTGGGGGTGTTAGTTGTTGTTGTTGTTGTAGTGGGTGTGGTAGTGGTGGTGGAAGGGTGGTGGGGTTGATAAGGATAGTAGTGTTTGGAAGAAGACGAGGATAAGTCTTCTTCATCCATGAAAAAGTTGAAGCATTCTTCGTCTTCTTGTGGGTAGTGATAGTTTTGTCTTGAGGATCGAGAGCTGCTACTGGTGGTGGAGTTGAGGGATTGATCGGGTTGGTGTTGAAAACTCACTACCCTAAACAACGTATCCATTTAAGGTTAAACCCACGTCAATATACTTTGACTATCATGGAGGCTATATGGTATGGTCGCGTCCCACCCCAAGCAAAGCAAAGCCTAGCAAATGGACGTAACGTGTTTTTAACGGTGGCAATTGGGCTCTCTGGTAGAATGGATCAATTTATTGGAGTCTAGTGTAGTTACCTTCCTACAAAATTAATGTATATATATTTGTTAATTTTTCATTTTAATGGAGAAGTGTAGTGGTTCGATTAAATTGTGCTATACACTCCTTTTTGTGCAATCGATGTGTGGGGAAGCGAAGTGGGGTTGGGTTTCTTTTCTAGGTTATTCTTTTATTGGGGGTGTGCCTTCTTTATTCAAAATATTAAAAAGAAAATGTATGGCTATGGAGAGAGGGGATTGACTGAGAAGTATGAAAGACTTGGTAGGGGTTGTGGCCTAGCTCATGCTTAGAATAGAATTGTGTCTGACAAAAGGTAAAAAATAACAAAGTGTGAGCAAAAGGTAGCAAGAAGAGATCCTTTTCATTGTTTGAGAGAGAGTACTTGATGAGTGGGAGCAGGCGTGCCAAATTGCCAAATGGATAGAGAGAGAGTAAAGCTGCCGGCGTGATGATCTTTGATCAAACCCACTATCATCTCTCATCAACACAACCCACTCACGTTGCTTGCCTCCTAATCCCTCTCCAAACCCTGCCAAAACTCCCACCAACTTTTTCCTTTTCCATACTATTTACATAATCCAACACATCATTATGTCATAATACCAAAATGCACACCTTCTCAAACTCCTAGGGCATGCCTTCTTACTTTATCTCCCCTCCTGTTTTATTCCTTATAAGCACGCACTAATCACAACCAAAACTCTTCCTAACTTTCCTTCGTCTAAATCACTCTACAACCCCCTAATCCCTGTTAGATTAAAATTAAATCAATAAATTGAGCGGAGTCGATCTTGTTTGGAAAGGAGCAGGCTTCTTTAGTTTATTTTTCTTTATCAATCATTTGGGGGAAAAAATCACTTTAGAGCTCTTAGATTCCCCTGTTCTATTGTGTGCTTTCAAAGTTGTAGGTTTTCCCCCCATCTATTTCATTAATCCCAGACAGGATGAGACCCTCATACTGAAATCCATGGATACAAATGGGAAAGGGGGTTTCATGAGCTTTTCCCTTTTTTTCTTTCTTGTTTCCCCTGATTGAGGTGGTGGAGTGGTTTTGGGGAGGGGGTGAAACTTGAAAGTGATCCATCTTTTGCTTTCATCCTCAAATAAGAGAATGAAGAGCGACTATTTTTAATAGAATTTCTATAGATAGAATATTTATTTAACACAACTACATTTATTAAAATTAAAATTTAAAATTACAAGTTAAGCTCAATTTGCTTCCATCACCAAAACTAGATATTGAATTTAACTACAACAATTAGATGTTCAACATCCTCCCAACAAACTAAAAAAAATAGAGCAAATAAAACAAAGACATGTACGTGTATATTGGTGGCTTTTCTTCTGTTCTTTTTCCTTCCTTGAAGTGAGCCCCATATCCATTTTGTTTATATTAAAAGCTATTACACATGTAAGAAAGGATATAGTTGGTATGTCACTGCCTCCAATTATATTACTATATAATTTTCGTTTGGACTGTAGCACAGATAAAAAAAATGTTACACATTTATTAGTGTACGTCATTTTCATAAATAATATTTTACTGCTTTCATTTATAATTAAAGGAAAAATAAATTTCATAAAATAGAATAAATGAGTCAAAAAAACAAACCAGAAACTACTATTTATAAAGGAAAATAAATTATTGGACCATGTTGTTCCAATAATTTCTCAAGAACAAAATTGATTTTATTTTACTCTTTAAGTAGCAGTTGTTTTCTGATGAACTTTATGGTGTGTTGATGTTGCCCTCTTTTTGCATGAGCCTAACACATGCGGCACACTCTTTACCACAATTGTCAAATCTCAATTTATAAAAAAAAATTATGAAATGTGACAATTACCGTTCAAGGAACCCGTGCAACACACGGGCATTGTCCAAAATTTTTTATAATTCGTTTCCATTTATTTCATTGGCCATGGACATAATTTTGGACCCATCTTCCATTTCATAAATACACATCTTAATATTGAAAAAAATGGGCACCACGGAACTTTAGAAAGCATATATTAATTATTCAACCGTCAACTATTAAAAAATGGGCATCTCTATTTCTGTTTTTAAATACATTTATTAAAATTTCAAAACAAGTGTTAACATAGTACTTATACCAAAAAGAAAACTCCTAAAATACGAATAGAAACCACAAATTTCTACCTCTGTCATTGCTGCATTGTAAATTTGAAAAGGAAAAACATCTTCATCATTCCTCAGTCAGTAATAATGCAACAACACATGAACAGTACCGAAAACAGCCAAATTAGGACCAAAGTATTTTTGTCAAGAGACAGACGCTTACAGACTTTTCATTCTCACATCATATAAATATTCACAACTATTATTTAGATATCATTATAATTTTATATAAAATTTTCATATATATGTGATTTGTATGTTTATTCATATGATTTATATGTTAATATGTTTTCATATAAATACTCAAACTATTGTGAATAAATGTGAATTCTTCGGTATAAAAAGTAAAGAATAATATTAAAACAAATTAACAATTTTAAGTTATTTATTAAATGCATGAATAAATTTTTCTTCTACGTTTTACATATATATTTCTAAAAACAGCCCTTTATTTTTAGCAAGACAAAGAACATTTTGTTTAATAAATCTGTAGTTAAAATATGAATGTTATTTTTAATAAGAGGAATACTAGTAATAAAATATTTCTCTTTTATATGAATATATATATAGACGTAGGCGCACAATACTTTTTACACTTTTTCTAATTTATTGTAGAATATTAAGTATATACCTCATCACTATTCAAATTTGGTTTTGGTACAAGGTCTAGAAAGGGATAAAGCCATAGCCACATACCGTTTTATCAAAACAGATGCTGTTATTCATAATAAATAAAGAAAATATAAAAAAAGTTATACAATATTTCTTAGAATAACCATAAACAACTAAAATGTCTTGACTATCCAATTGATGCATAAAAATGGACATTCAATAGGGATTTGGAATTATAATTATGATGTTCAAAATTCCTTTACTAATGTTATTATATAAATGTAATTAAATGATATTGTTGATAAAACACATAAAAATTAAATTAATGTCAAAATATTTTTTTTTATCAAAACTTACAAAAGTAAAATTAAGAAATATTAATAAGTAAAAATAGAAGTTTCAGATATTTTTACTGCTATATTTTTTTCTTTAAAATTAATATAGGCAATACAGCATGCATTTTTTAATTTATACAAAAAACTTAATGCATTCTAACTACTCTTTAAAAATATATATAAAAAGACATAAAGATAATAAATAAATAAATTCAAGAAAGGAATAAAATAATAATAATTACTCAAATAAAATTTGTAATATAAGAATATTATATGACGAGTTAAAGTAGAAGAATACACACACGCATAAGTTAGTGTTCAATTTAACATTATAGAGTATTCCATACAATATCTATAAAGTTGCATTAGATCAATATCTTTTACATCAGCCATACAAAATATTGGACCAGCAATTCAAAAATAAAATTATAACTACGAAATTTTTTCACAATATCTAATATTTATGGATAGGGCAAACTACCTATTATGAAAATTGTTGATGTAATTTGTGCATGACTAATTTATAGGCGTTCAAAAATAAACTAAAATGCATTTAAATTGTTAAACTAATATAAAATAATTGAAAAATAATTAATTAAAAAATTTATTTTTTGTATCATAATTTGTTTTAATTTTTTATTCTTATAATTAAAATTCAACCAAATTGAATTTCATCTATAAAATATTTATATATTTTATACAAATTTCTTTTATAATTTTATTATTATACTGTGCAGATATATAACGCACCATTTCTATAAACTATAAACTCTTCTTTTAATTAATTATTTTTCATCAGCAAAACTACATTTTTTTTAATTTAAAGTCTCTTTTTTTCAACAAATTCTTTTTTTATCTACTCTTTGGTTTAAATAAATAAAACATATAAAAGTATAAATTTAAATAATCTAAATCAAACCGTAAAATATCAGTTTAATTTAATTCAATTTTAATATTATATTTAAATTGATTTAAGTGTTGCTATTCCAAAAAGGATGTTGAATCTATACACGTAAGGTTGAAAAGAAAGTTGTCTCAGAAATACAGCATTCCACAATATTCCTAAATCCTTAAATGATTAACACATGGAAAGAAATTTATTAGAAGGCATTAATAGTAGTTCAACTTCTAAATGACAGTTTGCACCCCCCCCCTCCCCCCCTCCCCAATGTCCTTCAATAACAGCGGTTGTTAACTAAATTAGTATCACTTTGTTAAACTTAAGATCCAAAAGTATCTATGAAGGCACTTTAATGCTTAAATTTTTTTTTATTAGCAAAATAACAATAAAAAATAAATTATATATCTCTGTAGTGATATTTTGATGATTACATAAAACTTCGTCTAAGATATCAGTAGTAAGATCACATGATACGTATCATCATCATATATAGCAAAGTTAATGAGTGAGTTATACCATATATAGCAAAATAAGTTAGTTGTAATATTTTAGAAAAACCCAATAAGACCAGCCTACCATTGCTTTAAAGTGTGTGTGTGAAGTGAGAAAGTAAAAATTTATTCACTGGATTTAATTACAAACATTTTATAAACTCAATTCACTTTTAATTTAAGAAAAATACACATTTGTTTTTCACGTTAGAGCCACAAAATATTAACGTGTGATGTATAGTGAAAATCTCGACTGAATCCAACATGGAACTTAATCTCCTCACCCCACACTTTCCATCATTTAACATTTTAGATGTAGTCTGATGTTCTGTACTGAGTTGTACAACCCCTGTATACAATGCCAAATGTAACTATGAGTCAATGACAAAAGTCGATGATAAACTAGCAAGGGTGCCCTTGGGAATGACAACGTTGGCAGAATTTGATATTCACGCCAGACAACTGATTACTGAGAAGGAATAAAACAAATTCCCTCCAATCAAAAGTCGATCGGATTGATAATTGATATCGTCCCCAGAAAGTGAGGAACAGGGCGGTTAAAAGATGTACACACGGGAAAACTCAAATCTCTGCAGTGGAATAGAGTTGTAAAATTTCTTAGAATTTTATGATACCCGTACAAAATTCAGCATTTCAACATATTTTCCACCATATTTTTTCATTTCTGTCATATTTCATTTTCTATCACATGTTCCACTCTTTTCTCTTCTTTTATTACTCCTCTAGTTAACCAATATATACACCAAGTGCATGAATATCATAATTTAATTTCTAATGCTATCTGGAAAGCCCATCCACCTATCAAATCCATAAGCAAATTAAGAACTTCTGATAATGCAGCAATGGAACATGAGGGCAACCTGTGGGAGAGAGGGAATGCACACTCGAGACAAAATGATTCTATTCTCACCCAATGAACTGTATTGTACAAATTCTGAATAGCGTGCAAAAATTTTTTTCTCACTATTCTGTCAATTTTCCCAATGCAATGATAATTGCTACAAGAAAAGTTACATTTTTTTTACAAATTGTACGAAATTGGAAGTGTTACCATGCAGAAAAATCTTTAAATTCACCGCTGACAACTCCCACTTTTCTTTTCTTTCCTACAACGGCTGTACTGGTGTCAACAGTAGCAGATGTAGCTTGTGTATTCCTAGCTTTCAAGTACTTGCCTACACCACTACCAACCCCCGTACCTCCAGATTCAGATGTTCCAGCGCCAGGATTGGTATACCATGAGCCAACCTTTTCCTGAAATATAAGCCCAAAAAAGTCCACAGGATTAGATAACAAAAACCTTACAAAAGTGAGAAAATAATCAGCAAGAGACATCTCAAATAGTTGGAACAAACATTATCTTCATCCGCTGCATTCTTATCTTTGGCATTAGCCTGCTCTTCTTCTTCATCTGGTTCTAAGTAAGGATTGACAAAAACTGTGACACTGGTTATCTTGATCTCCTCCTGCAAAGATAAACAAAATATATAAAACATTATTCATTGTACAAAGTGGTCAGTATGGCTTGCTTGATACTGGTTAATGGATCATTTAGAAGACATCAGCAAGCATTGTTAATTATTATATCAACTCTTCAAACCAGTGAAACCTTGCCATCATTAACCAACAAGCTTGAGGCACACAGACACCAAAAAGTACTATACTGTACTCGAGTTAGTCTAAACAACAATGTGTACAAATGAAAGTGCAAATTATCATAATCTCAAGTGTTATAGAATGATGTGTAGTAGTAGTGCCCACAGTGAAAATTTAATGCACGAAACCCAAAGTTCAAACTAGCTAGACAGATGCAAAAGGTAAAGAATATATTTATGCAAACGATAACAAAATATGTACAACAGCAGAAGAATCTACTTTTTCTAAAGCAGATCCATATTTTGTGATAATATGTTTGTAATTGCACAAGTGGAAATTCAATGCATTTGAGAATAACAAAACCGAAAAAAGGGAGACAATCTATTGCATCAACAGTGAAAAGAAAACATGACTCACCAGAGGTCGGTCATTATCATCAACAGGAACCTTTTCCATTGCTGCCAGTGTAGTCAAGCCACCGACAACTACTCCAAAAACTGTGTGTTTGAAGTTTAAATGAGTTGCAGACTTGTATAAGATGAAAAATTGGGAACCATTAGTGTGTGGGCCACTGTTTGCCATGCTGACTACACCCCTTCCAGAGTGAATTAATTTAGAGTTAAGTTCATCCTTGAAAGGCTTTCCCCATATTGATTCACCTCCTCGACCAGTACCAGTAGGATCACCACCCTGTATCATAAAATTCCTGCATAAAATGGACTATAAGACTTCATAAATGAGTGTTGATTTACTCCAGGGAGAAAAATGTAAAGTTTTGTCATTATACCTGATGTTTCTATGAAAAGCAACTCCATTATAATAACCACGTTCACAAAGGGTGATGAAGTTCTCACATGTCCTGGGTGTTATATCACAATGTAGCTCAATGTTTAAATCACCGTGTGTTGTATGCAGTTGTACATATCCCTTCTTTTTTGGATTCTTCTCAACTTTCACATATTCAAATTCATTTTTTGTAACTGGATCATATGATGTTGAAGTGAAAGACCGGGAAGCAGCACCAGTTGTGAAACGACTTTTTACCTGAAATAGGCAATTTCATTAGTAAGTTGATAATACATAGAATATTGATTACTTCCCCCTCTTCCATAAGAAATGTAATATAAAATCTTTCATGTGTCTTTGCCTAATAGCTTAAGCTTTTGGGTGAAGACACGTGAAACTTCATTAAAAGTTGATAATACATAGAATAGGGATCACTGTCATCTCTTTTGTTAGAGATGTAAGGTTTGCATTGGTGAAAAATGGTTTACTTCTAGGAAACTCACCATCTTTGCATTCACTGGCGCTCTGTCACCAGCCATATGCATAGCTATTCTAGCTGCAGTTTTATCACCTGATGAGGCTTTAGCAGCAGCTGCACTTCTGCCATGTACTGAAGCAGATGCAGCATCCACAATACTAAATATCTGAAGAGCTTTGGCCTCTTCATTTGAATTTGATTTGGAATCTTCTTTAACCTGTGACCTAGCAGCTAAGATGGCAGCAAGTGCAGCAGCCCTTTCTTTCTGTGCCTTGCCACCACCTCCACCATGCAGTGCAGTTTCCTTTCCTTTCTCAGTTCCAAGCTCTTGAAGCATTTGCTTGATATCACCGGACATATTTATGTTATAGGTTGGATCTGAACTCATTTTCTGCAGTTCTGAGAGGGAAAAACTGAATGTGTCATAGCTAATACTAATAACAACAACAAAAGCTGCAACATCAAGACCAATGAGAGATTTATGGTTGGCAAAAGATGAAGGAGCTGCAGGCTGTATAGCATACCTTCATCATCAACTTTAAAACTATTTTTAACATGATCAAAATCCAGAAGAACCTTGCTGTCAAGCGCATTAGGATTCTGCAAAGGGTACACAAACACCAACATTTGATGATAAGCCAATGAAAGATAAAGAAATAGAGAAAATGTTCTCATTCAAATCCAACTTACCTGAATTGTTATAAGGTCATCCTTAGTGAATGGCTCATCAGTGAGGAGTTCCTTCCAGTTTTTCGTCTTAATGTTTAACTCTTTAACGGCCTATTTCATATAACTTACGTAAATATAATACTCCAGTCTACACAAATAAATTGCCGTTATTAACTCCTGAAAAAACAGACCTCATAGCAGAACACATTTCCTGTGGTCTTCACTGCCACAATATGTGTAAATTCAGTGAAAACTTTGTTTAGCACTGGACAATGATATTCTCCTGCAGAATGACAAATGAAGGTTAGTCAAACAAAACGGCCAGCAGAAAGATGATATAACAGACACAATCATGAAAACCATAAATGCTGACCCCATCCCCATCCATTCCCCAAAGGACAGAAACAAACCGTGTGTAACACTGACATGAAAAAACATTGCCACGAAAAATGACACAGCTCCACAGGAAGAATATCAATATATGTTCAGAATATAAATAAGTGCACTTGGCCCAAGTTGACCAGCCTCAAAATCTTGGTCAGTCTAATTAGCAAAATTCTTCATTTACAAAATGATATAAATGTAAAATACATATTCAAGCAAAATAAAAAATAGTGGAAAAAGTTTAGTTTGGTCCTTCCAAAGATAGTAGAGATATTGGCATTCCATCAACACTTCAACATCCAGTAGTTTTTGAGTCAAATGTTTGCTGTTAGTTTGTAAGGAACTAAAGATCTTTATTTTCCAGACAAAATATCAAGTTCTTCAAAAGAAGTCTGTTGTATTAAGATTTCTGAATTTTTGTCAGGTTGAACAGTCCTAGAATCCCCAAGGGGAGGACTACTTCAATCAATAATGATTATAGATTTGGTTTAAAAAGAGTGAGATGAGATAAATCCCATATTTGGTTACAGACTGCATTTTTATAGTGCTTTAAAAAATTCCATATTTCGCCTTCATATCACAACACACAATTCTCTCAAATATTTATTTCAATCATTTAACCTATGGAAAGTGGAAACTTCAGTGTCACAATCAATTCAAGAATAACTAGGCTAGTGAATGGAGCCATATTACCAATAATGCCATCATAATGGAACAGGGTGCATACATATCATTTCCATCTGAGACTACACCAATTAAAATATTGAGATATCTCCATCCAAGAAGTTCAAGCTAGGAAGAACAAAAGGGTCCCAAACCTATGTATCATCTTACAATCAAAGTTAGTAACAGAAAAGTGAGCTCAATCTTATTTCATTGTTTTCTTTTTGTGTGCACACTTGTTAGGAATGTAAACACTATTTTCAAGAGAAAAAGGGAAGCAAACTCAAACTAATGCAACATTTACTACACTCTTCGATGTATTAAATTCCCTGTTTTATGATCAATGTTACAATAACTGTACAGAAGTAATGACAATTATTCTGGAGAAATTGGAAGCGAAGGGAGGGTAGGGGCAAGATTGCCTAGATATTGATTCACACTTGAAAGAAACATGAAAAAATATGAGAAATTTCTCTGTGTAAATCAGAATAAGGTCCCTGAGCTCTTCCAATCCATGACAATGTTATTGAATTATATATTTACATCTATTCCACAAAGTGAAACAATTTGTGCAGATGAATCCCATGTGAATTCACATTATCACACAATTAGTTTATTTACAATGTTTACAAACAAGAGTGGCATCTTAGCCTAAATGCAAAGCAGCCAGTTTGTCAAGCATCATCTTTATCTGCAACTCATGAGAGGCTAATTAACAATGCAATTAACTTATAGCTATTCCACCAAGTACCAATGTTTGACCTAAGATAATGTTTTGGGTAACCCATTTGAGAAATGCAACAGTGTTTTCAATGCAGCCAAATTTGTTCCTTCATCCACCAACAAAATAGGACTGCCACTGTTGAGTGTCGGCTGAACCAATTTGGCCAATATTACATTAAACACAACAAATTTTCAGGTTTTAGCAATAACAAAATGATTAGGACATAAAAATGCCATCATCATTTTCAAAGTCAGCCAGCTCTCCAATAGTACAATCAAGGGAACGGCCAATCACAATGATCATTCAATGTCGACTTATCATATTATGATTTGTGGGATAGCAAGTATTTAAATTAGAGGAGCCTACACATGGTAGTAGAGTCCAATACCAAAAATTAGAAGTGAACCATATCGACTAAAATATCAATTCAAAGATTAACCCACAACAGTCAATAAAACATCCTAATGAAACGACAAACTTAAAAGAAGTAAAAATAAAATCAAAACATAATCGAATACAAGTTTAATGCAAAAAAGTGACAACCTTCTGAATTCTTGTGGAAAGTTAGTGGAATGAGATCCTGCTGCTTGAGAGGAGCTCCAGTGACAGGATTTTTACCATACTTAATAATATAGGGAGTTATATTCCTGAAGCCAAATTGCAAAACCAAACTATCAAATACAAACTATTGGTAACAAAAAACATACAATTGTGATTAATGGAGCACAGAAATACACACATAACATCGAAAACACTGCCATCAGCTGTGCAAACCGGATACTCAAACGGCGTAAACGTAAGCCTGAATCCAACGAAAAAAAAAAACTTTGAGTGAAAAGAGGAAGCCAAACCTATGACAAAGAGTGAAATGATTAGGATTGAGAAAACATACGCGCAGCAATAGAAAGGAAGACGTTTGAAAGGGGTGCGAGTTTGTTTGGATTTAGCGCCACCCCATTCCGTTGCCCATTCGGTTTTGGTGATGAACATTCTATCTTTGCTGTGCTGTTTCTTCCCCATTGTTATTGTTAGGGTTCTTCCTAATCACTCACTGCCGCAATAAATTACTTACTTCGTTTGCAGTTTCCGGCGATTTTGAGAAAGAGACGCTGCCTGCGTCTGTGAGATCGATTTTTCTCTTCTCTCACAGCCGCCTTCCCCCGACTCCGCTATTCCCTTCACACCGCCGTGAAGATGTACGCGTTCGTGGGCCGGGTTTTATTTTTCGCGACTTTCAAAACAAACGGGTCTTCAGACCAAAAATATTAAATCAAATAAACAAACGGATCTTAAATTTGAATTACAAAATTCTAATTAAATTTTTATTTTAAAGCTATATATAATTTTAAAAATATTTTATTCTTTAATTATAGGTATAATTATCTCCAAATAATTTTTAGTATATGATTATGACCTAAATATTTATTAATGTTATAAATAATATTTGATATAAACATAGTGCTAGACAAATTAAATATAGTAATAATATTAATTTAAAAATATTAAAGTTTTTTTAACTTCAACTCTTAGCATTAACTTTAAACATTTATAAATAAAAAAAATATGCAGTTATTATATTAAAATTATAAAAATACAATAAATACTTTTTTTTAATAAATTCTTACTATTATCATCTATTTATATTGAGTTTAACAAAATCTAAAATATTAATATAATTTTCTTATTATGTGCTGTCTTACAATTAAAATATAATAATGATAATTATCTACAAATGTCCCAACTTTTAATAATGTAAATATATTTTTTTTAAAATGAGAGAAAGAAAAACAAGCATAAAATAGAAATATCTTATGAACCTATACATGAAAGATCAATTGATAAAGAGAATCATTTAAAAATAATAAAAATAATTAATTTCAATAATTTTAAGTTTGATCAAATAGTCAACATTAGAGTCGTATTTACCCTACACGTATAACATAGAATATTCTCAATCTCACTATAAAATACCTTCAGATTTTGCTTAACTAAAAGGGAAAAAAAAAGGAAAAAAAAAAAAAACCAATATAATGGGATCTATGTTTTTTCTCTCCTTCTCGTTGATGGACATAAAATGGCATATAATGTTAAAAAAGTGGATGCTTTTCTCAATATAAAAACGACAATTTTATTTTCATTTTCTTACTATATAAATTAAAAAATATGTTAAATATTTTTATAAAGAAAATTACTTTACTATTTCAGTAAATAAGAGAAAAAAGCTACCAACTTCTTTCCTTATTTTTACTCTAACCAAACAAATACAAAATTATTTTTTATCATATTTTCTCTTTTATCTATTTTTTCCTCACATTTTCTCTTCACATAGATGATTTATATTTCTAACCGTTCAGGTGGATATAATATCTTTGCTACTTCACAAAATTAAAGAAATCTTCGCTGCTCTAAGAATGGAACAATCCTTTATATTGGCCTAATTCATAATCTGTCCATTAGCATAACAGTGAAAGCAATAGGGGAACTGAAGTGCTGGGTGTCGCATCAAAATGGCCCATTCCATACCCCAAAGTTGGTCAGATTTGGTAATTGGTGTCAATCTTCAAAGTCATTTCTCTTAATAATGACTCAAAAGATTATAAAAACACACATACATATATTTGTACATTAATTTAACTATTATTTGACAATTTAATTATAATTTAACCTAATAAAATAAGAAAAAAATCGCAAACATGGTTGACAATATTAGTTTAAATGACTAATGTGATTATTTAATCATGATTAAACTAAATAATATGACAAGAGAATAATTAATCAGAAACATGATTGGTTTACCATCTGAACTGAATTTGGTGGAAGAAAAAAGAAAAAGGTGAACAAAGATGGAAGTTGAGCTCTCTAGTTAATCATAATGCATGGATGAAGTTTAGATTTGTTAATCACCCTACGTTTCTCACCAACCTCCTCTTCATTGGCTAGTCAATGTTCGTATTTTTCCAGCAAGCAACAAACTAATTTGTACATCCATAAATTCACACGAATAATTTTTTTCCAGTAAAGACTTAAAAAGTTTAATTCCTATTATGCCTTTCTACACAATTGCTTTGAATTTAAGTTGAAGGACTTCATTAATGCTTTGCCATCACATCATTAATTTCATCTACTCTGCCCATAAACATTGCCTAGCTACAAATGATGCATGTATATAAAGGGAGCAACTTGCCACATTTCTCAAATTCAACTCAAACATTCTTCTCCGATCTAAAGCCATATAATAAACTTTTGTGTTTAAATCTAACGCTTTATTTACTACATTATCCAAATCATGTCGCCAACAAATATTTTGGCAATTTTGGTCTTCTATTGCTGTATCATCTCCTTTGTCTTCGCTTCTGACCCTGACACACTTCAAGATCTTTGTGTAGCACTTCCCTCTTCAGGTAATAATATACATTACCAATTACCATTTTAATTTCTCTATTTGTTCCTATAGTTCAAACCAGAGTATAGAGCATAATTGTGTTTAGGAAATGAGTACAATGATGTGCATGGTGTGTAATTAATTATGTGTAGGTGTGAAAGTGAATGGGTTTGCATGCAAGGCGGAGGCCAATGTCACAGAATCAGATTTTTTCTTTAATGGTCTAGCAAAGCCTGCAGTGATCAACAACACATTGGGATCTGTGGTTACTGCAGCCAATGTGGAAAAAATTCCGGGGCTTAACACATTAGGGGTGTCTTTCTCAAGGATAGACTACAAAGTTGGAGGACTTAACCCACCTCACACACACCCTCGTGCCACTGAGATTGTGTTTGTGTTGGATGGTCAATTAGATGTGGGATTTATCACAACAGCTAACAAACTCATCTCAAAGTCCATTAAGAAAGGTGAAATCTTTGTGTTCCCAAAAGGTTTGGTGCACTATCAGAAGAACAATGGGGATAAACCTGCTTCAGTGCTTTCTGCCTTTAATAGTCAACTCCCTGGCACTTTGTCTATAGCTGCAGCTTTGTTTACCTCAACACCAACTGTGCCTGATAATGTGCTTGCCCAGACATTCCAGATTGATACTAAAGAGGTTGACAATATTAAGACCAAACTTGCTCCAAAGAAGAGTTAATTTTACATATGTTGAGTTTTGATAATCTCATTTGGCCTTGTAAACCTACTTTCCCTTTATATAATTCCCAATAACTCTTGAAGGGTCATGATCATTGTATCAGTTATGGTGTTGCATTTTGTTCATTGATGCGGTATTTAGTATAAAATAATGGTATCGGGATTATAATATATATGTTAAGAATAAGAGTTTTGTTATATCTTTTGTTTATTTTTTATTAGTTTTTATTACTTTATAAAATAAATATTAAATAAAAATTATATGTATATATTAACTTAAAAATATAAAAAATATTGAATATTTTCTTTTTAATAAATAAGAATAAAAATAAATATTTTAAGAATAATGCAAATTCTATAAAGTAGAAGCTGCTTCCTTTTATATGGGTATGGTTCATTTTTTGTTTGTGGTCCATCGGTTTTGTTAACACTGAATAAAGATTGGATATTTATCAGCCCACTTTCTTTTTCATGTTGGGTAGCTGTTAAATCAGTATGGCAAGATGTAGACATCTTAAAATTGGAGGCTATCGAATTAGTTTTTTCATATAAAAAAAAAAAAAAAGAAGGAATCCATTGCCCTATAAATTATATATAATAAAAGCAGCGTGTAAATATTTAAAAAAAACTCAGCTGACGCCAAAAGTGGTTAGTTGGAAGTGATATTAAAAGAAAAACTAAATGACAAATTATCATTTTTAATATAATAAGTTGCCTTAATTGTAAATTTACTTCTTTTAACTTAAATTTTATGTGATTTTAATTTTTAAATTTTGTAATTAGACTCAATATTGTTGCTTTAATTTTAATAAAAGAATATAACTTCATCGGCATTATTTTCTACACAGCAGTTAAATAATTTAATTTGTGAAAATTGACATCATGAGAAACATTCAACAACAAACATCTCCTAGTATTTGCTAAAGTAAACGGATCACAATGCCGAAGAACCCTAACAATAACAATGGGGAAGCAGCACAGCAAAGATAGAATGTTCATCACCAAAACCGAATGGGCAACGGAATGGGGTGGCGCTAAATCCAAACAAACTCGCACCCCTTTCAAACGTCTTCCTTACTATTGCTGCGCGTATGTTTTCTCAATCCTAATCATTGCACTCTGTCTTAGGTTTGGCCTCCTCTTTTCACTCAAATTTTAATTTTTTTTCTTTTTTTTTGGATTCAGGCTTATGTTTACGCCGTTTGAGTATCCGATTTGCACAGCTGATGGCAGTGTTTTCGATGTTATGTGAGTATTTCTGTGCTCCATTAATCACAATTGTATGTTTTTTGTTACCAATATTTTGTATTTGATAGTTTGGTTTTGCAATTTGGCTTCAGGAATATAACTCCCTATATTATTAAGTATGGTAAAAATCCTGTCACTGGAGCTCCTCTGAAGTAGCAGGATCTCATTCCACTAACTTTCCACAGGAACTCAGAAGGTTGTCACTTTTTTGCATTAAACTTGTATTCGATTATGTTTTGATTTTATTTTTACTTCTTTTAAGTTTGTCGTTTCATTAGGATGTTTTATTGACTGTTGTGGGTTAATCTTTGAATTGATATTTTAGTCGATATGGTTCACTTCTAATTTTTGTTATTAGACTCTACTACCATGTGTAGGCTCCTCTAATTTAAATACTTGCTATCCCACAAATCATAATATGATAAGTTGACATTGAATGATCATTGTGATTGGCCGTTCCCTTGATTGTACTATTGGAGAGCTGGCTGACTTTGAAAATGATGATGGCATTTTTATGTCGTAATCATTTTGTTATTGCTAAAAACTGAAAACTTCTTGTGTATAATGTAATATTGGCCAAATTGGTTCAGTCGACACTCAACAGTGGCATTCCTATTTTGTTGGTGAATGAAGGAATAAATTTGGCTGCATTGAAAACACTGTTGCATTTCTCAAATGGGTTACCCAAAACATTATCTTAGGTCAAACATTGGTACTTGGTAATAGCTATAATTTAATTGCATTGTTAATTAGCCTCTCATGAGTTGCAGATAAAGATGATGCTTGATAAACTGGCTGCTTTGCATTTACGCTAAGATGCCACTCTTGTTTGTAAACATTGTAAATAAACCTAATTGTGTGATAATGTGAATTCACTTGGGATTCATCTGCACAAATTGTTTCACTTTGTGGAATAGATGTAAATATATAATTCAATAACATTGTCATGGATTGGAAGAGCTCAGGGACCTTATTTTGATTTACGCAGAGAAATCTCTCATATTTTTTCATGGTTCTTTCAAGTTTGAATCAATATCTAGGCAATCTTGCCCCTACCCTCCCTTCGCTTCCAATTTCTCCAGAATAATTGTCATTACTTCTGTACAGTTATTGTAACATTGATCATAAAACAAGGAATTTAATACATCGAGGAGTGTAGTAAATGTTGCATTAGTTTGAGTTTGCTACCCTTTTTTCTTGAAAATAGTGTTTACGTTCTTAACAAGTGTGCACACCAAAAGAACCATCAGCTTTTTCAATTGTGGTAACATTTTTGTTTTCTAGGTTTTTGTGGAATAGAAAACGATGGTATTATTTGGAGAGAAACAGAGGGCACATTTTGCTAACCTTGGTCACACACCCCAACCGCCAAAAAAACAAAGAAATAAGATTGAACTCACTTTTCTGTTACTAACTTTGGTTGTAACAAAGGATGATACATAGGTTTGGGACCCTTTTGTTCTTCCTAGCTTTAACTTCCTGGATGGAGATATCTCAATCTTTTAATTGGTGTAGTCTCAGATGGAAATGATATGTATGCACCCTGTTACATTATGATGGCATTATTGGTAATATAGCTCCATTCACTAGCCTAGTTATTCTTATTCTTGAATTGATTGTGACACACTGACACTGAAGTTTCCATAGGTTAAATGATTGAATTAAATATTTGAGAGAATTGTGTGTTGTGATATGAAGGCGAAATATGGAATTTTTTAAACCACTATAAAAATGCAGTCTGTAACCAAATGTGGGAATTATCTCATCTTACTCTTTTTAAACCAAATCTATAATCATTATTGATTGAAGTAGTCCTCCCCTTGGGGATTCTAGGACTGTTCAACCTGACAAAAATTCAGAAATCTTAATACAACAGACTTCTTTTGAAGAACTTGATATTTTGTCTGGAAAAATAAAGATCTTTAGTTCCTTACAAACTAACAACAAACAATTTGACTCTAAAACTGCTGGATGTTGAAGTGTTTCAGGAGTTAATAACGGCAATTTATTTGTGTAGACTGTAGTATTTATATTTACGTAAGTTATATGAAATAGGCCGTTAAAGAGTTAAACATTAAGACGAAAAACTAGAAGGAACTCCTCACTGATGAGCCATTCACTAAGGATGACCTTATAACAATTCAGGTAAGTTGGATTTGAATGAGAACATTTTCTCTATTTCTTTGTGTTTGTGTGCACCCTTCGCAGAATCCTAATGCGCTTGACAGCAAGGTTCTTCTGGATTTTGATCATGTTAAAAATAGTTTGAAAGTTGATGATGAAGGGATGCTATACAGCCTGCAGCTCCTTCATCTTTTGCCAACCATAAATCTCTCATTGGTCTTGATGTTGCAGCTTTTGTTGTTATTAGTATTAGCTATGACACATCCAGTTTTTCCCTCTCAGAACTGCAGAAAATGAGTTCAGATCCAACCTCTAACATAAACATGTCCGGTGATATCAAGCAAATGCTTCAAGAGCTTGGAACTGAGAAAGGAAAGGAAACTGCACTGCATGGTGGAGGTGGTGGCAAGGCACAGAAAGAAAGGGCTGCTGCACTTGCTGCCATCTTAGCTGCTAGGTCACAGGTTAAAGAAGATTCCAAATCAAATTCAAATGAAGAGGCCAAAGCTCTTCAGACATTTAGTATTGTGGATGCTGCATCTGCTTCAGTAAATGGCAGAAATGCAGCTGCTGCTAAAGCCTCATCAGGCGATAAAACTGCAGCTAGAATAGCTATGCATATGGCTGGTGACAGAGCGCCAGTGAATGCAAAGATGGTGAGTTTCCTAGAAGTAAACCATTTTCACCAATGCAAACCTTACATCTCTAACAAAAGAGAGGACAGTGATCCCTATTCTATGTATTATCAACTTTTAATGAAGTTTCACGTGTCTTTACCCAAAAGCTCAGCTATTAGGCAAAGACACATGAAAGATTTTACATTGCATTTCTTATGGAAGAGGGGGAAGTAATCAATATTCTATGTATTATCAACTTACTAATGAAGCTGCCTATTTCAGGTAAAAAGTCATTTCACAACTGGTGCTGCTTCCCGGTCTTTCACTTCAACATCATATGATCCAGTTACAAAAAATGAATTTGAATATGTGGAAGTTGAGAAGAATCCAAAAAAGAAGGGATATGTACAACTGCATACAACACACGGTGATTTAAACATTGAGCTACATTGTGATATAACACCCAGGACATGTGAGAACTTCATCACCCTTTGTGAACGTGGAAATTATAATGGAGTTGCTTTTCATAGAAACATCAGGTATAATGATTAACTTTACATTTTTCTCCCTGGAGTAAATCAACACTCATTTATGAAGTCTTATAGTCCATTTTATGCAGGAATTTCATGATACAGGGTGGTGATCCTACTGGTACTGGTCGAGGAGGTGAATCAATATGGGGAAAGCCTTTCAAGGATGAACTTAACTCTAAATTAATTCACTCTGGAAGGGGCGTAGTCAGCATGGCAAACAGTGGCCCACACACTAATGGTTCCCAATTTTTCATCTTATACAAGTCTGCAACTCATTTAAACTTCAAAAACACAGTTTTTGGAGTAGTTGTCGGTGGCTTGACTACACTGGCAGCAATGGAAAAGGTTCCTGTTGATGATAATGACCGACCTCTGGTGAGTCATGTTTTCTTTTCACTGTTGATGCAATAGATTGTCTCCCTTTTTCGGTTTTGTTATTGTCAAATGCATTGAATTTCCACTTGTGCAATTACAAGCATATTATCACAAAATATGGATCTGCTTTAGAAAAAGTAGATTCTTCTGCTGTTGTACATATTTTGTTATCTTTTGCATAAATATATTCTTTACCTTTTGCATCTGTGTAGCTAGTTTGAACTTTGGGTTTCGTGCATTAAATTTTCACTGTGGGCACTACTACTACACATCATTCTATAACACTTGACATTATGATAATTTGCACTTTCATTTGTATACATTGAGGTTTAGACTAACTCGAGTACAGTATAGTACTTTTTTGTGTCTCTGCGCCTCAAGCTTGTTGGTTAATGATGGCAAGGTTTCACTAGTTTGAAGAGTTGATATAATAATTAACAATGCTTGCTGATGTCTCTAAATGATCCATTAACCAGTATCAAGCAAGCCATACTGACCACTTTTACACTGCATAATGTTTTATATATTTGTTTTTATCTTTGCAGGAGAAGATGAAGATAACCAGTGTCACCGTTTTTGTCAATCCTTACTCAGAACCAGATGAAGATAAGAATGTAGCGGATGAAGATAATGTTTGTTCTAACTATTTGAGTGCAAGGCAGACAATACTCCCATAGAACTGGAAAAGTATCAAAGCCTAGTTGGGAAGCTAATCTACCTAACTCACACTAGGCCTAACATTGGATTTGCTGCGAGCTTGGCTAGTCGTTATACATCTAATCTAACTAAGGCCCACATGAAAGTGGCGAACAGAATACTCCAATACCTCAAAGGTACACTAGGTCGAGGGCTCTACTTCAAGAAGAACTCAGAAAGAGGCATTGAAGTCTATACTGACTCAGAGTGGGCAGGATGTCCCTTTGACAGGAAATTAACTACATACTACTTCTCCTTTGTGTGGAGAAACTTGGTGACTTGGAGTAGTGCAGAAGTTGAATTTAGAGCTATGGCTCAAGGTATCGGTGAAGGAATCTAGCTTAAGAGGTTATTGGATGAAATCAAAATTCCTATCAATTACACTATGAGGATATTATACGACAACAAAGCTACTATAAGCATTGCTGAGAACCCAATGCACCATGATAGGACAAAGCATGTGGAGATTGACCGACACTTCATTAAAGAAAAAATTGACCATGTTCCATCATGCAGACAAACATATCAATCAGAATTATCTAATTCTGATTTGTACAGCCCATAATAGGATTTAATGTTAATAAAATCAATTTTATTTCCTTATTTAGGTACAACATTTATAGAGAAAATTATTTTCTTGATTTTCAGAGATAGATTAAATGTACAGTTTTATTCCTCTCTCTTGTATTTTTTTCAAATAAGAAAAATATACTTCATATTTTTCTGCAATATTAATTCCTACAATGAACTTTGAGACTTCAAAAAATGAAATAAGGATTTAGTGCTATTTTAAAGCCAATATGTCTAAACTATCATTTCATCTAGTGAAGTTTAAAAAATAAACAATACCATATTTAAAATTAACAATAACCTGAGAAGTTGATGAGAAAAAAAAACTCTTTAATAAATCCATTCATCATTACTCAGTACACAAACTTGTTTTTATTAAAATAAATTAAAGTATAACTAACACATTGATTTCCTTCTAAAAGAGATAATAACTTTTAAAATATAATGAAAAGAGAGTCTAGAAACAATAACATCACTCTTTAAATTACATTGTTATTTCAAAAGTTAGCAATTTATAGCCTTGGATGAGCAACAAATCTTAATTCATGTCAGCTAACAAAAAGCCAAAACAACCAATTTCACCCTTCTTGTATGCTCTTAGAACATCTCATGCTTAAGGAGAGGAGAGCATTCTGTACAAGTTTGAAGAATCAGATGTAAGAGTAAAAAAAAGCTATGTAGTGCTTAGTGTCAATGCAACACAGCATTCCTTAATCTTTCAACCTCTAAGATTTGGCCATCTCAGGACAAGAAGAGAGACTTGACAGCTTCTGTGAAAGTAAATGTCTTCGCTACAAGTAAAATGCCAAATAAGTGAAGATGCACTCTAAAGGAAATATGTTTATGTGTGTAGTCGTTTGAGGCAAGAATGCAATGTTGGGACATATAATCTTCTAAGATTATACTGGTCTGTCCATGAGATTGGATATTCGTTTCAGATGAAGTCATTGATAAAGTACACATCATTCAGTTGACCAACCAATAGGATAAGTATTGTTATGTACCTCTGGCACCAACTATTAATATGCACAATATATGCCAAAGGTCTACAAGACTTTCACCTTATCTATTAGATACTAGATAACTTTCTTTAAAATATTTTCATCTCATTGTTACTTGATAAAATTCTGCGTATAGGATACTGAAGATACCTGAAACCAATTATTTATAGATGTAGAAGTGCAAAAGATATGCTGCCCTATGACGAACCTGTAAAATGAAATTATTTATATACATGAAATCACACTAAATAAATCTGTGGTTAAAAGAAAGTAATAAAGTTGTTTCATTCACCTTTGATGCATATGATCGTAGGTCCGTGGCTGAAATTAAGCTAGAACAATGTCTAAGAAAAAGACAAAACATCTCATAGATTACTGGATTGTCTTCAATATATAAGTTGGACAAAACCCAATTCTCTGTCAAAACTAAGTGAATATACATCTTGAAGAAATCACAACTTTTGTCTTTGAAGTTAATTTCTGTGAGTGATCTGACAATCTCTTCTCCACTGTTGACCTGAGAAAAAGTCAGCTCACTTTCCAAAAGTTCAGAAGCAAATCTCTATTCATATCCATGCATACTGTCACAATTAATTTGGTTGTACTTAATGCTGATTTTTTTTTTTAACAGAATCTTCTCACATCAATTTGTTATTGAGAGTCAAGTCTTAAAACTTAAAAGTCAGCTTGCACATTTTGCTTAGTGTTTTCAGTTTGTAATACACAAATATTTTAAAATGAAAATCAAAGTTCAAATAATAAAACCAACAATGCTTATTAATGCATAGATCTACAGTTCTATGCTCAAACAAGAAAGGACTATTTCCAAATTACATATACATTGAATTAATGAATATGGAAATATTAAGAGCCTTATTTGAAAATTTAATTGTTGGCAATACTTTGGATTTTGGACTTAAAAAATAGAAATATTAAGGGCATATTTGAAAATTTAAGTGGTGGAGAATTTTTGAGATCAAACATGGCTTAGTAGTATTTGTTAATACCATAAAAAGAATGAGTGAGAAAAGCTTTGACAAACATTCCACAAAAATAAACTCAATGAATAATTTCACAAACAACTCTTTTTTTTTTTTCTAAATTATTACACAGCAGTTTCATTCAAACAAGCAACAGTAAACATAATCTATAACTTGCTGCTCATATACTAACTTTCCATCACATCACTGGGACCTTCATTGTACCTTTCATATGCACAAGCATAAATAAACTTGATGAGAGAAGGGAAGGTAGCATACTCCATCAAAACAAGAAAGCAGGGTCTGATAAGCAATTGTCCTTCTAAGTTGCTTACAACGAAAGTTAACTTTTGAAACACATTCAGTAGTCTGGATGCAATTCAAATCCTTAGAGACCCTACACATCCAAGAGAGCAAAAATAAGGAAAGGGAAGCAATTACAAAGTCAAGGGCAAGATTACTAACAAAAAATTGAAAAAAAGTAATGACCTGCAAGAAATGAATTTTGCTATGTTCTCACAACTTGAGCACCATTCCTGGTCTGTAAAGTAATTAACAATTGCCTGCATGCAGTCACTCAAAAGCACCAACAAACCCTGAAACTGGCGATCAAGGAATAGACAAATAATAATTTCAACTATCTCTTCGGCTTCTACAATAGAAAAGATCGTTTTTTTACTCCTGCAATGAGAATCAAGAGACATGAATTGACATTATCATACTTTCAAAATTTTATTACTTGAATTATCAGTAGGAAATATAATAAAAGCAACCTCAAACTCAAATGATGACCAACAAAGAAACAAATAACAGAAAATCATTCAGGTTATCCTCTAAGTAGACTCACTGGTGTTGACTACCTTATCAGACAACAGGCAGTGACAAATCTGACCCAAGCTATAATATTTTGTGGTGGTCCTCTAATGGCAGAATCTAAAAGACATTTAGATTGTTCTTAGAAGCATGTCAACAACTGGCAAGAGATTAACAAATTTTCTTGAAATGGCGCACAAATATTTCTACATTGGATATATACCAATGTAAAAATATAGAACACTTCAACTTTACAATGCTGAAAATTAACAAATTCATATTTCTCTAGAAGGACAATCCATCTTTCACAATGCAGAGATAAACTAGTGCAGACATAAGAAATTCACCTAAACATTTAGGGTCAACACTGGCTGAAAATTTGAAGAGAAACCCGTAAATGTCAAGAGCTCTTCTCAAATCTGTATACCCAGGAAACCAATCAATTTTGACAGGCAACTCATCAACCTGGTAAAGGATGATTGTTAATTAAAAGAAAGATGCCAAGTCGTTATTTTTATCAATGGAACAATGCCAGAGAAAACAAAGAAACAAGTTTACCTCCTTTTCAAAAGAGAGAATCGCACACCAAAAGTCACTGGAAGAGTTTTGGAGCTCTTTTTTGGATGAATATAACACTGAAAGAACAAATTAAAACATATGTATGACTATCTTGCTGCTATGCTCATAGCTAGTAAGAAAATAAACGCAAAAGTCCATGCTTTCACTCACTTGTCTTGAAGGCCCAAATGGCTACTGGCTTTTCAACATGACCACGCACGAAAGCTAATTTTGGAAGCCAGCCATTAACTAATAACCCTTCAAGAAAGATATCTCCTGAAAAAATGCATAATATTAACTGACATAAGATACCACTTAAAAACAAAAACATTAGTTTTAACTGATAGCATGCATATAAGCAGCAACTTGATAAGAATCTGCCTTGATTCAGTATTTTGCCATGTTAAAAACAGACAGTTTCTTAGCGTTGCAAATTAACAAAGTAGATAACATTGTAGCCTTAACAAACAATACACCATAACAACCTTTGTCAGAGGCCAATTGAACCACAGAATTTAGCTTGTTGTTCAAAAAAGACTGTAAAAGGTTACAACTTCCAATATCAGGAAAATCTAGAGAGGGAAAGGATTTCTGCATTTCACAAAATGAAAACATTATTAACCTCAAATATCCATACAATTAAGAGATGAAAGTAGCAATCCATATATAGAGCATTTGACTTAGTATAATGACCTGTTCTCCAAAAACTTTTATTCCCCAAGGTGGAATTTCTTGATCTTCACCGAAAGCTTTCAACTGCATGAGAAAGGCAATCAACAACAGACAATGACAATTACACAAAAACATATGCAAAGAGAGAGACAAGAACAGGTAACCTGATTGTGACATTTCTCAACTAGCCTAGTTAACTTGGCTTCCTTGCTATCTTCATCATCATAGATACTTTTATTCTTCTTTGTCTTAGTTTTAACCTTTTTCTGCTTCTCCAAAAGCTTGTCCTGTTCTCTATAATGGTCTTTAAGAAGATCATCCAACCCAATAACTTTCTTCCTGATTGACATTCAAATTTCAATTACTTTATTTCTATAAACCACTTTTAGAACAAACAAACAAAGAGAAACCAATATAACGCAAAACAGGGATCATCACAAAAATTGCAAAAGAGAAACTATAAAACCCTAATCCCGATTTTAAAAAATGAAACTTGGAAGAGTTGGGCAGAGGTAAAACGAGTTTGAGAAAAAGGAAAACCTTTTATTGTTACTTGGAGGAGATTTGAGAAGGTTGTCTTCTACTTCGAAATCCAAAGGGTCGTTCATATCCATCACAGAGAGTGAAACGAGGAAGCCAAACCTAAGACAGAGAGTGAAATGATTAGGATTGAGAAAACATACGCGCAGCAATAGAAAGGAAGACGTTTGAAAGGGGTGCGAGTTTGTTTGGATTTAGCGCCACCCCATTCCGTTGCCCATTCGGTTTTGGTGATGAACATTCTATCTTCGCTGTGCTGCTTCTTCCCCATTGTTATTGTTAGGGTTATTCTTAATCACTCACTGCCGCAATAAATTACTTACTTCGTTTGTAGTTTACGGCGATTTTGAGAAAGAGACGCTGCCTGCTTCTGTGAGATCGATTTTTCTCTTCTCTCACAGCCGCCTTCCCCCGACTCCGCTATTCCCTTCACACCGCCGTGAAGATGTACGCGTTCGTGGGCGGGGTTTTATTTTTCGCGACTTTCAAAACAACCCTTCAGACCAAAAATAAATAAATCATATAAACAAACGGGTCTTAAATTTGAATTACAAAATTATAATTAAATTTTTATTTTACAGCTATATATAATTTTAAAATTATTTTATTCTCTAATTATAGATATAATTGTCTCCAAATGCTTTTTAGTATATGATTATGACCTAAATATTTATTATTGTTATAACATGATATTTGGTATAAACATAGTGCTAGACAAATTAAATATAGCAATAATATTAATTTAAAAATATTTAAAAAAATTTAACTTCAGTCCTATTTAAGTATTCACAAATAAAAAAAATTATAAAAAAATACATAATTATTATATTGAAATTATAAAAATATAATAAACTTTTATTATTATCAATTATTTATCTTCAACTTTAAAAATTGAGTTTAACAAAATTCAAAATATTAATATAACTTTCTTATTATGTGCTGTCTTACAATTAAAATATAATAATGATAATTTTTTAAAAATATCCCAACTTTTAATAATATAAAGATTTTTTTTTAAAATGAGAGAAAGAAAAACAAACATAAAAAAGAAATCTCTGAATAAACCTATATATGAAAGATCAACTTATAAAGAAAATCGTTTAAAAATAATAAAAAGAGATAATTTAAGCAATTTTAAGTTTGATCAAGTAGTCAATATCAGAGTCATATTTATCCTACACATATAGCATAGAATCTTCTCAATCTCACTATAAAGAACCAAAAAAACTACCAACTTCTTTCCTTATTTTCACTCTAACCAAACAAATGCAAAATTAATTTTTATCATATTTTCTCTTTTATCTATTTTTTCCTCACATTTTCTCTTCGCATAGATGATTTATATTTCTAACCGTTCAGGTGGATATAATATCTTTGCTACTTCAAATTAAAGAAATCTTCGCTGCTCTAAGAATGGAACAATCCTTTATATTGGCCTAATTCATAATCTGTCCATTAGCATAACAGTGAAAGCAATAGGGGAACTGAAGTGCTGGGTGTCGCATCAAAATGGCCCAATGCATACCCCAAAGTTGGTCAGATTTGGTAATTGGTGTCAATCTTCAAAGTCATTTCTCTTAATAATGACTCAAAAGATTATAAATACACACATACATTTCTCTTAATCATAATGCATGGATGAAGTTTAGATTTGTTAATCACCCTACGTTTCTCACCAACCTCCTCTTCATTGGATAGTCAATGTTCGTATTTTTCCAGCAAGCAACAAACTAATTTGTACATTGATAAATTCACACGAATAATTTTTTTCTAGTAAAGACTTAAAAAGTTTAATTCCTATTATGCCTTTCTACACAATTGCTTTGAATTTAAGTTGAAGGACTTCATTAATGCTTTGCCATCACATCATTAATTTCATCTACTCTGCCCATAAACATTGCCTAGCTACAAATGATGCATGTATATAAAGGAAGCAACTTGCCACATTTCTCAAATTCAACTCAAACATTCTTCTCCGATCTAAAGCCATATAATAAACTTTTGTGTTTCAATCTAACGCTTTATTTACTATCATTATCCAAATCATGTCGCCAACAAATATTTTGGCAATTTTGGTCTTCTATTGCTGTATCATCTCCTTTGTCTTCGCTTCTGACCCTGACACACTTCAAGATCTTTGTGTAGCACTTCCCTCTTCAGGTAATAATATACATTACCAATTACCATTTTAATTTCTCTATTTGTTCCTATAGTTCAAACCAGAGTATAGAGCATAATTGTGTTTAGGAAATGAGTACAATGATGTGCATGGTGTGTAATTAATTATGTGTAGGTGTGAAAGTGAATGGGTTTGCATGCAAGGCGGAGGCCAATGTCACAGAATCAGATTTTTTCTTTAATGGTCTAGCAAAGCCTGCAGTGATCAACAACACATTGGGATCTGTGGTTACTGCAGCCAATGTGGAAAAAATTCCGGGGCTTAACACATTAGGGGTGTCTTTCTCAAGGATAGACTACAAAGTTGGAGGACTTAACCCACCTCACACACACCCTCGTGCCACTGAGATTGTGTTTGTGTTGGATGGTCAATTAGATGTGGGATTTATCACAACAGCTAACAAACTCATCTCAAAGTCCATTAAGAAAGGTGAAATCTTTGTGTTCCCAAAAGGTTTGGTGCACTATCAGAAGAACAATGGGGATAAACCTGCTTCAGTGCTTTCTGCCTTTAATAGTCAACTCCCTGGCACTTTGTCTATAGCTGCAGCTTTGTTTACCTCAACACCAACTGTGCCTGATAATGTGCTTGCCCAGACATTCCAGATTGATACTAAAGAGGTTGACAATATTAAGACCAAACTTGCTCCAAAGAAGGGTTAATTTTATGTAGAGTTTTGATAATCTCATTTGGCCTTGTAAACCTACTTTCCCTTTATAATTCCCAATAACTCTTGAAGGGTCATGATCATTGTATCAGTTATGGTGTTGCATTTTGCTCATTGATGCGGTATTTAGTATAAAATAATGGTATCGGGATTATAATATATGTTAAGAATAAGAGTTTTGTTATATCTTTTGTTTATTTTTTATTAGTTTTTATTACTTTATAAAATAAATATTAAATAAAAATTATATGTATATATTAACTTAAAAATATAAAAAATGTTGAATATTTTCTTTTTAATAAATAAGAATAAAAATAAATATTTTAAGAATAATGCAAATTCTATAAAGTAGAAGCTGCTTCCTTTTATATGGGTATGGTTCAATTTTTGTTTGTGGTCCGTCGGTTTTGTTAACACTGAATAAAGATTGGACTTTTATCACCGCACTTTCTTTTTCATGTTGGTTAGTTGTTAAATCAGTGTGGTAAGAAGTAGACATCTTAAAATTGGAGGCTTTTGAATTAGTTTTTTCATTAAAAAACAAAAAAAGGGGGAATCCATTGCCCTATAAATTATATATAATAAAAGCAGCGCGTAAATATTTGAAAGAAAACTCAGCTGACGGCCAAAGTGGTTAGGTGGAAGTGATATTAGTGCAGATTAATAAAAGAAAAACTAAATGACAAACTATCATTTTTAATATAATAAGTTGCCTTAATTGTAAATTTACTTCTTTTAACTTAAATTTTATGTGATTTTAATTTTTAAATTTTGTAATTAGACTCAATATTGTTGCTTTTATTTTAATAAAAGAATATAAATATTTCCTATCTAACTTCATCGTCATTATTTTCTACACAGCAGTTAAATAATTTAATTTGTGAGAATCGACAGCATGAGAAACATTCAACAACAAACATCTGCTAGTATTTGCTAAAGGAAATGGATCACAATGCCAATCAACACCAACTCCCTCCTCATAGATCAACCTCAGTTATTTCCACCTAAATAATGAAGTCGTAAATACAATGTGACTGAAGACTTAGGAACAATTTTTCACGTTTGTAGCTGCCATAAATGAAAGCAGATGCATAGGAAAGGAAACGATGATTTCCTTGCTGCTGGAAGAAGCAGTTTGTTTGTGCCTTGGACTATGTTACATACGATACCTACAACAAACAAGAAAGAAAGACCCCATTCAAGAAATGTCAGGCGCGGAGGTATCCATTCTTCTCCAAGTATGATATTACTATTTCCGCCGTATCACTCGGAGACATACACTCACTTCCTCTTTGCTGCAATATTATCTGCAAGAGAATGGGAATGTGTAATCAATTTAAGAAAGTTCTGCGTAAGTTAGTTTTGAAGAGAAAGCAGAGGGTGGATAACTTTATCTCGTTTGTAAGGTCAATTTTTCCCTTCAAATCGGGATCCCGGGCAAAGAGAAATAAATTTTCTCATCGTATGCCAGTATGATATATTAAAATTTGTTCATATTATTCCTCTTTAACAACACTAACAAGTAACAACTGTAAGTGTTGTTAGTCCAACATTTGTACAATGCAACAAGTACACACCTCACAGCTATATGGTGGTTCATATGGATCATCTATCCCTGTGAAACCTGCAGAATTCCAAGTAGTTAATTCAATATGCTGATGCACATTGCACAATTCAATCCACAGTAAAAAGAGAAATAAACACAATTTATGTAGCTAAACTGGTGAACCTGTATAGTTAAAGAATTACTCCAGCACGTGCATGATTGTTACACAATACAAGAAGATTCCTATTAGATACAAAGCAGCAGCGATGCAAAAAATTAATCTAAGATACCTTTTATCTTTCCAGCTCGAGCAAGCTTATAGAGTCCCTTTGGGTCCCTTGCTTCACACACATCTAGTGGCACGTCTATGAAAACCTGCGACACGTGCAGATTGAGGATTGTAAACATTGCGGCAGTAAAGAATCTTTTGCCTTGTTTAATAACCGTAGTGTTCACTATTGTTAGCACTTAGCAGATGCTGAACAACCTGCATAATTTAGTTCACCGTAGTAAGAATGTACCTCAATAAAATCTCCTTTTGGCAACAGAGCTCGGCAAGCATCCCTATCCTTTCGGTACGGTGATATTAAACTAGTGATGCAAATAACACCTGCATCTGCCAAAAGTTTTGCTACCTCACCTGAAAATTATTCCCAATGATGTACGAAGATTAATAAATAATATTGCAAAAAATGGGGAAGAATGAGAGGACTTACGTGTCTTGATATGTATTTACATTTTTATATAGTAACTCACCAATCCTCCGTATGTTCTCTGAACGATCTTCTGCTCTAAAACTAAGATCACGGTTTAAGCCATGTCGAATATTGTCCCCGTCAAGGATATAAGTCAACTTTCCTTTGGAGTGCAAGCTTTTACTCAAAGCACATGCCAGAGTGCTTTTTCCTGAAATCAATTTTGAAGACTGTAATCAATCAGACAGGGAGAGAAAGAGAGATAGTGCTAGTGTCTACTACCTAGAAGAACGAAAGAAAGGTAAGTGAATATCCTGATATTCTAAAGAAACTAAACACAGCATTCATTTTCTGGCTTCACTATCAGTGGATATTCCACAGCAGAGAAAACAAACATGGAACATCTTCATGAAAGGCCACATTATAATTTAAAGCATGTTTGACCTTTGCAATTTAAAGCTTTCAAAAGAGAAGAAAATTTATTGTGTTCATGATTTCATTTTTATGAGACAAATATTGTCAACTATGATTGCATAGGTCTCAGGCAAAAGAAGTTGAGACTGTACCATAGGGAAGAAAAGTAGCATGTAATGGTGGTGAATAGTAAACAAGACCATGCGGCATTTCAATTGTGATAGTTATACAACAATGGGACGCCATGAAAAAGGAGCTATACCAAAATGAATGTTCACTGTTTCTGCCGTGCATATAATGTAACACAACGGAGTAGACATAAAAAATAACATCAAATGGAAGAACTAATGAACTACAAATCAGAACACCATTGGAATCCTGGAGGCATTTAAGACTGATAAAAGAAGCCAGGAAGCCAGGACTCTGTTACTGCACACAATTGAGCGCTTATTTCAGCCTGACATCAATGAACTAAGGCGAACATTCAGAAACAATCACTGTATATGTAAAAATTGACTGAATTTCACAAACCTGAACCACTGAGACCAGTTAACCAAATTACACAGCCTCTTTGCTGAAGTAGCTGCTGTCTATCAAATTTCTGGATTGGACATTCGTGCCACAAAATGTTCATCGAATTCCCAATATTTGTCATCTCGCTGAGACTTTTACCTAGCTAGATAATAACTTTGTTAAAAAATTTGAATTATATTTATTCAAATACATCATACCGCTTAGAAGTAGAAGCTAGATATTATCTGTTTATCTGTTTATCTGTTTTCCTATTTTTGTTCACTAAAAATTGTTGTCAAAGGCCCACTTGACAAGCAGCATACATGAAAGCTCAAACGGTAATTTAATGAAATCCATGAGATTCCAGTTACAAAAAATAGCAGCAAAGAGAAACAAGACTGTACACACTTACCACTCCTTTTATTGTTAATGAAATTATGTTTATTTGGACAAAATCACCTTGATAGCACTTTCACTTTATCTATGCTCAGGTTTCACCTAGGATGAGATCTTCCTGATCAATTTATCACTCTAATGTTTTTGTTCTCCATGTTCCCATAACCACTCAAACTCCCTTTTATAGCAATAATAAAAGCATTGGTGAACAGGTGCCCTGATTTTAAGTTGACCATTTAGCAGGAGAGAATCTTAGCACAACTATTGTAAAATATTCTCTACCGTAATACATTATATCATTTCACTCGTTTCACATTATTCTTTTAAAGTATGAATTTATTAACCTCGACACTTAAAATTGAGATTAAACATCTAAAAAAAGGATTAAACTCTTATATCTCTAATGTAATAAATCCTTGTAAAAGTCACTTAAACTCAGTAATATTGTTGAGAAGTTTGCTAAAACTTGATCGAAGAATTTGTGTTTAGCACAGCAAATGTGGAAAACGCTCATGTAGCTACAAATTTTTGAATTGTCTTTAACGTTGAACATATCACCATTTAATAATGTTACAGTTAGCATTCGTTATCAATTTTCCGGATAGACTAGTCCAAGATCAGAAAACAATCTCGTTCCACATTCCACTATCTTCTACAGTGTAATAATTAAAAACCTCATTCCACTCTCCACCGTCAAACAACAAAAATAACAGTATTAATAATCCAGATTCCAGATCCTGATAGAATCTAAAAATAAAGATAGTACCGGATAATGCAGCAGAGTGATTAGTCAGAGGTGTGAAACCATTCGGTTTCTTCAATTGACGCCCCTGGCATTGAGGACTGCCGTCATCGATCAAAGACGCGCCATGGTCCTCCTTCGCCATAATCGGCTTCAACAGGCTTTTACGACTACGACCTAATACAACAGCATTGATTACGCCGAACTTCAGGAACCCTAACTTCTCCACCGCCGAAGGTCCACATTGGACGTTGTGGAACAATCCACAACCACACGGTGGACGCGGTGCTTGTACGGTGCTCATCTCCGCAGCGGAAGAGAAAATTAAGCTGTAAAATGAAGATTTTGTTAAGCGTTTGAAACAGAAACTGAGAAAGAAGTGTAGCCGACGGCGTAGAGTCTCTCAGGTTCTGTAACGGTTTACAGTTACAGCTAAGCTGGACCTAAAAAATTAGAAGCCACTGTTGCCAGTGAAGGTAGAATTTTTTTCGTGGGAAACGTGCATTTTAGTTGGGTGATGTTTGCATGATTAGTTAAAATTAACATATAAACTAATTACGATGGAAGGGGGAGCTGAACTGCGTATCCTATGTAGGCACGTTAAGGTGGAAAATGATAGTGGTGGATTAGAGAATGAGGTTAGCTTTAGTTCCTTTGGATCGTGCGTGGGATCTTCTAAATTAATGCGTGCTGCCACATCACTGATCACTAATTACGATGGATTTGTTGTCATGTTCAACTTTGCGGTCAGATGTGGCACGCTTAAACCAATTTGTGTGAGTTGTCTATCTATTTGGCTTCATCCATATGTATAAAGCTTTCCGTAACTTGTAATGTATGGCCACATGTTCCCAATTATTTTTCTTCAATACCAAGTAAAGACAAAATCCTGCAAGAAATATAAATGATAAGAAAAGGACAGAACACTCTGATTTTCCACTGGATATAGATTTAGATATGGTCAAGGCATTCTTGTATCCTTCAAGAAATTATGTATTTGATGGGACTCTTAAGAACCGTTGATTTAGTTTAATTAAGGAAATGTATTTTGAGTCGCTAAAATGAGGATATATAAAAGAGTATTCGTTTGAATAAAAAATTAAATTTTTTTAAAATATAAAAAAATAATAAAATATTTAAAGTGAGAGTCAAGAATAAAAAAAGTATAAATACATAAATTTTAGTATAATAAAATAAGTTATTTAAGATTATTTCTATTTGATAAAAAAAATTATCTAATTAAAATTATGTGATATTTTAAAATTACTTTTTTGTTATCTAAATCCATGAATTGCAATAATTTTAAAATGTCATGTTTAAACATAACATAATGATTATATTTATATTACAAGCTTTAATATATAAAAAATTATTAATAAAAATATTTAATTAAACTAATTATCTGAATGTGTTTTTTATAAGATATACTTATAATAAAAATTATGTTTATAAAATAAATATAGTATAATGTATAATATTATATGTAGTATTGATATTAAATGATTCAAACAATATAAATTTTTAATCAATAATTGATAGTGGAGTGGGGATGTGTGTTCACTGCTCAGCACAAACACTCATCGCTGTCTCACTTTTCTTTGCCGGCGCCATCATGGTTCCTTAGTTCCTGTTTCTTGTTCACGTGCAAGCATTGTTTATTTTAAAGTTGAATAAAATGAATTTAAATTAATTACATAAAATTAAAATGTATATTTAAATTAATCACGCGTATAGACTTTAAATTAAAATATGTATAATAAAAAAAAACTTTAAAATTTAAATAAATAGAAACTAACTTTGTTTATCATCGCAAGTTTTTGCTAAAGCATATCTTGTGTAAAGCGTTATTATTATTATTATTATTTGTAAAGTTATCCAAATGGTCCTTCAGAGATCAGTTTCTTTCACACAGCGAGTTAATTTCCCATATTATTATACATACGTTTTTATATAAAAATGCATTTAACGTTAAGGAGGAGTTTTAAAATAAAATTTTATAATTAAATTAACGAAATAATTTTTTATATGATAAAAACTTATTGAATGAATATTTAATTAAATTGTTTATATAAAAATTTCTTAATTTAGACACACATTTTAATGCTGTTTAGTAGTTTTAAATTTTTTATTAAACTTTAAAACAAACAAACAAAACTTTTGGACAACATCAATTTGCTATTTGAAATTAGTGATTATTGACATTACTTATTAACAATTAAAAAAATATATAAAAGGTTTATAGCAAGTCTTACAAGAAGAGAGAGGAAACAAAACTTAAGGAAATGAGAATATACGTTCCACAATTTAACCAAATTATTAGTCTCCAGAGGATAGTCGACTTAATCTTTAACATTATGAAAATGTCAATTTTCAATTCTAAAAATTGGCAACATTAGTTAATTTAATTTCTCTCTCTCTCGCTATCTATATATATAATACACGGCATTTTAACAGTTGACAAAGTTTTTAACTTGTTTTGTTCTTTAATTGCAGAATGCATCAAAAACTAAACTAGCGAATGGATGTCGAAAGTAAAATATCAATTTTATTATTTTAATATTAAAAATTATATTGACTTATAGCTATACTATTAATTTTAATAATCAAAATTATTATTCTACGTCATCGTGGAAAAAAAACATTTTACGTTTTATTTCAAATAGTAATATTAAATATACATATATTTTTTCTATTCAAAGGGCCCATTAAATGTACATATTTATACTTATATAGTTTTACCATATAATTATAATTAGTTTTATCTTATTTTTAGTGCACGCGAGTTTGTTAGGATTAGGAAATAAAAAAATAAATCAATTTACCCCGGTTCAATTGAAAACTCGATGAATTAACTTCCTCATCAATTTGGAGAATCTATAAAATTGACAGAGAAAAGGCTAACCAACAAAAATGGTTGAGCCTGTCAAAAAGGATGACAAAAAATTATATTAAACCAACTTTTTTTTTTTGACAAAAAGAGTCTCATTGTGTTGACCAATAAAAAATTATATTATTTAATTGGCTAACTACTATTTTTGTATTAATTTTAAAGATTTTGTTAATCTCAATTTTTAAGATAGAAATATTTATAAATAGAAAATTTTTATAAAAAAATATATAATTATTATATTAAAATCTAAAAATATAATAAATATTTCTCATTCTAATAAAATTTTATTATTAATAATTATTTATTCTTGACCTTTAAGCTGATTTTAACAAAATCCTAATTTTAAAACTGTATTTAATTATATTTTTCATGATTTCATATCAATTTATTGCTTCATACATCGTATAATGTTAACAAATTATTCGAACTTTTCATCACTACTAACCTGCCAACCTGGGATAACCAAGGTAAAATAGAATTAAATTCCGTAGATTGTTAGGTTTAAATAAAACAAAGAGAAATAAAAGTGAGCAATCAATGCAAAACTAGAAATAGCAACTATGGCATTGACGAATGTGCAGCAAGAAAAAAGACGAAAATTGCGTGGAATATATATTCAGCGCTGGCCAATAACATTAGTACTATGAGGATGCGCACACTCCTATGTACACTTGTAAAATTAATTTAAAATTATTCTTAATTTGAGGCAGAATTGGATATTCGAAATGCATTTTTGAGACCAGACACGAACCTATGGCGAAAAGTTCTGGTCGTCTTTGGAGTTCCGCTACCGTCATGAGTCGATTCCTCTTCATCATTTCGACTGGTTATGATGCGATCAAGTAGAAACCCCGAAGACGAGACAGAGCCTCTTCCTCCCCTCTCTATTTTGCTGCTCTCACCCTCACCTGCCACAAAATGGAAACTCGCCGAACGCGCTGAGTTCAACACATTCCCCTTCTCCTCTTCCTCAGCTTCATGCTCCAGAAGAATCTTCCTCATTCCTCTCAGTTCTTTCTCAAGGCTTTTAATACGAGAGCACGTGGAATCCATTGCCTCTTTCAGCTGTGCCGTTTCACGACGAGCCGTGTCACGCTGGAGAAAGTCCCTCAGTGAGGATCGTTCCATCTGTTGCGCATCGATTATTGTCGCCGCAGCCACGGAGCGGCGAGTGTTGAGATGCTCCACCAGTATCGCACGCACTATGAACCTCAGCGGCATTACTGGATTTTGAACACAATTCACGATAGTTTCAGAAGACAGCTTCGTACAATCTAATGAGTTGCATATTTCCATTTTTTGTTCCTCTGTTAGTTTCCCATGCTTGTTTTCCTTCACAAATGCCAACAATTTTTTATCAATCATAACTCTTCTAATTTATGGTTCAATGTTGTTTTTTCTGGTGCTATCAAGGTTTCCGTACCTAGATATTTCTTTTATTAGGTTTTACAGATTATAATTAGGAAAATGCTATATGCGTTACGAGAAAAAAAAACGTAGGAATACAACTACAACAAAGAAACACACATTCAGGTTTTCATTTGAATATTCAATAGTACATATATGGTGATAAGAAATATTTTTTTTTATCATTTAATTAGACGTTGTATCATTTTATAAAGATTGGGATTTTCTTTGTCTATACTTTATGTGCACAGGTTAATGAACAAAAATTTTTGGGTTAAAAATTATCATATTAAAATGAAATTTTCTTATTAAATTCAGTTTTTTGTACACAGTAAAAAAAATTGAAGAATAATTTAGTTATTTATTACACTTTTTTTTTTATCGACATTACACATTTTAACACGAATGGATGAACTTCAAGTTTCTTTTTTTCAATTAAAGCTTAAGGCCCACCTTATGGGTTGGATTCTTTCTTATGAACCGATCTGTCAACATGAGATTAAGAAAAATGTATTTCGCAAAACAGTACAACATCAAAACGCGATATAGTTTTTACCCTTTAAACTATTTTTTCAGTAAAAGCTCACCCTTTGGATAAAAAGTGATCCATCAACATGTGTTTTACTTTAGAAAGAATATTATGAAAAACTTTTTTACTGTTTTAAAAAAGTGATATTACAGGAATCATTGAGAACATAGTTTTAAAAAATGTTATGAAAAAAATGTTGTCTAAAGTCTAAAACTGATACCGAGGTTTACTCGTTAGAGTAATGCCGTAAAAGAGAGTTTATTCTGCTCGTTACTCGAGATGACGACACGCAAAAACCAAAGATATGAAATGACACGTGGCGTACCTTGAGATAAAGATCAACCATCTTATACAAAACGTCGTGGTTGGGTAGCCGTTTGTTCAAGGAGTACGCTACCGTTTGAAAATCCTGAGGCTCCATTCCAACGACAACGTCGTTCAAACAACCAACGTCATCGTCCCAAACCATCGCTTCAATACATCTGCTGGCAAGCGACGCTGTCGTTTCGGCGTCGGGAAGCAGAGGCAGGCACGAACGCAGAACTATCGACGCGTCAACGCCAACGACACTCTCGAAGTACGCTTCCGTCACGTCACACAGACTCTCCCCCTCCGTCATGCCCAGCAACTCCGCCGCCGTTCTGATGGCGGCAACGTTAGACGGCGTTAACTGCACTTTGCGGCTGTAACAGAATTCAGCCACCGCGGCGAACATTTCTGGCGTTATGTTTAACGGCGGTGAGAGAGTGAAGTTGGAAACTCCCGTTAGATGCCGTTTAAGGTATGAACTTTGTGATATCATACGATCCTACGAGAGGAAGATGATGAATTGTGACATGACATGGATCAAATCAAACGCACACATTTTTATGTGATTAAAGGAATGTCCCTCTTCTGTTGGAGTTTAAAAGCAGAGCTATAAAGCTGTTTTCTAAAGCCCTTTTAGACAAAAAAAAACAAAGCGTTACAGAAAGTGAAAAGCTTTACAAAATTAACATGTAGTATATAGTAAAAAGACTTATGGTAAGGTTTTGTGGTGGACTGAACAAAAAGAAAATGCTACATCACGTATGGTGGGGTTTCTCTTGTCTTTTTTATGCACAGGGAAAATGACAATTTGGGTTCTGAGTTGTCCTAATTCATTCTGTTCCACTGTAAAAGATGTGCGAGTATATAACTGTATATAGCGTCTGTATTCAAGCTTGTGAAACCATTTATCCCCTTGCTTTACATGCCCTTCAACAAAGGACATGGGGCTGTTGACTACTGAATTTCAAACATTTTTAAGCTATAGCTAGTTTCCACTACCGAAGGAGGATTTTTTTCCCCTGGGGTAGATGGATTCATAGATCCTGGTGGGGGCCATACCCCTTTAATGTGAATAAGGGAATTCTCACTTGCGGTACAGTGTTAATCATGTCAAATTCTATAAACTGAAACAGATAATTGGAATTTCTTTCTCTCCTGTCTCTCTCAATAATAACCTAAGTCACGTTTTCACACCAATCCCAAATTATGGTCCAGCCTGGTGATATTGCATTCAAGTAATACTTTTGCATATATTGAAAAAAATATTGTACCACAAAATAGTCATAATCTTGCAGTTGAGGCAAAGTTGGTGCTGAAATTATTTTGATCCAAACACTAAAACTGCAACAAGCTATGTTATAATGTACACAAATTTGAGGGAAAACAAAAGAAAAAGGAGGAGAAGAAACAAAGGGCATTTACGTAACCAAAATAAAAACAGCAATTTGAAAAACAAAATAGACAACAAATGAATAAGTGAGATTATTGGTGAATGAACAAACCTTGTGCAAACGAAAAGAGGTTCCTTGAACACGTATCAAGATGTCTGTTTCACACCGGGAGTCGAGAGACCTAAATGAATGAATTGAAAACTTCATTTTAAATTAAAAGTATGCCCGGGGGGGGGGGTGAGGGAGAATTGCTCTGCAATTCATAGTGTATAAGAGTATTATATGAATGAATGAAATAAAAGATATGAGAAAAAATATCAGAGAGAGGTGAGAAAGAAATGGTACCAAGCATTGACTAGGGAGTGAAGGGATGGAGGAGAAGGAGAAAAGGAAGGTGAAAGAGAGGGAGAGGAGGTAGAAGAGAACTCGCGTTCTTCCTCGTAGATGGTGTCGATACCCCCGAAATGGTTCAAGCTCCTCATCTGTCACTCTGTCCTTTGAATCAATACTCTCTGAAATCTGAGTAGTTCAATGGAGTTTTTGGGAGGCCATAAATATGGTTTGTGAAGGGTATTAATGGCACGTGATGACTCATAAATGCCCTCTTAAGTTTTGCTTTGCTTATTCAATTTTATTTTTATGTCAAAGATAGAGACCTCTAATTTCGTATTCTCAACCAAATTCTACAAGGTGGGTAAATAGATAGATATATGCTCCATTTCTCTTCTCTGTGAAGAAAATCTGTTTATATTATGCAGTACCAAGTCACAAGTAATTCAAGTCAAAACTCCTTTCCGAACGTTTCTACCTTTGTGAATTTATTTTCATGAAACCGTAACTGTAAAATTATTTTACATTATAGTAATTTAATTTATAGACAACTTTATTCAATAAATTTAATCATGTTAATGACAGTAAAAGATATTAAAATTATTAAATATAGGTATAATATATATTTTTATAATAAAAAAATATGTTTAAAGTAGTATTTATAGATTTTTAAACATTTTAACATTATTAATACATTAAATAACAATAAATTTTGTAATTTTTAATAAAAATCTAGTGTATGTAATGTTTGATCCTTTGCAATGTTGCACATGTAGAAAATATCTTTATATGAAACTCAAAAAGGATACTATATGACTTTTGACAACAAAAATTATTATTATGAGATTTTTTTTATTATAACAATAAAATGTGACTAATAAGATAAAATACGTTAAAATAATATTTGATAGCCATGTTTAAACAAGAAATAATACATTTTTCTTATCTATTAGATGTATTCCAGAAACAAAAGAAAATTTGACATGAAATTAAAAAGTAACATGTTTTATATTTTATTAAAAAATTAAATAAAAAAGAATATTGATTCCATTCCTTTTTTTACCTTTTATTCCAATCGATTTTATGCGTCTTATGCTACTTATGTTTCTGGTTCCTTTTATTTTCCTTTGTGGTTTTACTTCAACAAATTGTTAAACTAGTGTGTAGTAACTGAAAGAGTACTTAACTTTCCATTTTCCACGCCAAAGAGAATTACTAAAATAACAAGAGACTTTCACAAGGTTGTGATTAAAATTTTCCGTTATGTTATGATAGACATAGATTTGAAGCTTCACTTTTTAACGGAAGTATTTTTTAAAAAATTAATATTTTTTTCGTTAAGTTGCACATTTTTTCTTGCGTTAAACATCAGATTTTATTTTTTAATTAGTTGTAATTTTTAAACACTAATATGTAAAATTGATTTTTAAGTTAAAAATGACTTATAATTTATTTTCTTCAAAATTTTATATTTTGAATATTGGCACACCATAGATAAATAAAAAAACAATTCAATTTTTAAAAAAGCTAAAATTTCAACATTATTATAATTTAATTGAATTATAATTTGAAAATAAAATATAAATTTTTGTCGTGTTTTGACAAATTAACAAACTTATAAGTATTTACTCAAATAAAATAAATTCATGATTTCTTTCACAATTTTTAAAAAATTATTAATTTTTTCTCTAATAAAATAATTTTTTTTAATAATAATAAATCAATTTTATTTAATTTTTTATCTATAAATTTTATTAAAATTTAAAACACAAGAAAATGCTAATTTTCTTTTTATTGGAGATTATAAATAAGAAAGAGCGCATGTCACCTGATTAGGTCCAGCAGGCCCAATCTTCTCTCCCTTCAAGCCATTGGCATCGTAGAAATTAACTAAAACTGGGCTTTCTCGAATCGGTAAAACAGAACCAGACCAGAACTAAGCCCACACAGCAGGCAACTAAAATTCTAAAAATAATTAAAAAAAAAAAGAGAGGACTAAAACTGAAAACCCTAAATCTCAGCTTTTCATACATAGTCATTTCCATTGCCGTCACAAAGCAGAGAGAGAGAGAGAGAGAGAGAGAGAGAGAGAGGATGAAGTTCAATCCTAGGGTTTCAAGTAGCCGGCGCAAGAGCCGCAAGGCTCATTTCACGGCGCCGTCGAGCGTCCGTCGCGTCCTGATGAGCGCGCCTCTCTCAGGCGACCTCCGATCGAAGTACAACGTGCGGTCCATGCCGGTTCGTAAGGACGACGAAGTTCAGGTGGTGAGGGGAACCTACAAGGGTCGCGAGGGCAAAGTAGTCCAAGTCTATCGCCGCAAGTGGGTCATCCACATTGAACGCATCACTCGCGAGAAGGTTAACGGTTCCACCGTGAACGTCGGCATTCACCCTTCGAAGGTTGTCATCACCAAGCTTCGAATGGATAAGGATCGCAAATCTTTGCTCGATCGCAAGGCTAAGGGTCGTGCCGCTGCTGATAAGGAAAAGGGTACCAAGTTCGCTCCTGAAGATATTATGCAAACCGTTGATTAGGTCATCTTTATTTTCCCTCTATAGTTTTTTTATTACTGCTACCTTTGTTATCGTTATTGTCATCGGAACTTGGATTCGGTTATTAGTGTTGTGTCGGTTTTTTGTTAATTGGTATTTTGAGGGTCTCTTGGTTTGGATCTTCACGGTTCCAGTATTTTGAGGCCTTTCTGTTTTGTTTAATTTAATGAAATGTTTGACATTATTACTGGCAATGTTATCTGCTTTTAGATAGTTTTAGCTGTTTTGTCACTGTCTTGAGTCTTTGCTGGTGAGATTGGTCAATGTTATACTTGATATGGTATTCAATGTGATTGAACTATCATTAGCACACTCTTGTAGATTGTGATGCAGATAGAGGATGTTCACGAGTGATTATTTTAGTCTTAAATTTGCTCGCCGATGCAAGGAGCACGTTGAGGGGTGCCTCGAGACATGGGATCATTATGCCTGTTTTCACAATGTTATTTGCTTGGACTTCAATATGTTTGGTTTACTTCCCATAATCTTACTTTGATGTCCTATATCAGGTGTTTTAATTGCGTGGGATGTTTACTCCCTTGATCGACTTAACTAATCGAGTAATTTGAAAGTGTTTAATTACTATTATTGTGCAAACTTTTCATATTATTTGAAATCGAGCATCTTCACTAATGAGCAAATGATTATTAGCTACTTTGCTGTTGTCTTTTTGTCACTGATCTGCTGCAGCAACTTGCAAAAAATTGTTTGTCCTCAAATGTTGTTATTGTGAGATGGTCTGCTATATGACAGTTCAAGTTTTTGCATGAGTGTCAATTGTGACGGGGGAGGGTGATATCTAAACTGTTATTTGTGATGAAGATAATATGAATTCAATGGAATCAAATTTATTTAGTTTCCTAAACCCTAAACTTTTTGGCCAACTTTGTCAAAGGTTGTTTTAAAACAAATGATCAAGTGACGTGAACAGGTATAAAGGGTGTGCATGGTTTCGTTTCATGAAATATCGATCAAAAATTAAATTGGTTCAATGGAATTGATTCAATGTAAAATCATTCAAAAAAATGGTCTGGTTTGAGCGAATCAACTTATGAACAAAATCAGTTTGTTTCATTTATAATTTTCAAAATATTGTTTGGTTTGAATTATGTTTTGGTATAGTTAATAATTTCACTCATATAATATGTAATTTAGAGGGAAAAATTTAGGTGCATTATCTAACTATAAAATCAGTGTTGTATTCTGATATTTATTGTTGATTTTATTGTAAATTTTAACCTTAATTGATAAATAATATGAAAAAAATCTAAGATGTTACATGTGTCATCAAATTATATGGAGTATTTGAACCAAATAGAAATTCTGGTCGAAGTTATAATTTCTAAGTAGGTCAATTCTTTAATGTTCGTGTTAGAAGCTTCAAAATGAGTTAAACAGGAAGAAATTAAAATTTGTTCATATTTTAAAACAGTTGCCAACATTTTTCGTTGAACTGTTGGTTTTTCCAATCACCCACACAGACGGGTTTTAAATTCAAGTTCTAACTTTGTAGGTGATCCAGATCCATATAGATATTTCGCTGGTAAAATATAAGTTATCTTTGTATTTTTTTTTTCAGTGAAATAAGATGTAATTAAACATTAGTTACTAATCGACAAAAACTATCACATATTGAAGAAATCCCCTATAAATATAAAATGCGTTTAATATCTTCTCATTGCAAAATAAAAATTGTTGAGTTCTTGTATGCTTTAAACTAAGAAATACAACTCAAAGTTATTAGCAAAAATAGGTGGAAGTGGGGAACACGTCCTGTAAACAAATTTGAAATATATATACATATATATAGTGTCTGTAAATTTGAGAAGACATTATATACTTTTTTTCCTTCTTTAAATTAATAGCTGTAATATTTAAGATATTAAAAAATATTTAAATTTTTTCAAATATTTGTAAATATAAAATTAAATATAATATTATTTACAAGACCATGTAAGCTCAGTCGATGGCGCGCTAGTGATGAGAAGGCTTTGCTAACAACTGAGAACTCTCGACCAAAAAAGATAACAATTAAGAAATCAAGGACACAGCCAGGCCAATCTGTCTACGACAATCATAAAGACAGCACAGCACTGAAGTTAACAATACTAAGCAAGTGACAGAAAACAACATTGAAAATAGAATGCTAGAAAAAATACACTCGATAATAATCATACTGGAGAACAGGACTTTCAGATCTCGGAATGTCTACTACAAAGTACGAGGAAAAGCAGAAAATTCAATAAAAAAATCTGGGAAACAGAAGCCACCCGTGGATTCCAAATTATTGCAATATTTCATCCATTCATGAAGAAACAAGAAACGCTCATATGTGGAACTAATTATTTGCCCTCCCTTCAAGGGCCCGCAAAAAAATTGAATTGAGGTTGGAATTCCAATCATTAGTAAAAATGAAAAAAAACCCTCAAGGTTTGAGGGCAATGGCCAACCCAAACCTGGGTTTTTTATCCAGGGCCTTGGTGTCAACCTCACCAGAAAGAGTCAACACTGACTTTGGTATGATCTGATGCTGCAGGAGGGCCGCAAGCTTTCCGTGATTGTTGAGCCTTGCCTTGACCTGTGTCAGATGGTCAACAGCATAAGACCCTCCTACTGTAAAAGTGTTCTCATTTGTTGAGAACCTTCTAATGATCTCTGCAACAGCAACACTCTTCTTAAATTGGTCCAGATTATGGAGGTATGATACTTTAATGCTGTCACCCTTGTCACCACTGATTGGAAAGAATACGTTCAATATCAATTTGTTAGCTTTAAACATGATTGTGATTGCTAGATATTTGGAACACAAATCTTTGTGGATGAACGAGGCTTACAGGATTATTGAAGCAGATGAATCAGGTCTCGTGATATTAATCCCAGCATTATATTTAGTAAAGCCGCCAGATGTAGTGTCATAGCCTGCCTCAGCACCAAAAGCAATGCTTGGGGTACCAATTGTGGTAGTAACATCAATGACAGGGGATTGGTTCAGTGCAACAGCTGTTGTTAAAGTAGCATGGTCATGGAAGTATTGAACCTCTAACTGCCAAAAACAAAGCAGACAAATTTTCAGAAACAATGACCAATGGTGAGTCAAATTCTCTGACCAGAAGATGCAAGTTAACGTACCTTGCCAGAATTATAATCAGGCAGCTTAAATGAAGCAATGCCCTTGGTGGATGGGAGAATGTCAGTGAATGTGAGGGTCGTGGAGATCTGGGGAAAAAAGAGTACGTAAATGAGATTATTTGATTACGAACCTTAGCTATTATGACCTAAAAAAACAAGGTAGCTCACAATTGATGCTGTGTCAAGTTTAACATCAATAATAGTGTTCTTATACTTGTACTGTGCTGCCACATCCCCAGTTGAGAGTCCTCCTTTCTTCACAGCTGTTGAAGTGAGGGCCTGAAAGGAGAAAAAAAAGTCATATTGAAATGAACATTCTGCATGTTTTTCTCCCAGCAAGTGATCTCAAGCGCCCATGTGCATCTTTGCACATCAGCACAAAAGCGACCATGACAACCGGAAATATCAGTACCAAGACAAGAATCTAACATGAAAATAAACATAGCACTCTAAATAAGTAACCATCCCCCAAAAATAAGTAAATATATAAAATTGTTGGCAGCAGCCACTTAGATGTAAAGCATTAGCTTCAAAATGAACCCAATACAAACTATATTAAGAATAGATTTGTATTTATGCACACTATGTTATTGTTGAGTACGAAAAATGTGTTCGTAATACTAAAAATTGGATGACAATAAAATAAATGAATTATTGACCTTCCATTAATTGCATACATATTCTAAATAGATTTCACCTCTGGATCTACAATTCTTCTATTTCTGATTACAAACACCCATCCAAGGGTAGAGTTATTTCTTGCACCATAAGATTCGCCCCCAGCTCATGTTGTATTACATGAAAACCCTTATGCACAAGCCTAAGAAAATCCAATCGACTTTAAACATTGATCGTTTTTCTTTGGCTCTCCAGTTATGTTCGTACAGTATTATTCCCCAATTACCATCCAATTAATTAGCATTTTGATTAAAAAAGAAAAAAAAAAAACCACCATGTTATAAATGTTATAATAGGAAAAAGGCTGTTTTCTGTAAAAGAAAATAATTCTGAACAATTGAGAGTTAATGGGGACTCGTTAGTCAGACTCCATATTTTGAAAACCAAATGCTGCATACTTATGACATAGCAGACCAGCACTGAGCCAAAATAAAAATCAAGGAAATAAATAGAAAACCACGAAATAAAATCAGACAGAAGATTTTGAGGAGAGCAACTGACCGCCCATCCAGTATCCTACATTTCCTATATAAATATATATACACACACATACATGACACAATGTGTCGCAGTGATGAATTTGTCTTAACGTACTAACTATACAATGTGGAATGAACTTAATATAGAAACAAAAATCTGCGAGATCAAGTTAAATAATTATTTGGATACAATACAACTTCATAATTCATACGAAAAACAAATCAATACGAGAGGTAATGAAGCTTTTAACGGAAATATCAACGGCCATCGTCAACATCATAATGCGAATCAATTAATTGCCGTGAATAGCATCGCGCTAGATCTTGACCACAAGACCTCACATACAAGACTGCAATTACGGTAAAATACATAATAGATTGATTACAATGGAAATCCGAAAGCTTACCACTCCAGCATTGCTGCAGGATGAAACGGTGAGTTTTTGATCGGAGCTGTAATCCTTAGTCAATAGATCTACGTGAAAAAGACAAATAAAAAGTAATTAGTCTTTTATTTTATTTTTTTCAATCGAGAAAGTGCTGAGGAATGAATAACCGAGTTTGTGAGAGATAGAGCGACGGAAAGTAAAGAGCATGTTCTTTCACCTTTGGCTTTCTTGCCAATATCGGAGAAGAGACCCGGTCCTTTGCTCATTTTCGATTTGAGAGAGAGAGAGAGATGTTGATGCAGTGAGCTTCACGAAGCAGGGTGTGGTGGCGAGGAAATGAATGATGCCTTTTCTTCACATTTTTATTTTAAAATGTGAAATTATAGAATTTAGAATCGCGAATCTGAATGGTTGAACTGGTTATGTCCGATCGTGCCTTTTTAGCCATTGATTTTCGAGCGAATATGATGCGTCCGAGTGGGACTTCTCTCTTTCATTGGTCTGATTTCAGGGTAATACAGTTATACAAACACATGCTTTTATTTTAATCCAGTATAATTTTTTATTTTGTTTTTTGTTTTATTTTAATCATATATTTTATAAAGTATGAAATAAACAACATAATTGATTAAACATGTGTCCTCGCTGGACCCACGGCTGTCATTCCACGAACGTGATTCAGATGATTAAACGTCCCAATTAGTCTTGCTCAATTTAACTATGATTTAAGAGCTCTAAATTCGTTGTTTAATATTAATTTATTTTTATTTGCGAATGCAAAAATTTACATTATGTAATAAGGTTAGTTATAAACTATTGTTATTGAAGATAATTTTTTTATCATAATATTTGTTATTAAAGATAATTTTGTTCAAATAAAATATAAGTATTAAAATTCACCTTTTAAATATTTAATACAACTGTATTTATTAAAATTCAAATTTTAATATTAAAAATAGTTTTATTATAGCTAAAACTTATTAATAAATAACAAAATAAATTATTTACTTGATTAGCACTCTAATTATGAGTTATTATATTAACTTTTTAAAATATTTTTATCATTAATTTTGTCACTATATAATTGGTAAAATTAAACTTAAAGATATTAAAGATTAAAAAAATTATTTTATCAAATATTTTATTAATTTTTAAATTAGCATATTAATTTTTAAATTTTTATTTTTGTTTTAGTTTGGTTTTTGTTTTCATTTCGATCTCTTAATTTATAAATGTTTTATTTAAGTTATTTTTATAAAAAATATTATTTTTATTAAAAAATTATTATTCATCGTCCTTTTTTTATTATGAATTGAACTTAAAAGATAATAAATAATAATTATTAATAAAATTCGAGTGAGATTTCATCATTCATTTTGTTTATTCTAACGACTCAATATAAAAAAAAAATTCTTATAGAAGCATATGCATATATATATATATATATATATATATATATATATATATTATAGCAATTTTTCACATACAAATTCTTAAGATTATTCTTTGAATAATAATTATTTAAATTTTCAATGACTCTTTAACATTAAAAATGGGTATCAGAAAACAATCAATGTATTGAGACATATTTCTAACATCATAATACACTAAGTATGTTTCACTTAATTTAAAACTAAAGATTATTTTTTAGCTAATCTTTATATCTTAAATAGAGATGCTATAGATTAAAATAGAATCAAGTATTAGAAAGAGAATTAAACTACTAAAAAAATTTTCGCTTGAGTGAAAAATAGGCTAATTCATTCCTTTTTTTTTTCTCTTAACTTCCTAAGTTCCTATAAAATAAAAATTCAACAAAAAAGGATCAAAGAGAATCTCCATCTTTATCTCTCAATCAAATAAATGGGTTAATTAAAATTATTCTAAATTAGAAGGATATTGAAACTAAAATTTAATTCATTAAAAATAATAAATGCCCTAATTTATGTTATTATTTACTAAAACTTGACATTTATCATTGTGCTAATATTGATTTATATGTATTGTTTTATATTTGTTGGAACATGCTATAATTTGATTAGAATAAGATAATGGTTCAATCATAGAGGCATTAAGAATATGTTAATCCTTAGAGCCATGTAAATGGCTAAGTGTTACACTTAGAATCTTAACAATTAGTAATTTGACCAAAACACGAATCAAAATAGTTTGATCATAAATATATCACATGGTCATATTCATTATTAACGCTCATTCGTATATAACATGGAAATTTATATAAATGAGGACTTGACCTCAACTTCTTATAAATATTAAAGAACAAATTGACATATAGTCTAGTTAATATCATAGTACATGCCAATGACAATGAATAATAGAAGATAAATTCATATTCATCATTGAATTAACAACATTTTACCATCTCTTTGACTAATTTGAAGAGCTAGGTGCACATATGCAAAAAGAATAATCAAATCAAGTATTTTAGCATTACGTCCATATGACGTTGACAAACTTATAATTCAACCAAGAGGTTGTCAATCTTTAAAGGAGCTTACTAAAGTTGTTAGATGTCTTCATATTTTTAGAAGTAATTACTAGTATTGTTTTAGATAGTCTTGTATTTCTAAAAGTAACTAGTAGAAATTATCACCATTTAGAATGTGAGTTTAGTGCATGTTTAGCAGTTATTTAATGTGTTTTAGTATGTTTAACATGATTAGCAATTACTTGACATGTAATCATGGGACTTTTATTTAATGAGAAGAGGACAAAAAAAGAAAAAAAAAAGAAACATAACTACTTTTGTACATTTTTTTTTTTACATCTTAGAGGTTCACATCACAATCAGTTTTTGTTACATTTTAGAAATCGTTGTATATAAATGATATCAATTTATGTCTCATGTACTTTTAGATATTGTTTGGATGAAGTAATTAAAACTTTTAGAAAATTAAAAAAATTTAAATTACATTATTTAAACATATTATTTTAAAATATATTGTTTAGACATAATAATTGAATTTCTTTCATTTCAAATATTTTTGTTTATACAAAGTAATTAAATTACTTACATTCTTAAAAAAAATAAGATTATTATATTTGATAAAATTAAAAAATATAAAACTCAAATTATTAAATCAAGTATAACTAAATAAAATATGAATGGAAACACAATAAATAAAAAAGGTAATTCTAAAATTTGAGTTTTTTTTAAGATTTAAAATTTTTTATTTTAATTTATTAAAAATTTTCATTAAAATTTTAAAAAATTAAATACCTGTTTAGGGAAAAAAAATTGTAAGTTACGAAGACCCTTATCAAACTTTCATAGTAGGAAATAAACTATATCTTTTCGAGAAGAAACACATCTCAAAGATCAGTAGTATTGATATATCTTTCGACTAAAATAAAGAGAATCTTAGGTCCCTAGATCCTGACAAGCTAGTGACTTGTGAAAAATCTAAGTTTAAAAAACTTTTTGAAAGAACTAATTTTTTGAAATGTGAAGGCTACATTGTGAGGAGTCTTGAAGGGTCACGAGAAGGCTCTTTTTTTTCAGAAAGAATGTGGTCTTTTGAAGAGTTTTAGAGATTTTTAAGTCACAGATTGAAATGAGCCAAAACTTGTCAAAACAAGAATCGATAAGGAAAATTATTATAAGTCTACGAGACTAAATGAACTCACAAATTTTTCTCAAAACTTGTCGAAACAAGAATCAACAAGAAAAATTATTCTAAGTTCACGAGACTAAATGAAATCACATATTTTCTTCAAAACTTGTTAAAATAGGAATCGACAAAAAAATTATTCTAAGTTCACAAAACTAGATGAACTTACTGATTTTTCCTAAAACTTGTCGAAATAGGACTCAATAAGGAAAATGATTCTAAGTCTATGACACAAGGTGAAGCTTACTAATTTTTCCTAAAACTTGTCGAAATAGAACTCGACAAGAAAAATTATTCTAAGTTCACGAGACAAGGTGAAACTCACTAATCTTCCTTAAAAGTTGTCAAAAAGGAATTGACAAAGGAAATTATTATAAGTCCACGAAAGTCTTTGATAGATTTCCTTAAAACTTGTAAAAAAAAAAAGTGATAAGAGAATTATTCTAAGTCCTAAAGACAAGATGGAGCCCAAAAGATGAAGAAACATGATGAAAAAATTACAAGGATTGAACATGGTTTGAAGCGACTATAAAAGGTGGTAATTACCTGTGATCACTACCAGTTGAAGGTCAGAGACACGAAGAAATGATCTTGAGCGACAACAGTTATGGAAAATGCTCGATTATGAGTAGTTATGGATAATGGGCTACGACAATTGAGAAGAAACACACATATAAGGCAGTTACCGATAAGTGTCTGCAAAAAGAGGAGAGTCATTGTTGTTCATTCGTCTATAAATAATATAAAGCTTTATATTTCCAGGAGATGATTTTTTGTACCCAGACACCAATACCTAAAATTCTCTACACGCTGAAAGCTCTACACTTAGCTAGACACCGACAATAAGAGGATTCAGAGTTCCTGTTGTTCATTGTGAAGAGTTGTACGTTACATTTTAGTCATTTACTTTCTGCAATTTAATTCATGCACAGTTTACTTATGTAATCCTTTTACATTTAGTTCAATATTGGTTTCGTTGTTCTGTTACTATTTTTGTTCTATCATTATTCTACTATTCCCGTTTAATACTCTATTTTACGATGTCCATTTGGATATTACATTTAACAACACACTTAAAAAAACTTAAAGATGGTCTAAAATTTAACCTAAGATTGTTCTTAAATTTATTTATTTATAATCTGCAATTTTTTATTGTAAATAATATCTAAACAACAAATTTTAACTTTTAAAATTGTAAATTATTGAAAAAAGTAAATTACTCACTAAAAATCCAAACACGCTTTTAAATTTTTTTTATTTGAATAAGATTTTTATTTTACAAAATTTTTAAGTTTCCAAACATAATTTTCCTTATTTGTTACTGCATCTTTTCCTCTCATAAATTATGATGATTTAGTATTAAAAAACATTTTAAAAATTTTAAAAGGATATTAATCCAACTTCAAAATAGTGGATAAATAGAAAAATTATATTATAAAATTTTTACTCAACCAATGTTACATGCTATCGTAATTTGTAGATGACAAATTAGGAGAAATATCAGAAGGTTCTTCTGTAAGAATTTGAGTCTAACCACTGTCTATTCCCGTTAAAAATTTAGGCTTGTAGGTTACTTTTTTTCCTGTTGGTCAATGTTTGTTACTTAACGTGTTTTATTAATTTACGTTTGTTAATAAGTCCTAGTTCTAAGGGAAGTTTTATTTTTTCGGAACAGTTTCTTTAATTCCTGTTTTGTTGCCATGTAAGACGTGACTCTTTGAT